TATTTCTGGAAAAGTAAATATGCATTGTGCAGGATCTCAGAGTGAACTTTTGTTGCCATCCAGTACGATGCCATCATCGTCCATCTTTGTGACCTTTCCTTCGTTTTTCCTTGTATTTTCTCTTTCCTTTGGGACAAGGGAACAATGAAGCATCATCATAGATTGTTACATTTCTGAACCTTGCTCCTTCATCGCTTCCATGAACCCCCTGCTCCGAGGTAAGGATTGGCGAGAGAAGGGCCTACAAACCAACAGAGGTGTACATGTAATATCCTGTTTAGAGCTGGTACGTGCACACTCCCACGAACCATCACTTCTGGGATGGCTTGGTTGCAAAATCGTGGTTGCATTAGCTCCAGGGTTGGTAGACACTGTTTATGGAGCACGCCTTTAGCTCAGGGCCATTGTTGCATCAGCCCGGCGGAATATCCTGACCTGGTTTTCTCGCTCTTATGATCATTCTTCCGACACGGATATTCTTAAACATCCATGGATATTTTGGTCTGATGTCCGGAAAGGACGGATAGGCAGGGTCATGATAGCCGAGTCTCCCTCCAATGGAATACTGTTTGTTACCATTCAAGTGTAAAGCGGTGGCGTGAGAAAGAGAACGCTGTGAGTCCGAAGTCGTTGGAATTTGACTTGTGCACGGATCGGTTCTCGGGCGCCGCTTCTCTCAAATCAGGCAATATGGTATCAATACCGGGCAGTACTAGCACGAGGGCCAGGGACTCCCTTCTCAAGGTACTAAGATTTGAACGCTTGACCCTCTTCCCTCCAGCTCACGGATCACCAAACGGCTCGATACCCGCGGCATTCACAGGCCAGTCATCGAGCGATGGGTCCTAAACTCCTTGCTCTTCACATGCCCGTCATCGTGCTTTGATCGTCGCTGTTTCCCGTTTGGTGTGGGAGAGAATTAGTTGGTGTGGTGGACACTTAAAAAATGTCTGTGTGGCCGACCTCAAACTAAAGGTGTGCTACGCTTGCTTGGGTTCTCTCGCATGAATTTCCACGATTGTCATAAATATATTCCAGCCCGGAGCCTGTTGGGCCATCCTTCCATCCTGGGAGCCTCGCGTCCATCTGTCATTGATGAACCGACCTGGGACGTTTGAAGTTTCGGATTTTAATGTTGTTACTTGCGTGATGTGATCCATGTCCAAACTATCAATTCATCTATGGCTCGTTCAGTTCTCTCTGCTGGAGGGTGGGCCGGAGCTGTGTCACTGGCAGATTGAAGTATCAATGGACACTGCTTATGAGCGCTGTCACATCTCACGATGAACGGTTGTTCGGTAGGAGGAACGGCTGCTCAGTTAAAGACGTCATCTCACTCATCGTCCCTAGCGCTCCAAACTTGAACTAGGTTCCGGTCTCACAAAGTACTTTCTGTTTGCAAAGAACCTCGCCCATCCTTGAATCCTGTGCCTGATCTCAAGCGATGGTGCCCCTTGTGCGAATGGTCTCCACCTCTCTGCGCGACATATCCGCATTCACCCCTGTCAGTTGGTCAAGGCACGAGCGATTCAGAAAGGAAACGAAAGTACGGCAACTGAGCCATTCTGCCGTTCGCCAAAACTGCGATTTGATGGGCAACAACAAGGAGTGACGTCGAGCCAGCATCTCCATCAGTAGTAATTCAAAATCGGTGGGAATTGAGATAGCCTACTCTAAGGGTAAATAAACCCTTGATCCAGCTCCAAGCTCCTGAGGAGGTTTCCTGTTTTCTGAAAATACTTTTGCCTGGATTCCAATGTCACATCGGACGCCGACTGAAGTGGGAGAGACTGCGGCCCTCATTACGCAATCCTCAGCATGCGAGGTGCGTTTAATTACTTCGCCATCTCTCCTTTGGATGGTGATCCAACTTCTTCGGATTGAAGGAGGAGGTGGAGAAGTGGGAAAGGTGGGGGTTAAAGAAGAGGGGTTGTTTTATAGCGAGCTTCCTGTTGGGTTGGCGTCTTCGATTTCTCACACTCCGACAGCCTTTTGCAATCCAAGTGGATAGGAACCGGCCTGCCAACCCTGTCATCAACCAAACCAAGCCGATGTAAGGGGCCACGGAGTAGCTATATATGATAGTTGCCGTGAAAGCTGTGTCACTCCTATAATAACAGTTGGTCGGCGTGCTCTTGCAAGCCTCGACAGCCTACCCCATTTTCATGAGGCACTGTCAATACGCTCGTTTCAATCCCACCCCAGCTCAAGGTCCATCAAATTATTACAAGTCGCCCCAGGGCAATTATCAATTACATCCAGATGTAGCTGGAGGCCATGATACGAGGAATAAAGCCTGATATACCGGGAGGTTGTCGAGGATAGCTCGCATGGCCCTGAGAAGGGAAGGAGTGCCGGCGCTTTTTGCTTTTTCCCTTGCCCATTTCCCCATCGAAGCTGCATGTTGACGAGACGTGGAAGGTAGCCCGAAAGCACTTGCCCTCCAGAATAAACATCATGTAATATCTCCATACTTCTTTCCCTCAGATCGAGCTGAGCCTTCGTACCAAAATGGTACCTAGTAAAAAGCAAAGTCTCCCACACGAGAATGCTCAGGATGCCGGGCCGTGGCTACCTTCCCCTCCCAAGCTCTCCAATACTCTTCATGTTCTTCTTGCCCTGTCCTGGCAAGCCTGGCTAGACCCTCAATGGCCCTTCCCCGCATTCACTCGCCTCATTATCCCTGTGTTATTTTCTCGCCCCACTGCCCGACCCGTTCTTCAAACCCCGTGCGCGAAGATCTCCCAGCCCTCTCACCACAGATGAGAGGGTGAGGACAGTGACTATGGGAGGATCAATGGCGTGCAGGGGGTGGGGAGGAAGAGTCGAGATAGCCCGGCCCTGAAGGAATGTGCAAGACCAGCCTCAGCCAGGGTCGTCATTTCCCCCACTCGAATTGAATCTCATCCCCTCACTTACTAGCAAGGGTAATGTTTGCTAGCTTCAGAGACGCCGTCCGTTCCTCCAAACAATCATACCGAGGTATTCCAGACCAAATTATTTCGCCAAAACTAGCCCACTCAGCTTCCGAGAGGCCAATTGATCCATCTTAACGGAATCAATGTAAGGAAATGAATATTCAGTGAATAGAAGAGTTTCGCCGCCAAGCTGGCTCATGTATACAGTAACGATCCCTTCGATTGACACGTCGGTTCTGGGCAGTTGATTTGGCAATAATGTTGCTGCTCTCTCGAATCAGAGCTGCTGGAGGCGGGAATTTTGACAGCGCGACGAGCGTAGAACTCCACTGATAACCCGCCGAACTCCACACCCTGGTCAGAAACGGCTCGCTTTCCCTCAATATCAAGGTGGCGTTGTGTGCATGCATCAATAAAACTGCCAAAGTTGCTCTGTCTGGTCGACTCATTACTCCACAACTCGGAGGCTTTGCATTGCCCCACGACAGCAATAAAACGAGCAAAGGACAAGTACGAGGTAGATACGGACGCTCAAAGAGTTGGTCCCCTCATTGAGCCACCTGTGGGACCTAGAAAGGTAGAGAGAGACAACCGGATATTACTATCACCTCAAGAGTTGCGGGCATTAGTCGGAGACCCGTTTATAATCAATGTATTATTTCCTTGTCCATCACCCTGGTTTTGATGATCGAGCAGACCTTGCGAAGCGGCGTCTAGAAAACACTTCAGAAGGTCAATGTTTTGCTTTTTTTCTACATTGAGTTTCTTTTGCCTCGTACCTTTTGCTTTTTCCCCTCCAACCCCCGCGATGAATTGATCTATGCAATAAGATCAAAGCTTCTCTTAGCTTATCGTTCCACTAGACAGATCCAGCTCCCGTCATCTGCACGGGTCATGAGGCTTAGGACCTGTTTTTCAGTAGCTCGGCTCACTTATTCGCTCACCCCACTCTCCCGCCTTGCAACAACAAGTCACTTCCTTGTCTTACCTCACCCTTGCTCCGTCTGAGGCCGGTGAGTTCTTGAACCTCATTGGCCCGTTCTACCCTTTCTGTCCGGAATGCATCCTACTTCCTTTCCCAATCCGCATCCCGAACTTCCGCCCTGCGGGCCGAGATAGCTCCCCACATGCATCAAGTTTCACGTCCCGCAACGAGGATCTTGCGAGAAAAGGGCGAGCCTACGGTATTTACGGGTAAGAGTGGCACGCTGCCCACTGCCTGCTGCCCTTGCTTACCTTACGGCGACAAGAAAAGATCTGGAAACGGTATACGGCGCCTTGTGGAGCGGAAGGCCGAGCGCACATCGGCAATCGCCGCTCATGTTTGCTTTTATGTTCTCTTCTACGCGCGCAGAGAACCGGAGACTGAATCGTGTCATAAGAACAAGCTAGCACTGCGAAGACAAATAATTGCCCCGCATTGGATTGTATTTATCTGGAGTGTAGCAATACTAAGCTGGTGGCTGCTACCAACCGCTCCCACAGACACCACTCTGAAGCCGAGGCGAATCGACCAGTATATCTAGTGGGTCCATGGCCCATCCAGAGAATAGCGCAGCAATATCTTGTGATCCATCAATTAGAAACGCAGGAACCTGTAAAGGTGGAAGAAAACAATGATCAATAGTAACTTTTGCCGTCCCATGACCCCTTCTATAGACCCTCGATGCCGTAGCTGCCAAGCCCTTTTGATTTTCCCTTCCCTCTGCTCCGAATGCAAAAGATTAGCGGCCGATCGTGGCCAGAGCAGACCAAAGAGATAAGGAATAAACCGGAAAGTGGAGAAAGGATGAGAGAGACCTTGACGAATCGCTGAATCGCCAGGTTTCTAAAGAACAGATGAACAATGCGAGAATGAATCGCGGAGAGAGCAAGAAACAATGGAAAGAATAAGGATAGGAAAGCAAAAAGCATAAAAAAGGAATTCCCTTGATGGAGAAGATCCAACCGCCGCCCTTGAGTTTGTTCATCACGTCGTCAATTTAGTAGAGGTGCTGAAAAGAAAAAAAGAAAAAGAAAGAAAGGAAAAAAAGGTGAAACGGAAAGAAAAACTATGAAAGGACGCCAAATTGTCGTGGTCGGTCATGTGCAGTCATACAGAAGGATGGAGCCGCTCTCATGCTCCAGTCGAACTGTTGCGCCTTGGTACGGGCAGTAAGCCCATCTCTTCTAATTAGGTTCGTTCCGAGACAATAACGTTGTCTTTTCACTGACAATCCCCTCATTGGTCGTGTCGTGTCGCGTGGTTGGTGGCCACTTTGAGGGCTTCTCCGTCGTTCGCTCACCTTGGTAGCGAATGAGGTGTCCTCGACCGGGGGAGTAGTCAGGCTGGAGGCTCTCTTGGGGCGCGGGAATAAGCGAACATTGTCGTTGGTGTCTGCGTCGGCTCGGCTTCCCCACGAGGTCTATCATCGAGTTAGCAGGCAATAATAAAACCAACCCACAAAAAGGCCGAGTGGACAGAGCATTCATACCATGTTGAGGGTGCAAAGTGCATAGAGCTTGATCAGTCCATGGAAGTACCCGAAGATGATGGAGACGGGGAGGAACACGATATCACTCGGCGTTCGACGGAAAAGCCCAATCAACTTGACGACCTTGACAAAGCAGAACATGAACAGGAGCTGGGCCCAAACCGCTTGCTTCCGGGATTCCAGGTCCCAGTTCCCAGTCGCTCGCCAGCAAGAGTAGACAAGGAGAGGGTCGACAGCGAAGGACAAGGATGTAAAGGTCGCGATGTGAAGGGCATATGTGCACCAGGGCTGTTGACTATTAAATTCAGGAAAAGAACAAGGGTTAGCTCAAAGTACGCATGCAGGTGCAGGGTGGATCGGGTGGGTGGGGCCTGTATCAGTCCACTTACGTGAGAACGTAGCGCTCCCGAACTAGGCTAGTGTAGTTGCTTCGCCAGTTGCTTCGCGCCCACCTTGAGCACTGGTACAGAAACTTCATGCTGTTTTCAAGCGTGGTCTCAATCTCGCACTCGGGATGGTACTGGACCCAAGTCTTCCACTGATGGTTGACCAACCACCTCGTCACAAAGTTGTCGTCGTCTGCATTGAGAATATACTGACCCCACTTTTCGGTCTTGAAGCCCTCAAGGAAATCATGGCTAGAAAGAATTTCAGAGCGGTAGGCACCTGTTCTACCCGACATGCAGGACGTGCCGCCATCGATGTTGTGAGTAGCTGAGATTTCGAAATTTCTGCGCTCAATATATGCCGCTCCAAGCCAGTTGAAGATGCGAGCCGTCCAAGGACCGTCCCGAACACGGGTAACTCGTTGACATGTTCCAACGCCGCCGATGGCAGGATCCTCAAACGGCGCAAGCAACCAAGGCATCATCGTTGAGGGCCAAGTAACGTCGTCGTCAGCCATGATCGTGATCTTGGTCCGGACCTTAGGTAGCGCCTCACAAACTTGTAGGCGCTTATTGGCGATGGGCGTGTACAAAACCTTGACATTGGTGTGGCCGAGAGATTCCGCGAGTTTTCTCAGGCCGTCATACTTATCGATTGGTGTTACTAGAATCAACTCGGCGGGATCGCAAGCAAGAATGCTCATCAGGGGCTTCCGCAACTCCTCGAACACATTATGAATCGTGGGGATGATAACAGTGACGTCGGCCGAGGTAAGCGTTGGCTTGTTAGGGATGGGACGGGACTTGTAGCGCCAGTGACTGATGACATGAATGAGAAGCCGCACATATCGATGAAGCCTGCCTCTTATGTTAGAATGGACTAAAGAGCAAGGTAGAAGAGCCATCTTACCATATACTCCAGAAAAAGTAGATCCAGAACTTGGTTGACTCGAGGAAGCTGAGGTCCATTTTGGGCAGGGCGACAGGTACTTGAACGATCATGCCCTCGTGTGGTAGTCTGATGGTAGTATGGGTGGAAAGGGAAGGGGAAGGTAGAGCGCGTTAGGTGTGTCACCTCTGGTATAATAATGGGGTGAGATAACTGGAGAAGTAATGGAGAAGTTGGATGATAGCGACGGGGCGTACACCTGATTTATATAGATATAGGACCAGAAAGGAGTAGGTGGATGTGTGTTATGTGGTGTCTGTGTGCTTGCAATTGTGTTTGTATCAAAGGGAGTCAATAGGGAGGAGTTGAATAGAACAGGTATAAAGATTGTTGAGAGAGAGAGAACAAGGTATTGAGGAGACAATCACCACTACCTTTCATTCCACCCTCAAAGAAATCTTTGGATTTGTGTAAGAACTAGGCAAGGCCGAGAACATGAGGTACACCTCTCCTTTGCTCCTTCCCAAGTCTACAAGGACTGTCTGAAGTACTGGCTTTCGTATTCCTCCCTTCTTTTCGCCCCAAGGGCAGCTGCGGGACGGGCAGGTGGGAACTACGTGTACTATCAGGAGCGTCTTGCCACTAGTTCGGGGCCAATATATTCCAATTGGCGCGGTGTCAGCGGTGTCAAAGGTGCCAGCAGTGCCTGTGCGGTGTTGAGCGGAACTTGACTTGGGACGGTCGACGGAATTCGGGCGTAGTAGGTGTTGGTTGATACCGTTGGTGCTTGGGAAATGCGTATGCAGAACGTAGGAGAGGCAATCTTTTCTCCTTCTTTCTTGGGGCGCAGGTTCGCCACTTGCAGATACAGCCTTCTGAGGTGTCTCTAGAGGTGATCAATACTACACTAGGGAAGAGTAGCACTATGTGTCCAAGTCACAGTCCGCTAGGTAGGTAGAGATGGGCGGGTAGCAGGGCAGGCTCCTTTGCTGCTTCGATGGGGCTCCAGGTGAGTTGCTACCGATGTGGCCGATGGTCCGATGGGAGGTTTTGAGAGGCTTTCCGCAAACGGCGTAGGAATGAACGAGTGTGTGAATGTAGATGTTGTGTCTTGACACCAACCAGCATCTAACATATACCGGGGAGATGAGCTGCCAGCAAACAAAGAAGTAATGTACAAATCAAGAAAACGGACAGGATGCAAAAAGAAACCAGAACATGAAGACTAATTGGTCTTGCCGAGGCAACGTCTGGATGATAATCGAGAGGAGAGGTGGAAGGGTGATGGTGCAAGGACCAGTAGTGAGGACGTTCGTGAAAGACCTTCTAGGGAGGAGGGCAAGGATATATATAAATGCGGATGAACCGAAAGAAAGTGCTTAAGAAGGAGTGCCACGGATCTAATGCATTGAAACGGTGTTTCTCTAAACAACTACCTGCTAATGCCCCTAGGTGCGAGGTCGAGCGAGATCGATGGCAAATGCCAGGAATGCAGACGGGTACGGTACAGAAGGGTACCTTGAATCCACAGGGATGCATTGGTCGTCAAGTTGGGTGTACGTATTCAATGTACATCGATGTAATGTAATGTAATGTAGGAAAGCCCCTTTGTTAGTGAGGGTACAGGAAGTGTGGGCGTGGGTGGGCGTGAGAGAAAACGGGTGTGCGAGATGTTAGCGTGTGGGAGGAAGGATGCGTTTGTGAATTCTGTATTATCTGCGCGTATGTATGCGTTTGTGGGTGTGGATGGGTGTATGAGAGGGCAGCAAAATGGCTTCATGGAGGCGAGTCCAGAGAGCCGGCGCGCCGTGATTGCCGCCGCTACAGGGGGTGGGAAGAGAGAAGGAAGATTGGGGGAGGGGTTTATCAACCGCAGAAGACTGAGACGACGAGCGTACAAGCATCCACAACCCGGCGATGGGGCAAGCGTTTACAGGACTTGACAACCTCGACATCCGACCGGCTCGGCGAATGTACAATGCTGCAACTATACATTCTGATTCTCCGAAAAAGAGTCGAACTAGAAGCGATGTATAGCTCAATCAGTATCATCGGGTCCCAGGGTGTGCTAGTCAGCGGGCGAGAGGGAGGGCGTGTAAATGTGACCCTAGCTGGCCTGCCAGAGCCCCTGGGGTCGAGGGTATGGGGAAAAGATGCGGGTGGAGATAGTGGGAGAGAGGGAGCGCGCGAGTCGCCGGAAGACGGAGCAACGATAGTACGGCTCTAATGCTGGCTGGGGGCAGCAACCCGCAGCATCCATAAAACGGATCTGCCTCTGGTACCGGTGTTGACGCCGAAACTGATTGTGAAAAGATGATCTGAACGGAATAATTTCTCTTGACCCATGCATTCGTGTCACCAACCTTCACATTTTGTGTACTTCAGCGGTACCTGATGGGATCCATGCTCTACCACAGGCCCATCCAAATTGATCCTCCCAATCAGAGGAACAGCCTGACCATCTCTAGTACCCCATCGTTCGAAACATGCACTATATATGGAGACGTACAGTAGGCGCTCTGGTTAGCCCCAACAGGGTGTACTTTTCTGAGCTTAGTGTTGTTTAGTCGGAGTGCGGACGGAATACGGCTTTCCTCGCGAACAACAACACGGGAAAGGGTGCTTGAATATCCTGGATGGATGAGCGAGCTGAGTTTCTCCTTGTTTGTAGCTCGAGGCCACATTTGCCACTCCGTATCGCGGCCATCGGCCATCTTGAAATGAGCGAGCACACTGCAGGGACGCCGCCAAACATATATGGAAGAGTCGTCAAAACAACGACTATCCGAAGGGCATCAGATGGCCTCGTCTCGTATTCAATATTGAGCGGATCAGTGTATTCTCTCGTTACGCCTCGCGATCAATGGCTGTTCAATTGGAGGGGTTTTCCCCACGAAATGAGCCTCATGATTGACTGGTGCCGCTGGGTGAAATTAACCCGACGGTCTCGTGCACGCAACTCATAACATTCCATACCACTCTCACCAATCTGTATGGTCTTGATTGACGATGGAGGGACGAGGACATCATCTAAACTCTGGGTTGCGGTAGGTAATCCATGCAAGCTCAGACGGGAAGAAATGACAAGGGAATCCCCGTACCATCACTCAAGACTTGTTCGCCGAGTGGTTTCGCTGCGGGAACCTTGGTGATAGAAAAGCCGGATTAGGGACAAGCGATAATTGGGTAGTGTAAAAATATACCCCGCGGGCAATGGCGGCTTCAGGACTGATGGCGCGAATCCTTACTGGCTGACAAGGTGTGTGAGAACCCATCACAAGGAACATTCCCACGTCGTAAGAAAGAAGTCTCGTGGACAGATGAGTTCCTTTCTTGAGACAATAGGTCCATCGTCCGGCCCACGACAAGGACGGGGTTGAAGACCTAGGTAACGCCCACTAGGCTCCGTACGAAGGATACTGTCTCGTCTCTGCGAAAAGAACAGGGATCAAAGATCGACAAGGCTCGGCGGCTAAAGAAAGGCTGGGTGATAAATTAGCCCTCGAGTTAGCCTCTGGGGGAGCGACTCAGAGCTTCTTTCCAAGTGCGGTTGACAGGAAGGGAACATCAATGTTCCACCTTGCTCACTCTGGTCTTGTAAATCATTGGGTTCGCGCAAGCTGGCAAAAGGGCCCATCTATGTACCTTGAAATTCTCCTCACCATCCATCTTGTCCCCACCCGGAACAGGCCAAAGGCGGACATGAAAGCTCGCGTTACCATCCCCTAGCTCAGCCAATAAACTCGTCTTGCTTTAGGGAGCCAGCAGAAAACAAAGGAAAGAGAATCTACACTATAAGCAGCAAGGGGGCAAATTGGAAGCAATCAATTATGTGCATGTTGAACCTCTCGTGTCGAAAAGCAAGGGCCGAGCATGACCAGTGCAGGCTTCCCGGAAGGGACGAGGTGAATCCGCTCCAGATCAAACATGTGTTGGAGAAGGACGGGTTGGTTTATTGAGGGCTGGGAGGGCACGGGAGGGGTAAATTAACTGATCGCGGATCTACCTGGAGACACCGAGTTTCACCTCAAGTACGTCGAGAATGCTGCTATTGACCGAGGAAAGGAGCCTTGAGGAGATGGGCGGAGGAAGGTGGAAGGTACAACTCAAGAGTCAAGAGGGAAAAAAGTATTGGCCGAGGACAAGGGAAGGAGATTTGGGGAAGAACCCACGTATCTTGGAAGGCACGTTGAAGAAGGCACATTGAACGAATGGGCACCGAGGTGGCATCAAAGGCGGGTCTCGTCTCAAGGCCGAGCCTTCCTTCGCCCACACGCAGTACCACCCGGTCTCGTCTTATCCCTTCCGCGTCGAACGAACGCTCCATCTCAACCAGGAAACTGCAGTACCAAATTACTATCTGCAGGAGAGGTGCGTTACTCACACCCTGAACTGATACCCACTCACATAGGTAATTATCTACTCGGACCTTACAGCCGAGCCAGCCTCTTGTAAAGAACATTGAAGCTTTCGGTGCCGAGGCCATGCACCACCACGCCAGAGACGTGCCTAGCTTCCATATCTAGCTTGAGAGATTCTGTTTCCTACCATTGACAGCTAGAGATGTGTAGACGAGGATTCTCGTGGAGAGCCGGCTGCCAGGGGCCTAGATTCCTGAAGCTGACGGTCCGGCCTGCATTGAGGTCCCAGTGTTCGAAGCGGTTGTCTTCTCCTGTGGTATCGGTATTAAGATCTGGCACGTTCGAAGAAATATTTGAAAATGTCCGAGCACTTCCGAGTCCGAGAGACAGAGGCTCAGCACAGACAGGCCCGCAGCTTGAGCGCGTCAGCAGGAAGGAAAGACATGCTCCTGCTTCGCTTCCCTGGTTCTTACTACATGCACCGATGCAAGTTCGACAAGGCAAGACCGGCGACGAAGGCTCGGGGCAGGCACGGAACGAGGGACAGAATCAAAGGAGGTAACACAGTGAGCTTTGACAACGATTCTGAACCGAAAATAGAACATGGCTGCTAGAGGATGTCTCTTTTCTCCAACTTCTAAGTGAGACCTTTATTTCCACCCCATCCTTGAGTCAACGGGCTTCGACTGTTTAGAGAACATTGAACCAACCATCCATAGCCCCGAAGGCTCCGCCTTCAGGTACGGGACGAAAGTACTTGATACGAACACACGTTGAGGAGTCCCTGTCACTTGGTAATCGTCACGAAGTCTCTTGAACCTGTAAAGAAACGAGGTGAGATTTTTGCCCTCTTCCAGGCACGACCCAAACGAGATCTTGGAGGTGCTGCTTCGGCAATGGGACATCCGACTTAATATTAAGCCCGCAAGCCTGTCGGGCCCTAGATCTGGCTTCCTCCTGCCCTAGGCGGGCCGACGGTGGGCCACCGCGGCCTCAGCACGGATGGCACACCGCGCAATCTTCGGACCGCGAGGAGGGTGTCAATATCCAACAAGCCGGCCAACACATCCCCTAACCTGGGGAACTCCGTAATAGGTCTTTCGATAGTGCGTTTCCTCAATGGCACCATGATATCGATTCAATTATCAATTGACCACGAAAGAGATTGATGTATGGCCAGATAGCTAGACGTACAGAACCGAGTCCCGGCAGTCATGATGCCTTGTTTATTGGCAACTACCTTTCGAACATTGAACAACGTAATATCTTCCGCATTCTCCACATCTTCGCGTGGCATATTGATTGTGTTCAGCCCTCATTTGAACCTAAATGCTCGCTTCATCGGCCTAACCGCCCTTAACCCCCACGGGGTAGCAGTGGATATGGCTATGAAGCCCATTCATCCTTACAAAGATGGCACTATCTCTCTGAGTCGAGACCTTTTAGCATGAGGACCACTCCCGGGCCGAGTATCGAACGAGGTAACTGCATGTTGGGTCTCTTATCCCTCTCGATGGGTCCAGCTTCCTCATCTTAGACGGGACTATAACTGATCTAAGGCAGCCTCACGATCATACAAACAGTTTACTCTTTCGGACAGGCCCTAAACTTTTGGCGCGATGGTCGACTTGGTAATTCCGCCAGTCGTTGAGCCTCCAAATATCCGGATTGAGCTCCTTACATGTGTCGATTTCGACAACAACCCTTGAACGATTAAAAAGACACGAAGAAAAGCCAATTGGCTTTAACCCCACGTGTAGTCTCGAACCACAGGCAGTCATGCATGGCCGGTTTTCATCCTGAGTAGCATCACGGAGGGAAACTTCGACCAGAGCCTCCTTGAACAGTGGTTGCGAGGTGGGACAGGGTAGGGATATGTGGCTGCTGGACTATCGCTAACCTCATCCGAACAGTCGCCGCACGGAAAAGATCTCCCGTAATTCCTAAATGCGTTTGATTTGCGCCTCTTTGAGTCTCTCGATGGCATGACCCACCAAGCCCATGTGTCCCTCAGGGTTTTCCACTCCGGCTGATCATTCCCATCTCCCCTTTGAATAGAGCAATTGTGTCATTTCCCTTTATACTTATCCCTTCCTTCCTTATCTTCTTCGACTTATACTACTCGGCTCTCAAAACCCTTGGTCGCTCGCGCACGTCAACCCCCAATCTAGCAATTGAAGGACCACGCAAATTACCCTTTACCCATACGTAGCCTCCCTATCGCTAGGCCTACTACCTTGGATTTATTATACAAGTACTCTTCATAATCTTACTGCTTGATCCCCGGCCTTGTTCTCCATTCCTGGGGCCAGCAAGACAGTTGTGGTTCGTCGATCGTCTAATCCTCTGAGGGCTTAGCATGCTTGTGGGCACCAGACTGAGGGTGGAACCATTAACCCCGTCAAGTTTTCGCTCACAGCCGGAGGTTCAAGCGCGGGACAGGCGGGCGGCACCGAGTAGCTTTCCTCGGATGGCAGGAAAACGAGCAATGCAATCCCACTTTCCATCGCCACTGCAGCACACGAAGTGGGGAAATAAAAGCTGCATTGCCCAGCATCGCAAATGGTCTCTTCCAAAAGGCCGCTCAAGGCGGATAATCTCGACAACTCGTCTCACGCACCAAGTTCATGTACGACTGTAACTCACAACGTCCCATTTTATCCCACGCCGTCCAGTCCATCGGAAGCGGTAAAATTTTCGGCTACGCTGTCGACGCGCACTTCTCGAGCACCGCAGAGGAACTTGGGGGAGGAGGGGGCGGCCGGGGTTTGCCTCTGGCCACTCCCCTTCTTTTGACAAAAATGCGGGACAGAGGACGTGTGAGGGCGAGCAGGTTGGCGGAAAGCCCGCACCCTCTGCTGCAGCTTGAATTCCGCCCACGCACGCCCACGCACGCCCTGCCTAAAACAGATTTTAATGAAACTCAACCCTGGCTATGTCGCAATGTGAGAATTACGGTTGAAAGCGGGAAGCAAGGCCCGGGAAGCAAGAGGTGCACCCGGAGCGGTCGATCTGAAATGATATGCATGCCCCATGCCCTGGCCCCATAGCTCTCGAGGATGAAGAGGGTATGGTTAAAAAGAAAGAGAGGATCAGATGCGAGATGAAAGATGACTACTAGCACCGGCGAACATTCCGTATATTAGAGAGATGTCGGTTGGATGGCACCTCGAGAGATGCAACTAGAATTCCAAGTCGGGCTTGTCGCTGACAAAATGAAATCTTGTGTGCATTTCAAGCTAACAGCGCGACTTTTAGACTCGGCGCCGCGACCAAAGGACGAGCAAAGCTGGCGAGGAGGAGTAGTCGGGAGTGACGATCTATCTCGCGGTCATCCATATCCAAGATGCGAGGGCGTTGACTCCCGTCCCTCCTTTCTTCTTCTTTTTCCACTTCTTATTCTTCTTTCCTCCTCTCAAATAGAAATTGATCTGTTCCGAGTTCCACCGCGGCTGGTCCAGGGTGACGACGCCCGAGACTTGACCCGCATATGCGCATATGTACCGTAGGAGCACCATGAGTTGTTCAAACCTCCGTGCAGATTCTAAACGCGGCGTGCCGGTTCATCTGCTGGCTGGCCCAGCCCAGCCCAGCCTTCATTCCTGGAACGGCGCATGGTCGTAGCAGCGATAGCCCGTTTGAGCAAGAGGCTGTTGCGTGAGTTGCTTCAATGGATCTTTATCCCCCACTTCTTTTGTTTTCTGTTAATCTTCTGTTCTTTTATAAAAGGAAAAGAAAAATTTCGTTTGAACCTTGCCGGTGCGCATCAAGCATCCAATCCCACCGCACTGCCTAGCCCACACTCTTCGCCAGCCAAGATTTCGGTCTTGCGGAAACACAGCAACGTACATGTACGTCACAGCCCTTCTACCTCGCTTTCTCTCTCAGGGCACTGTCAATAAACTACCAAGGCATTTGAGATTGGCGATTCCTCGGCTGAGAGCCGCCTGTAAACCTTGCGTTGCGAGGGCCTTAGCGAAAGGGAAAAATGCGAGCTCTTCGCGGCGGGAGGGGAACAATACTTTCCTGCCTAACACGGCAAATGGTATAATAATGATTCGATAGGCCTTCAGCCCGCAGGCGCAAGACAGCGATAATGGCGTATGGGCTTGGAGGATTGGCTGCCCCGGAGGACAGCCAAATACGACCGCGTGTGCCGGAAAGGCCGTTTGTCGCTAAGAAACACGGCACATGTCTAACTTGATAAATTGATGCACCCGTACTCGGATACTCGACAATACAACTCAAGAGGAAGGCCAGAATGAACAGCAGTGCCGCGGACGACCAAAGCGCCTATTACACAGGATGCAGATGCACCACATGCATCGGACTCAGCCACTAGAAACACGACTAATATAAGCCGCTCGACCAAACCCTTCCACAAAACATTGACTCTCCTACCCCGTACCAAAGGTATGGCGCGCGTTGACAGAGGTAGAGAAACCTTTGGCTCACGTCAAGATCTTGTAGGCATGCTGGAATATGCCCGCAATAGCAGGTCGCTAGGGAAAACGGGAGGGCCGCGCCGATGCGCTTGCGATGAGCTACCTGCGTCCCCACGCGACACATGGGGAGCAAGAACAACGCATACAGTATCGCAAGGAATGCCATATAAATCTTCCCGCAGCGGCCCCGACGTTTAACTTTGATTTAGCAGATAGAGTATATAAGGTTCAAAGACATCTTTGAGGGGAAAATGAATGAGAAAAAAATGAAAGAGGAGGGGGGGAAGGGGCCATAGAGGGAGACCCAGAGCGCTTTACGAGGGTCCCTATGATATTGGGGCGCAAATAAATATCGCAGTGATCTGAAGAGACGTAAGAATCTATGATACACGAGTCCGTTTGAGGTCCGGTCGTCGGGCGCGTCACCCATACCCTTCTTTCATATGACGAGGCTGTTTCGCAGTAAGCTTTGGACTCCTTTGCCGTGCTCGCCTCCTCCTTGCCAGCAGCTTTCATCAGGGATCCCCATGCTGCCGTCGGCGAACATCTTGTCACGGAAGTGAGCTCATCACCGGGTCCATCCTAGCCCTTTCTTGACTGGCAGCGCCGTTATCTCCCTTCCGCACCACTGGGGAGTCAAAGCGGTAGTCGGTGAGCCTGAATCTAGGTGGCTAGGACCGGGAGAGAATCCCGGTCCAACATATTTCTTGTATCCTCCACTCCAGTGAGGAACGGGCCGGTTGAAGGGCGCGGGAACTTCGGTTCGGATGTGACAGGTCATTGTGAAAATATCAGCACCTTTTACATCAACGACATCCATGCATAGTAGATGCTTCAACAGTGACGGCATGGCAGGAGGGCTTGCCCACGAACCACATTCAAAACCCCAAAAAAGGGGGACAAGGCCCAGAAAAAGTTCTCTCGCCATGATTGCGCCTTGATCAAGGGTACAAACCCGAATCCTTCAGGTTCGGTCTCACAAAGTTGTTGGGGGTGATCCTGAGGTTCCATTCGGACCTCTACCAGAATCCCCTGAGGCCGGACCGAGCAATCAAAGAACTGACGGGAGCCTGGCCCGCGAGGTTTCTTCAACTTTCCTTTTGTCTTGAGAAATATTGGGTTCCCCTGCATAATGGCCCGGGGAGGAGTCTAGAACGGATTGACTGCCATGGTATGGTATGCATGAAAATACCTTTGTGTTACGACACCATTGACCTTACATTGCCCATGCACTAGATGTCCCGGAAGGTGTAGTGGGTGTAGGACTCCTTGAGTCGAGACTTGGGGGTAGACGGGTTAGATTTTGTGTTCTTTCTCCCATCAGGCTGTTCCTCAGCTAAACCGGGATTTGATAGCTGTGGAATATCAGATTCAACCCCGTGGGACTCGAGCCATTGTCTGAGGTTTCGTTAGGCTCAGTCAAAACTTATGAAGCATCAATCAGCTTCACGAATGGCACAGAAACCATGATTCTACGGTGCACATCTCAAGTTGCCCAGCCTGTCGATTTGACTTCATTTCGAGGCGCGTATCAGCGTGTGAGGTTGTCCGAGGCCGAGTGCCGCAGCATCACTTACACCCATCAACGTGGCATAGGCCAAGACGCCCTGCTTGTTGGATATCAACCCTTTTTCGTCTTCACAGCGTTGATCTCACCGCCAATAGACAAACTACGTACATCGCTCGAGCCTGCCTGCGCGAGCGGAATCGAAATCAGCGATCAAACCAAGCCATCAACTGGTCATGGAGACGGGTTTGGTAAAAGTCATCACCTTAGCTCTTTAACAGAATCTAGACCGGACCACTAAAGAATCACCGTTTCTAAAGCATGCGGTTTTACAGGTGAGGGATCGATGGAATCTGTGTGACAAAAGGAGTACTGGGAGCTACTCCCATACTTTGGGGAGGAGGAGGATGTGCTTTCGCAGATATTTGAGAGCTGTTGTTCTCGTGGAGAGATAAGAGATATTTACAATCTCTCTAGCTTAGGCCTTACCCTTTGGACTCAAGACATCCGCCGAGTGGACAAGATGAGTCAAAACGTCTGTTGGCTTCCTCGTGCCTTCAGCTCCCTTGTGCTGTCGTTGATTAGCTCCCACTGTATGCTAACACTTAGCTGCTGGCGTTGCTCGAACGAGTTCGAATCGTCTGCTTGTTGCCAAGATCCTGGAGCGAGCTTTCGCGCCATGCCAGCCGCGCCTCTCTCTTCTAATAGATGCCATCACTCTAGGACCCCCAGTGACGCTTGTATGGCAAGTGAGTTGTTGGAGTTAATAAAACAAAGAGACAAGCCGGCCACATAGCGTGGCACCGCAGCTCCAAGGCGCCGCCACCCGTGTACCGTTTCACAACTTCTTGCACGGCTTCTGTGCGATAGTGGCACCTCGTGCTCCTAATAGGCAATTTGAAACCTGGAGTTGACCTCGTACAACGTTGGATGTGGTGCTCTAGCTATGCGGTTGGAATGTGAGGGGAGCCTCGTACCAATCTCCAACGAAATGCCCGGCGTGTTCTCCTGGTCATGACATCAGAGGTATCACGACGAGGCTAGCTGTCAGATTCCGGAACTGTGTACCTGTATCGTCTATGCGAACCGAGCCCCTTTCCTCATCTCAAGACTAAGGAGGAGAAAGAAAAGCTGGCCGTAAGAAGGATGAAGGCGCCGCCGATTAGCACGCAGGTTTCGTTGTAGAAAGCACATACTCATGTTACGAGACCTAGAATAACGCGTGTCAATAAGGTGGTCTGGAGTTGAATTGACAGACGAGGTGCCTTGGGGACTTTGAGACAAGACTTCCGAACTTTGAACGCCGGTCGGAGATGGAAACCGGAGCTGGGTCTCGGCTTCTCTGGCGGCGTTAGGGGTGACTGCGCAGAGAAATTTCAGCATGCGGTGCCTCTCGATGGTTTGAAAGAAGAACCAACAGGTATCCAAACTAGCAACTACTCAGGCGCATGGTGCCTACTTACGCATAGCATCTGTTCCCTTCAAATCCGACTTGAAGCTCTGTGCCTTGTCCGGTTTAGCAGCTCATGAATATCTAGCAGACCCAAGGCAACATGTGACCCGGCGTCACTAGGTCAAGCACTTCACCGTCAACTTGAGTGTTCCTGCCGGGGGCTTCTCTCTGGACTGAGGAAGTTCCATCCATGTACGGCAAGAAATGTTGGTTGGATATCACGCCTCCTGGCCCTCGCGGATATCTGCAGGCCTCTATGCCATGAGTAGAATCCAGCCTTGGAAACAATCATGAGCGGTTATCAGCTCATGGTATAGCTATTAGTAGCAGCCCCTCCTTAACTCTCGCTCGATAACGAACTGTTGAGTCTCTTTAGATGGAGAATGTGAACTGCCTTCAGGCCCCGGCCTATCATGAATGGGTCAGGGTATATGATGCTAGTCTAGGCCTTCCACAGTGGACGCTCTTCTCAATCGCTCGCGATGCTACGCCCCATTCAGCTTTGCGCGGGCCAACATTATTCAGTTCACCTCCAAAGGCCATTTGACTAAAAGCTTAAGGACGCTCTAGATGGCAGTCATCAGTAACTGAAACAAAGATCTCTCCTCAGTAGAGGCCGGGATAGTAAGGCAGGAGATCACCATATTCCCAACGAAGGGGCGCGGAGGACAGATGGTGGGAAGTGGGCACCGGGAAAGTGAAAGAGACAGCCAGGGATGGCATCGAGATATCCCTCTCAAGGCTCTGTTCATTCAGAAGTTAGAGTGCAATCATCTTATCCACTTCTCATACTTTGACCCTCCTCCTTCAAGTGGTCCACGTCCCAACTTCAGATACCAACAGACAGACTCTAAGCCAACCATTATGGGAGTATATCACTTCAAAAAGTACATTAGCTCCGCACACCACGATAGACAGTCAGGTTGCTGCCACATATAACGACATGCCAGGCCTCGAAGGGCTCTTACGACAGTCTAAGTTATCTAGCGAGGGCAGGACCTCGACAAAGGGTTGAAGGAAAGGACAGCAAAAGCACGTATCGATGTCGATTTCGAATCCCTCAGACAGCGTGCTGAATTAGAAGTCAAGAGAAAAGAAATACCCTTCGGCCAGAAGAGCATGGCCCTCTCTAAAGCAGGGACTATCATAACATATACGACAGGATATCTGCGACACAGAAGCGGACAGAGTGTTTGACCAAGCCTTCACCCCTAACGAGGCCAGCTAGTCCGTCGAAGCTCTTCTCCTCACATTTCCTGTCACTCGCTGGTATAAGTGTAGTTGTTTGGATGACCCCAACTTCGAGACCTCAACACCGAAGAGTGCACAGGAAGGAAATTGCTCGCCGCCCAGGTTCCGCAATGATTAACGGGAAAGGCCGGGACAATGTGAGATCTAATCAAATCTCTTTTACGCAGCCCTGTGCGGGTTTATCTACGCTTCCAGGCAATTGGCTAAATGGCCCAGCAATTGCTCAGGAACAGCCGCTCGGCATGATCGCAACCAGAAAGGAGATATTCCGTCCCGCTTTGAAGGGCAATGGTGGGTAGACACTTAATCCGAGATGAGAAGAGCGGCACAACTTTTAGAAGACGGACGGTTGGAGGGGCCGCAAAGTTAGCGGCGATTGAACCACGATAACCCCAGATGAAGTCAAGGAGGGAGAGATCGGTCCAAGTAGCGAAGAGGGACCAACTGTTTGATGCATGAGCTTGGGCGAAGGGCGAGCATAGGAGAGTCGATTTGAGGTCGGCAATTCCACCATTGAACCCCTCACTGGCTTGACATCTCAAGCTACTTTGTACTTGCTTAACACCGACAGTGAGAGCGGCTTTGATGGGTAGAGGAGGTCAAAAGTGGGCCTTGGGGGCTTATTACTTCCTACCTATGATCCATCCATATTGGATGGATGCTGTTGCTGCTACATAATTCACTCACTCACGTCTCTCTCGCCAGCCCCAAGATGTGGTCGAGGGATAATGGGATAATGAGGAGCTCTCTATATGTGCCTGAGACCCAAAATCGTCTTGCCGAGGATCACCTCGACAAATCTCTCATCAAAGATGATATCTTAATCTATCACCATATCTTCTTGTCCGACACAGAAGCCAGCGTCGCGTGTCTCCTCACGGCTGCCCCGCTGAAAGCAATTCGCCTTGGTGCCTCCTTAGCGAGAATTAGATGATAGCTCAGGTGTCTCTCTGCATGACCGCCTTTGCTTGAAGTGGCCAAGGCCCCATGAAAGTTAGGCTGGCCGGGACCCTGGGGCGCCGCCTCGATGACCCCTCAAAGCTTGAGTGGAATCTGCAAAGAGGGACTCAACTTACGCCGGTGAATTATTAGTGGGAAAGGGAAGCCTAAGCAAATCTAAGCCGTTTACGGATCGATGTGAAGCATCGCGCAGGCTCGTCAATGAGGACCTGCGAAATCGGGGTCAACTCGAGAGCTAGTCGAGGCGGAATTCCTGAGCGAACAAATATCGGAATTGAGATGGCGGGGAAGAAACGGAAAATGTGGCTAGCCTCAACGACGTTGACCACCCTTGTGGCCTGGACGATGCAAGCCCCGCGAACTAAGAAGCAAAAGTCGGAGCTTCAGAGATGGCAGGGTCCCCCTTTCGTCTTGCCTCCTCTAACCCCTCACAAGGGGCTCTGCATGTGACAGGCTCAGGGGACACAGGAGCTGGAGACTTGCAAGGATCGCGCAATTGCCAAAAGGCACGAGGAGGCTCGATCGCACATTCCCCGCAGAGAAGTCAACTGGTTCATCTTCAAGAGGTCTTTTGGGCCCTCGCATGACGCGGATTGAGGACTCTCTAAAATCGGCTGGTCCTAGTCCTAGCCCCACGATCCCCTCCCCTTAGCGAAGCTGGCTTGATTGTGCCCGAAGAAGATCAGAAACCAAGGAATGCAAGGATCAAATCGCGGTTGGCCTTCTGCCTCTTGTTCTTGAAGAAGCATAGCCACTACATTCAAGTAGCGAAATGCTATCTCACCTTCTGCCTCTTCCCCCAAAAGGGCCCGAATGTTGCTTGTCCCACATACAAGTGGATGTATTACAAGGGTAGAATGAGCGGTGACAGCATCAAGACCCAAAGTGCCTAAAGCAGCAACATGCCCGCATTCCTTTTCGACTGTGGTGTTTTCAGGTTTCTCACTGTATTTCAGGCCGTAGCGAGGAATTGCCAACCTCCCATGTATCCTGCTTTGGACCAACTGGCAAGCAGCATGCGAAAGCGCTGCACCGGTTGCTCACTTGCGGCGGCCGCTTGATGCTGTCTCCCAGGGCGATCCCGTTCCCTTGTCCCTTGGGCGTCTTGGGTGCTCAAGTGCGAATTAAGCTCCTGTGCACTTGCAGGTCAGGATGCATCTGGCGGGAGGGTTCGCCATGTGCCTCTGGCCACCGCCTCCGGCGAAATGCCTACTTGGCAACATTACACCCTGCATGTCGCGTGGGGACTAGATCAGAAGTTGGGGGAGGGATCGGGAGTGCGTGCGTGTCATGGTTCCCCTCTGCCTCGCTAGGAAAGCGAGGGTCCGCGCAAGCTATGCAAGCAATGAGCACAGGAACGAAGGTTCTTACCCGAACAGGGCGCGATATATCATCTCATGAAAAGGGACGTCCTCCCTCAAGCTCATTCGTTTTGGCATTCAACGATCATTTCAGGAGACGATGACGAAAGTCGAGACAATGGATGACTTCACAATGTCGACTCCGGTCTCGATAGGGAAACGACGGATGGAGTCGTGGGGAAGAGTCTCGGCGATCTTCATGGCGACAGGCCAGTCAGGTGTTAGTATCGGCGGTCACAGAAAACGGAACTTTGCAAATCAGGAACGCCTTCCGCACAGAGGATGTTTGAAGTCTCAAAATCCCGCGCGAGGATCTGATTTGACAAACTGCCAAGCAACAGCAATGATCAGGAATACATGTAATATTCAGAAAATTTCATCGAAAGACTTTGATTTCAGATCCGTTCACCCACTGGTAATACTTGTACTTCACGCTCTTGAGGACCAGTGTGCGTTATCTAGGCCAGCTTGGCCAGTCAACCTAGGCAGGCCGCCGGACTGGCTCCACTCCGTGCCCATCTCCATCTTGACTGATCAAAGTTGTCTCGTAAATTCTCTCCATCAGGACCACCTTCCCTGTTCCCCATGAGGTAATGCGGAACTATGGCTTCTTGAGAGCTTAGGAGCGGCCAGTTTCTTCCTGGTCTCTCTTGTGTTACCCCATACCGACCCTCTTTCGCACTTGTTCTAAAATCCGCTCGCCATCTCAAGATATTAGGCGGCCGCTCAAGCTCAATCAATTGTTAATCAATCCATAACGCTGGGAGAGGGTGGCTGACGAGATTGCCACACGGGTCGCTCAATGTTGCCGACTTTTCGGGATATGTCGTTCCTGTTTTGTGTGCCTCTCTCGGCGCGTGTCAGAAGCCAGATCATCATCCTCTTTCCATTTGTCCCCCTTGGTTAGGGAAGACGAGATGTACGATCGAGGTCAAGGGACGCTTGGCAGAATTGGCCTGTTGTGGCGGCCTCCCTGACTTCTTCCCCGCTGGATTTCTTTTAAAAATAAAATAGAGAAATTGGCCCCAAGTACTTCGCATCATTCAGCATATAAAGAGGGACAAGCTGGTTGCCTACAACTTGGACACACAATGGAGCGGAGCAAGGCAGCATGACCACGATCCTCCTTCGTCACCTCTCTTCGATCTTAAAGAGGTGCCAAGAGCGGCGCCAAGGCGCTTCATTGGACCACGACAAGGACGACGGCCCGATCAAGTGCACCACCCATTGATACTTCGTACTTTTACTTCGTACTTCTTGCGTCGCCCACCTGGGGCTTGGTAACGAGCCATCACTGCTAAATCGCACCTCGAGTCTCATATACTCTTGGTCTGCTTTCTTTGGCTTTGGCTTTGGCCCGCCGAGCCTATTAGCTAAATACATCAGGAGTCGAGGTGGCCATAATCTCAATATTCCTTTCTCATCTCGTCATCCGCCATCGCCACTACTGAAAGTCCCTCCCGAGGAGGGCCCTTCAGTGACCCCACTCGGTATATCTCAACAGCGACCCATCATGAAAATCCCAAAGAAGAGGCTTAGTGGTGGCGGTACTCTCTAGATTGGCTTTTCTGCCTTGGTCCTTGGTCCCACCAGCGCGGGGGCGGAGCGGGTTAAAGGAAGCAAGTTGGTCGATACTTGAGAATCTTACCGAGTTGGCCGTTCTTGAGGTTTGAGCTTGACAAGTCCCCCGGTAATATTTACAACTTGATGCCTGTACTTTTGCTGCAAGTGATCTCTGCGTGATACCTGCAGACCACCCAACATTGACCAGACAAGTCCACCCACCTCCCCCGACTTCGCTCCTATTACCCCTCAATTCTTCTTCTTTTTTTTCTCTTTCTTTTCCTTGGGGGCTGACCGAACGTTCGTTCACTTTTTCAGAAAGGGGCCCGTGCTGGCTGGAGTAGCTTTCTCCATTCATCTCGTCTTCACGATGTCTCCATATAACGGGGCACCCTCCCTAAGGGAGGGAAGGATAACATCTTTACGAGCATTCCAACGGCTAATAATCCAAGTAGTGAGCTTATTAGTGAAGGGCGAGCAATCTTTCCCTTTTTGCTAGTGGCGGATACACCAAGGCTGGGCTTATCGCATGGCAGGTTCTCCCGCCGTGAGTGGTCGGACTGATGTCCTGCCTTGGTGGCTAGGAAGTGGATGTGGAGTCGAGGTATTACTCAAGGGCTAATGATGTATGGGGTACCACTTCCGTCTTGCATGCGTGAAAGTGATCCAGCACCAGGGTACAGATCTTCCGTTGCTAGCTGCTACTAGCTCTGCCAGTGCCCCAGCGCTGGGAGAGCCCCGTCGCTGGGATTGGCTGGTCGGTCCATCCCTGGGCTTGTACAGTCTACAAGCCTGAGGGCCTCAAGACCAAGAAGGAAAGTCGTTGACCCTCTTGACCCTGTCCAAGTAAAAATCTCTCAACCATTGTGGTTGAGAACCTGTCTTGCCTGTTCAATTTTGATGAACCTCCACCGCAGTCGGTGGTTCTTCTCCTTCCGTCCCTGTCAAACGACGGAAAAAGCAGGTACTTACGTCCTTCTGGCAGCACCTGCCCGTCTTTGTGCTTCACGACCTTTCTAGATGTTCTCCCAACGCTCGTAAATCTAGCCGACAGCGTTCGAACTTCCCGTGACTGTTCTGTGTCCCCGTCCCCTTCAATTCACCCAGCCAGCCAGTCTAGATGTGAGAGATGCAAGGCCATTCGCCGCGTCCTCCTCTCAAAATACTGCTGCACTCGTTCTATTGGACCCGTGGGTGGACCGGGCCGGTGTTTCTCCAGCCCATTGTTTGCTTCACCAAGCCAACGACCCCTCGAGCTACCGAGTGACCAAGTAAACGACCCATGACAGTTGAGATTGGAGCACATTAGATCCCATCCATGTCTGTATTAACCATTCCGCGCATTCCACCCCGAGTCGGGACCAGCTCAGCTCAGCACAACAAACTCGATCTCGTCTCTCGTCCTTCGACGTTGTGACGTCCATCTTCCCCCTTTACCATCCGCTCTCTCCTTCAAGCCCTTCTCACCTGCGAGTGTCCAAGTGGATGAAGAGCCAACCGACAAGCGAGACCGATCAATGTTGGCTGATTCTCCCCCACCCCACCGAGCCCACACCTCCACGGAAGCGGAACAGTTCCCCCAAAGGTACAGTCTACCCACCCCCAGCCCACTCCTTTGTTCTTCCTGTCTCCAGCCAGACACAAGCTCGATGTTCCTTCACCACCCACACCTCCACACCTTCGCGTTCCCCACCGCCTCAAAAGCTACTATCGACCCGACTCGTGCCAATGAGATGGCAGATTCCCTGCTTCACCTTGCCTGCTCCCGCCTCGGCCAGTGCCCTTGCCCCTCCTTCGATCCGGCTGTAAACAACGCCTGAGAAACAAACACCGAATCCGATCCATTACTCGTGGGCAGCTCAACTCAACGCCGTGCTGTGGGGGAGCGTGTGGACGCTGACAGTAATAATTCTAGTCCTCGTTGCACATAGCCACCAAGACGGTGGCACCAGGATATTCGTAATCCCATCCCGTCCGCTCATCAATTTAGTCGCTTCTCCTTTCAATCTCTCCTCATTCTCCCTTTGCGATTTTTCGTCGTAAATTTTGCCCCAATCTGGCGGAATTCCATCTCGCGCTGCAATTGCGAAATAACCTTGACTCGGACGACCACAACACCATCACGCTTCCGCACACCTTACAAGTACGCTGCTTCTCGACCAAAGGCCCCGCCCTTCCTCTCTCTGGATCTCCGGAAGCCCTTTTGGCGCTAAAGCGACTCCCGACTCATCCGTCCGCCCTCCTAGGTAACATACCCCTCAGTAGAACCCTCTCCGCGCTCATGCTCCGGCGCAACATTTAATTATCACCCGACCGCCTCCTCATTGTTCCTTCTTCTCGAACTCAAGCTTGGCCTCCGCTTCTTGTACTTCCGTAACACTAAAACACGCGGCAGCGCTGGTCGCCTCAACTCTTCCGGCTCTGTCTCGACCTTTACTGCACTGTCACTGACACGGCTTCCGTGCTTCTAGTTCTCTGTGCTCCCACGACTGGTTTCACTTTCTTCCTGCCTGCCACTCCTCTCTCCCCCTTCTCTCATACACAGCTCGAGCAGGCATCTTGCTTGACACGTGCTTCTTTTCAAATGCTCTTATTCTCATCACCGCCTGCGGCCATTTTCTCCCCTAACCTGCGCCGGTTGTCCTGATTCCTGGTGGGGATTCTTTCCTTCCCACTTGCTCTTCTCTCGCTACTGGTGCCTCCGTACTTGGGTGCGGCGAAGACTTCGCGTGTCTTGAGATCAGCCTAGGATAGGCCAACGATCCTGCCAATTGCGCTGAAAGTTTAGATCAGATGAAATTCGACGGTCTCGACTCAACTCCAAGGCCAATCTGAGGACCATTTCATTAACCAAGGCCCATCCGGCTACTTTGGACTGGATATAACAACGGTTAAGCTGTACCCTGCACGGCTTCGACATCGGCTTGGCAACCCATTGGTCGCATGGCAACAAGGCTTCACGAAGCCCCGTCAAGGATCAAGGAAAGGCTGGACGAGAAATCGTCACTCGACTCTAGGCGCCATTTGATTTGGCGTGGTCTTTTTGGCAAGACCCGAGATGGCCTCTTTCTCAGATCTCTCGATCCTCGGATCGCACACATCACACGTCTCCCATGGGTCTCACGGATCCCATACGAGACTCACCAAGTCGCGAAGCAAGTCAACTATGAAGCCGATATTAAAAAGACGAGCCACTCGGAAAAGAATTCTTTGGACCTTGACAGAGGATGGGAGGAGGCAATTCACTACAGTAACCACGGCTGGGGCGGGACGTCTGGTGTCGCGAAACCCAATTCTATACGGGGCTCCGAGAGCCAGCTCGCTCGTGGTTTAGGGATCACCGAAGCGGGCGCGAATGGCATCCGTGGTGGAAAGGATGTGAGCTTTAGCCTCTCCGCCACCGATCTGAATCGAGGCGAGCCAGGCACGCGCAAATATTCTCACACCCGCAGCACCAGTGTGACCTCCCACATCTCCGTCGCAACTTCTGCCAGTGGCCACCTCGGGGAGGGCGCAGTGGCTCCTTTGTCCACCCCTTCCAGCAGATCCCGCGCTCGTCGACCCCTCCCTTTCCTACGCCAACTCTCTCGCGTCCTTTGACAACACCAGCTTCGCTCGTGATTATTCCCCCACGATTACAGAAGACGAGGATGCCGACCCCCAAAACCTTCAAAAAACTATTACCCCACCCACCCCTACCCATCATCATTACGACGGCCGTCCATCGCAAGCCAAGCGAATAACTCTCAAACCGACCTCGCCGCTCCCCGCCCTTGCGAATCAATACTTCGCAAACGACCGCGGCGCCCGCCACACGCCTAGGACGGAGTGCTCTCACATCTAGCAAGTCGGACCTGAGGCTGGACGCTTTATCGGCCACCCAAGAATCGCCTATATCATCCAGCGTAACCGGATGTACCATAACCCAAACCCTCACCTCTCCCGTCTCGTCGGTCGCGCCTACCCTTTCACCCATCCGGAGTTCTCTGGAGATGAATTTCAGGATTCGATCCCGATCCGAGCTCGATACCGCTTCCCGCCAGGAGCAGATTCGAAGAGCGCGTCGTGAGTTTGAGATCAAGGAAGCACAGAAGCAGGCCCTCCGGGACGAAAAGGCTGCTCGAAGGAGGGACGCCGAGGTCGAGAAGGAGGCCCAGAAGTTTGTGAGGAAGCAGAAACAGCTCGCCAAATCCAACGGGCTGGCGAGTGGCCGTAACAGTGTCAGCGCCGAGGCCCGACCGCCCTATTCGCGCAATAACACGGCCGGCACCAACGAACTTGCCGTTGACCCCGAGAAGAGCGAATTTGCTGCCAACAACTATGCCAGCACCGCCCCAGGCGCCGTCCCCGTGGCCGAAGCCGCCCAAATCGAGACCCAGACCCAACCCCGCCGCTCTCAAACCGCGCGCCGCAAAACGGCGTCGGCATGGACGTCCTTCATCTTGTGGGTCAGGACCAAGTTGTTCAAAGCCGGTAGACGTTAGGTCCACCCGCTGCAAGGCCCGAAATGCGCGCACCTCGGCTATGTGTATGTGAATAGGGTTCGAGGCCGTGGCTAGGGAACTGTCGTCACTTGGACTTGCCTCACCGTGCGTCGAGATCTCGTATCCGTCCTAGTACTCTGCGCCTCGAGCGATCATTTCCCTCAAACTCACTGGGCGTGTAAGTTTGAGTAGCTCTTAGACAAGCCGCCCTAGCCCGCCACCGTCACGATGATGCCTACGCTGTTGACTCTCTGGCCACCAGCCGTCATTGATGTCAAGCACATCACAGTCTCCAAAGAGAGCGCGCATATGGCTCAAGCTCCGGTGTTGGGTTGATATAGCTCTTTTGTAGCTCATGTTCTCTACCCGTCGATTCGATCTACATTCCCCGCGCACACATTGGCAGACCGCAGGTCAATACAGCACTGCGGCGCTTCTATGATTAGACGTTCGAAACAAATCTCCCAGGAAATCATCACCTTTATCACACTCACCTGGGAACATACGTATCCCTCTCCCAACATTCAGTCTCTATGGACGAATCAGACTTACCCAATCAACTCTCATCTCGTAGGCACCACCTCGGATTGCCTGCCCTACGATTGCATTTATGATTACGACTGCTCTTCTATTGGTTTCTATTTTTCATTTCTTGTCCCTCGTTTTCAAAACCAGGGCTAGCCTAGCGCAGGAGTTCTCGGTTTCCCCCTGGAAGGGATGGCTTTCCTTCAATTTTCTGATTCAATCTTCTGATAACGGGTTAGGTTTTCTTCTTTGCTGCTTGTTCTTCTTTTTTCGTCTTCTATCGCTCCATCTCTTCTCACTTTGTCGGGCGGTCCAAGGAAACCATTTTGGGAATGGATCATCGGAAATATTAGGCATTGGGTTATTCGGGTGCTTTCATGCTCTTCTGTCGTTGCACCTTGGTTTTTCTCTCCGCTTTTACCAATCTCTTGGGCATACACAGGCAGGCGCCTCACTCGCTCAGGGGTGTTTCAGGCGTTTGGGACATCGCGAAAGTCGAGGCTTTTAAGCCATACAAAGGTCATGGAATGAGCATATATCTGTTCCGCTTGCGCCTCTTGATCGGCTGTTCATGGGGTCCCGGCTGGGAGGGCACATGACCAGCCAACTTCAATAGGCAAGAGATACACAGCACTAGACAATTGGAATCAAAGAAGCCTGGGAACCAGGCATTGATTGGCGAGATTCGCAGTTGCTCAAGTAGAAGTGAGAAATCATTGTTCGACCCTATTTTTCGGACTTAGGACTTAATCCCCCGATGGCTGCACAATCATCCGTCTCTGATGTCGGGTGGTCCGGAATTACCAGGCGGCTTATCCTGGTCAGAACAAGACTGAGAAGTGGGCGAGAGCACAATGCTGCCCTCAGGAAAGTGGCGGTGGTGATGTATTAATAATGCTGCTCTAGGCTCCAGCGAAGGGAAAGCACCCTACTCAAGATACGGTGGATGCGAGCGAGGAGGACTGCCTGGAGAGGCCGTTATTATGTGCTGACTAATTGCGGTCGTGGGTGGGACTTAGGAACGACGGTCTCAGCAGGCTCGGTACCTTGTGCTCCGGGATGCTGTGCACGATTCACGGCCATCAGCGTGAATCGCCTCACCACATCAACTTCAATTCGAATTATTCATCTCCCCGCCCTCAGCGCTTGCGCCAACCTCGAACGGACTGGCGATGCTTGGGCCGTCTGACAGAAATGGGGTATGACTGGGCTAGCTACCGGGAAATATGTTAACAGGTTATATATCGTGGAAAAGATGTCGCTGGAGAATATCATGGAACACATCAGGCTCCACCATAGCTTTACGCCGAGGTGAGTCACTCACTCGCCGATTGCCTCACGCCCCCTTCCATTTCCAAGCACGCAGCTGTTAGCCTTCTCCACTAGCCGGTTACCATCGCCAAGCTCGTGCACACTATTCCTTCCCTTAACCTTGTTGCGGTGTCTGTCTGGTGCTGGTGTGTTCCCTTCTGGCCTTTCTACTGGTCCTTTTGTGGTGTTGGGGTTCATAGATGGGTTTTCAGCAGTAATACATAATAGTTCCATAGGGATGCGAAGCCTCCGCCCCTTCCTACTATCACCCCTCCCCTTCTTCGCCTCTTACAGAGAATAATCACTAAAGAGAAGAAAGTTTGAGAACCCCTGAGCTATATTAGAAGATAGGCACTGAGAGGCAGATTCGTCATTCACAGCTGGGCGCGAAGCCCTCCATATACCTTTGTTAACCGCAACACCCCCCTCTTCACACCACTTCTTCACCCTTCACCAACAATAAAATCGTGGCTGTCCTTTTGGAAGTTTGTTCAACCCTCTCTCTGAGGCCCGTCTGTTTAACTGCTTACTTGTGCCATTACACTTTCCCCGCTTTTCGATCAGGCTCCTAGAGTTGCCCGCCCTGCCTCAAGAGAGGCATTCACACTGATCTAGTTGAGAGGGAGGATTCACGCGATGCTTGCCATGGATACCGATACGAACTGGAACTGGGAAATGTCCTTTACAGTTGATCCCAATAACTTATCTGATAGTAGTAAACGGTCCTTTCAGAGCCAGTTCCGGAAGTGGGATTTCCCACTTAAACAGAACTCTGTGAACCAAAACGACGAGTTGCTCTCCCGTGTGAGGGAACTGTGGGAGCAGAACCTGCCTCAAAAGGAGATGCTTCGCATCCTGGGCCAGGAGGGCTTCGATATCAAGCCGAGAGAACTAGTACGCCTACGCTCCCGAAACCGACTCCTGCTTCGAGACCCGCGCGGCGATAAAGCTCAAGGCACCGGGTCGCCCGGGCAGTCGACTGATATCACGAACCACGAGCCGAGATCCCCGAGCCACAGCAGTAGACGGAGCACGCCGAGCACCCCCGCCTCCAAAGCTGCCCTTAGCCCCGGCGTTGCGGTATCTTTTGGCCACGACGAGCAGGCAGCCGACGAAACTCTGATGGATGCGGTGAGTTTGCCACTATCCCCAAAGCCCGGAAGAAAGCCCAGGGGAAGAGCGCGCCGGAGGGCGGGGCACGTGGTGGACCCTACGGCCCGTCCGCCGAGATTCCCTTCGGAGACCACTCTCGACGAGGCGAGGATAATTCTGGGCCTGGACACTGTGGGCTATCGAGCTGTGCGCACCGCTTTCCAGGGCATCTGCGAAGAATGTGCGGTGGTGAAGAAAACGTTGGCGGGACCCAAGCGATGGGAGACTGTCAAGAGTCGGCTGGTGCAAGAGGTAGTCCAGTTACAGACCCCTTTGTGGGTCAACCAAGAGAATATCGAATCGAAGAAGCTCGCCCTTGATATCATCTGCACAGACGTGACGAAACGAATGCGCGATGGCGACAAGCGTATAACGGTCAGCGATGCAAAGAGAATCCTGGCAGTCAACCCTGAGGAGTCGAGACAACTCCGCTCGAGCTTCTACCAACTTCTAGTGAGCGGCGAGGACCAGTTTACCTGCAAGTCCAAGGCCGGACCGGAGCAGTGGAATAGACTTATGCAGCAATGGATTGGGGGTTCCGAGATTATCCATGGACTTCTGGCTGGCGACCCCTCGACGCCCGGAAACCAAGACAGACGGAAGGCTTTGGATATCCTGGCCAGCGATGTGATGAAGAGGCTGCGAGACGAAAAGGCAAGAAAGGGCCAGCCAAAGGGGAGACAACGGCGAACTCAGCAGCCGGAACCGCCTCGGTGGACACTACCGGACGTGACAGCGTCGATACACCGCCAACGCAGGCCCATCACACACCCTCATATCCACACAGCCTGCACGCGTCGCCTCCTTCGGGCTTCTCGAGCCCGGGAGATGGCCAGGTGCCCCATTCCCTCGACGACTACGACAGCACATCGCAGATGCAACTTTGCCAGGCTCCCCGCTGATTCGATGGGCATTTCGCTCGCGGTAGGGCTGCAGTCGTCCCAGGATGTCGGTATACATGCGCACCGACGCGTCGAGGTTGCCCATCACGGACATGCCGTCCGCCACCAGATTCTCTCTGGAGTGCTTGACAGTCACGCCGGACTGGCGCTTGACTCCCCCTCGAGACACAGCTCCTTCTTACGCACAGCCCTGAAACATCTTTTGTCGACCAGCAATTTATCGCCTCCTTTGGCATCGAGCCAGGCCCTCAACTCTTCCACCATATGAGCACCCCTAGCACCGCACCCGGCGCCGCAAACCCCTTCACCCCCGTCTCGACAATCGCCGTCTATCTGCGCCCGCATCCCTTGTCGACATACCCTCTCAGACCTGAGCTCTGGATTGCCACCCTCGACACTCAGTCACTCGAGAGACTGCAGCAAGTGGCGATTGACAAGTATCCAAAGGCGACATGCGTGAAGATCGAGGGGGTCCTGAAGGATCCCAAAGGTTCCGAGTTGCTCGTCCATATCGATGACGACGGGAAGCTCGCGGCCTACTTGGCGCACGTGGAGGGCTCGACGCCCACCTTCAACGTACAGTTGGAGTGGCGAGGCTAGGGCGAGGGATGTTTTCCTTTTTTACCTTTTTCTTTTCTTTCTATTTTTGGTTTCTTTGATTGGGACGACCCAAGCGGCCGTATGTTGGCCTAGGCAAATGGAATCCCCGCTCAACTTTTGCGAAGCGCATGCCGATAGGCCTACTGCACCCCGAGGTAGCCCGATGCTAGACAGCATGGCTGCGTTCAACAACCCGGGGCCTGGGCCCGAGATGACGCCCCAGCTTCGAATTCAACATCCTGATGGGGCGGCGGGCCATACCAGCGGTTCATGACAGGGTCTCTCTGCTTGTTTCTCGATAGGCCAAAATCAACGAGCCCACGGCTGCCCAGGGACGGCAAGAAACTCACCTCAATGGCTATCGAGAGCTTGTGCATGCACCAGGGTCCTGCGCGCGCTCTCTCCCCCGCTCTCTCCTTTCACCTCTCCTCTTTCCACTTTTCCCTCTCCTCTCTCTCCCATACCATAATCGACATAGGAGGATACGGCTGTCATGAAGTATTGGAGTCTGTATTTCGGTTCCTTTATCCTTTTTCTTCTCAAACGTACCTACTGTCACCCGTCCCCTGTACAGCGAACGAGGGCTATCGCCAGATTGGAGTTTTTTTTCCTTCCTATCCCACCGCGAAGAAGGATTTAAGAGTTTATTACGAGGTAGTCGGTTAAGATTAGTTTATAGCACTTTTGACCTGGCCGTTTCATACGTCGGTCCAGACAAAGCATATGTCCACTTCCTATGAGTCCCACTTGGGTCTATTGGGTTTCCATCCGGGAGACCTCGCCCGGGAGAACTGCATTCCTCCGTGACGCCAACGGTGGAGATGGTTAAGGTCTACCACCCTGTAGAGTAAAGCGCTGAAAGCGTGTGACGCGGCTCTCCACTTTGTGGGTGTGTTCCTGACAGGACTGGGGCTTCTGGGTGGAGACTGAATGGAGAAAAGGCGAGGAAGATCCATTAATTGATGGGGGATAATAGAAGATGAGTGCAAGGGGTTTCCACCAAGTAGTTCGCAAGTTCTTTTGAAAATAAGGGTGGTCAAGCCACCAGACCTGCGATTTGAAAAGCAAGGAGCAAAGCTATAGGGAACGGTTTCTCGGTCGTCAAGGGATGCGAACAGTTGGAACAGTTGAGCCTTTTCTCCTTCAAGTAATAATAATATAAGAGTCGAGATAAATACCCCACTCTATTGGGCTTCACGCTGCACCTCGACCTCGATGGGACAGGGAGTGTTTCATGTGCCCCAAGTTTCAACGTGTGAGGGTGCAAAGCTTACATCTGGGGGTTTCCTCATTTGTCTCGAGTGGCCTCTAGCTGTGTTTCCTGATCCCACTGCAACGACGGATAGAGGCGGTCATAACTCGGTCCCGGGAAAACTGGGAAAAACAGATAGCCCGAGAAAAGAGGTCGGTTCCATTCATCGATGCCAATTTGGCTCATGAAAGAGGGTCATGTCAAGTCAGCAACCTCCATCCCTCCACTCGCTGTCATTGAGCATCTTTCTGCAGGGTCGCGGAGCCGGGATTTGGAATCTGGAATCTTGACTTGTGGGGACGGGCGGGGGCGCCGCTGGTGCCGAGAGAGAAGAAAGAAAATGGTGATGAAGAGGATAATAAAGGCGGTGGCAGAGATGGGGGCGGTGCAGGGCAATCGTGATGAGCGGGCGATTTGAACGTTTTTGGAACCACGTTGATTCCATGGGGGACCCTCGTGGGGCAGCAATGATGTGTGTGTCGATTCCGTGATGCGGGAGGGCTCCGGGAGGCTGAGCAGCCCTAAAAGGCCAGTGCTTTGTAGGGGAGGGGCCGGGTGGCTCAATTTTATCGGGATCAGTGGATGAGGTTTGGTGCAGGCGGGCTGGCATCAACGGATCAAGCGTGCTGCCTTGTGCACATACTTCAATTAAGCACTGGAGGGCGGCGCAAGCAATTTGAGTGGGCTTGGCCAATGCACGCAAAGCTTGAGGTACCCCGGCCTCGCCCGTTACCAAGCTGCTGCGCCCGGGTCCAGCTCCAGCTCTGGCACAGTATTCAATTCAATCGAGAGCGATGAGATGACCGTGATTGATAGGATGGCTTGAATGGACCATACCTGAAGGGCTTCCGCAAGGCGGACATCATGTACTCGCTGTGCATGAGGAACCCATTCTCACTGGGGGCCAAGGCCGCCGATGTTGAAGTGCTGTGAAACCCGAACCCTCAATGAATTGAACCAAGTTCTCCCGGCAGCCCGGTAAGCTGACGCTCTCATCGGCGAATCGGGTGGACTGTTCAATGTTTCTCAAAGACTCCCCTTTATGAAGGCTCTTGGTTTTTTTCCTTGCTCTTTCTCAGGGGCCGAATGCACAGCCCTATGAAATGTGGCCCGAGGTAAGAAGACGGAACGGTAGCTTACTTTTCCTCCCCGTCCGCCTGCATCGGGCCAAAATGCTGCTTCTAAAATATAAATGTGCGAGAGAGGCGACTCCGAAGGACGCGGACACACACGCGATGCACCTTGAGCATTGGCCGGCCAAGGCAAATTGACACACGCCCACGCCTGCATGACAGGGCTGGGACTTGGGGGCGACTGAATGGATGCTGTTATGGAAGTTGTCAGTGAACTCCGATCAATTGCATTCTCTCACAGCGACTATTGGCTGTGTTCTTAGAGTCCACAACCTGTGGCGGGGTGTAGAGTGCAGACAGCCGCAAGCCACTCTCATTTTATACTTGCTAGACCAGGCCAGACCAGATGTTTCTCTCCCTTTTGGGATATAGTTGAGAGTGATTACACTAGCTCCCACGTCGTGTACATTCGGAGACCAGGTTCGGTGTTCTTTGTGCCCCGTGTCGTCCACATGAACCGGTGAGGCGGTACCCTGAGAGCACAACCTTCCTCATCACCATGCTTGGTTTTAGGTCTTGATAGCTGGCAGGAGATGGTTCGAGTGATCAAAAAACAAAGAAAAATCTCACATCACTGCTTCTTTCGAAGCCACCGCCCACCCTTTCCGTGTATGGGCCCAAGAACGCTCGCAAAGCCAAGATCGGACCTCAGCAATAGGATGTCCGTAGAAAGGCGAACCGGAGCAGCGGTTGTCGGTTCAGGCGCGGCACGGACCCGCCGCTGGTAAGACCGAACATACATTAGGCTTTGGTGCCCAGCACATGAATGCCGCTCTACCTTTTATGGTCCGCAAAGCAAGATCTCTTCATTTTGCAGTGGCATATAACTTGTTACCCTTTAGTATAATGATAACACACATCCGGTTTGCCTCGCTGAAAATCTTGGTCCAATGTAAATGTCCCAAGATTTCCTGGCGATCTTCTTCTCACTATCTTGCATCTCGCCCCCTCACTTCTCTCATCATCTTTGCTCTACTTCGCAAAGAGCGCCCCAAGTTTGGGTCAGCAATGCCGAGACAGGGGTGCGCGAAGATCTCTGATTGCGAGACGGCCGCGGCAAGTCTCTGGGCGATGGAGTATCTTCAGATATGATGGGGGCAAGTTCGCATAAATAGTGCAACAGCCATGACATCGATGATCTGCACCTCTCTTCAGGGAAGGGGCTGTCTTGCCAACCGCCAACCCGGAAAATTCTGTTGGATTTTGGGCTCGAGAGCTGGGGCCACGGCGGTCGGTCGACATGCGTAAGGGCAGAGCCCGCATCGCGCAAGCGACTTCAAGCCTCCATGGCCACGGTTCCCTCGCATTGACTAGGGTCAAGCGTGGGGAGAGTCTGCTTAGACTCTCCTGTCAGATCAAGACTAGGCCCACGTGTAGTGTATGGAGTTGGCCCTCGCCCTTGCTGGCTCTCATAAATAATCATTCACAGCCAGCGCTGGCGCAGGCCACTATGGTTGGTTGCAGGGGGCGAAGCCAAAAGTCATTGAGCTGTACAGCCCCTCGCCCCCATGATCTGAGCTAGACCTCAGGATTGATCCCAAAGACCAAAGGGCGGCTCCGGCGCCTCTTGGTTGGCATTTGCGTGACCTATGATGGGGGTTTCAGGGTGCAATAAATATTTTAAAAATGAAAGAAAAATGAAAAAGAAAACAAAAAGAAAAGAAAAGGGAAAAAGGAAGAAAAAAGAGTCGTGCCTTCCAGCCAAAAAGGTTTATAGCCCTCTTCCACAACACTAATCTATGGTTCCAGATACCTAGTAGACTAGGGCTGTTATATTGGTGAGTGCTCGAATGCTCTGCTCCCAAGGCGCCGCGCTGTTTTGCGTGGAGCCAGCCGTTGAGACTGTCGTACCAAGAAAATTCGGATAATAAATCCAGTTCGATCTCATCACGCTTGCCAAGCCTCTGAGAAAGGACGGGGTTGAAGTTGATCCATCATTGATCCTGGCTCGCCTGCACTGTGTGCTCCCCAAGAACGGAAAAAGAATACATTGTCCTTGAAGTGAGTGTGGGTCATGCCTTCTGCACATCTATTTCGAGGCCTCTGGCGCTAAGAACAGGTACTGCTGCAGTGTTCCTCGGAAGTGAGCTCGTACCTGCCCTGTACGAGTGTCAATCACGCCAATTTAGTGTACTCCACAAGCGCCAGGTTGCTGGTAGAGTACAGTCCGGTACGCTAGAGACGAAGGAGGTACAGCATAGTATTGGGAATGTTACAAGAGGCACGCTGACACTAGTACAAGTAGGACTTTGCCCTTGACAACATCGATTCTGTCCTATCCCCTGGCCCCCGTGTACATCGTCCTCTCCCTGGCTCCCTCGAACAGGATTCTCCGCTGTTGTTTCATCAGCACTACCAACTCAGACATTTGACGGTTTTCGTTCATCTTCCCCCATCCTTGCTCCTCACCTTCAGCATTGGGTATCTTGGGGTCTTCATCCGCCTTTGTTTACGTTCTCTTTCTCTTTGGCTAGAGGGACTGGTGAGCATTTTTGCGAGAGCAAACTCAAACAGCCGACCTGCACTCATACTGAATCTTAGACCAACATCCACCAAGATCATCAACTCCCTCTCTCCAAGATTTTCGCTCTTCTCGAACACGCACCGCACGCTTGGCTTGCGTCGCATTGACCTTCCTCTATCCTCCGTCAGCCGTGTCCATTTCATCCCTTCAGCCCCACGCCGCCTGTTCTGCTTCATTTCCCCTTCCAAAGAGAAAACGGGTTCTTTTCACCCAACCTTCGTATCGCCGACCGCGACCACAGCTCAAAGCCTTATTCTTTTCTTTCTCTTTTTCTTCTTCTTTTTCTTCTCCTCCACTTCATCCTCTGACGCCTTTCACCGTCTGTGATTCTCCCTTGTTCGTTTTGTCCTTTTTCCGGCACGAGTCGTCATTGAGGGCGAGACGGGACACACCAAGGTTTAATATAGAATTGTCAACCAACTATATTATTTCCCTCGCCGATTCCATACCCCTTTCGTTCCCGCCCTCACCCCTTCCGCCCGCCCTCCAACCACACTCCTTCATCAATCCCCGAACGGTCCAGTGAAATCTTCCGATACACCAACGCCTGGCTTCGACTTTCCCGAGCGATTTCTCCCCTTCCTCGCTTCTTCCCCTCTTCCGATAGATCGACCGGAGGCAATCCATCACCACCTCGAAGCGCCCTCTCTCCACAACTCCCACGACCGATAGACCGTCGTAACCGTCCTTCAACAATCACACACAGGCTACCTATCGTTACTGATTGACAGTGCCTCCATTTTTCGGTGTCCTGCCGTGAGTAGAACCAGTTTGATCGCACCAGCGACCTTCAGCCACCAGGTTTTATTGTAGGCTAGTTTTGTCGACTCCAAACCGCTTCGTTGGAGTCGCACAAAACAGTCGCATTTTCGCCCATCCTGGCGACCCGAATCGAGACGCCATCACGAGGGTCTCTCCTCGGCGGAGACCCAGGCTTCTCTCAGTACGATCAGTACTCTCCTCAATCCTACGGCCATCAATCGCATTTCTCAGAAGCGCCAATGAATCAATCATACCAACAACAGTCCGAGTACGGACAATACCTACCTCCCTCCCAGACCTACACGCCACCCCACAAGATGCCGGCGGCCAGTCGAGCCAGTACCAAACGTATAACTACGACCAGTCCCAGTTCGACCAGTCGTATTCGCGGGAGGCTCAAGGTACTAACGGAGGCGGAGTGAAGAAGGCCAAGCTCTGGAGCTTGGAGTTCATGTCTAGCAAATGGCCCCGTCTGTTTATGCTGGTCGTCGGTATTCAAGCCATTCTCTGTCTAACTTTTGAGGCGTACGTCTTTGTTTCCCCCTCTGCTTTCGTGCTCTCAGTTTCCATTTCAGGACGAGATTTAAGTTCGCGCTAACCCGTTGACAATCCAGGTACGTCTTTGCACAATTCCAAACGAACCTGGGGCCGTACGTCAAAGACGACCCCAAGGCGGACGCGCAATACAAAACCATTCCCACGTTCCTTACCCTCTTTATCTTCGGCTTCCTGTACGAGCTTATTGTTGTCTGGGATGCCTTGCGCATGAAGAACACTATTCAGGTCATTGGCGTGTGCATCTCCAATCTGGCCTTGCTCATCTATACTGCCATACAGATTGAGCAAATTTCGGAGGCGCTAGACATCCTCAGCAAGTTCAGCGGTGCCTTGAAGTCGGACCCTGTCAAAATCTGGGCCGATATTCGGCCTTTCCTCGTCGCCATTCCAGCCATCATTGCCGCCTGTACTATCGCCATGTGCTTCGTGGCCTGGAAGCTGTACCAAGAGTTCGCTTGGGACATCTTGAAGCATATCGGCGCTGACTATCGGATGAAGAAGCGGTTTCTTCATTACCAGGTAAGAAGCCCGGGACACCCGCCCGCGTGTTCTTCACCAGAAAAAGAACTCGGAGCTGACAATTTGTAGATCTATATCGCTCTCCTCAAGTTTGATTTCTTCTTCTTCCTAGGTTTTATGGTTCAGTTCCTTGTCGTCGTCAACGATCAGTCGGACGATCCCGAATTCGGTCTCACCATTGCCGTTATCCCCATCACCATCTTTATCCTTTTGTTTGCTGCATGGTCGGCCCGCCGCGAAAACAAGTGGGGGATGCTGGTCACAATCATCTGCTACCTCGGCGCTCTCACTTACTTCATCTTTAAGCTCGTTCGCATCTACCAGACCCACACCCAAGCGACCTATCGACCAGTCCGAAAGTCCTTGACTGCCTTCTCCGTCATCACGATTCTTCTCATTCTCCTCACGATTGCTAACGCTATCGTCTGCATGACGAATTTCGGCGCTGGTCTAAGGGACCACCTCAGATCTTCCAACCGAAGGGATGAGGAAAAGCCTGATATGAATTCGATCAACCTCAACGATCTTAAGCAGCCTCAGGTCCCTAGCAGAATGACCATCGATTAATCGAGGAAGCGGTGAGTCGGATACTGTCTCTCTTCCGACCTTATGGAAACAACGCATTGGCGTGATGCAAACTGCGACATGCGGGATGCTTAAAGGCACCCCGTGAAGACTAAGACGATGGAGGCGGCAAGGGAGTAAGGCAGGTGGAATTTTGGGGAACAAAATTTGTACAAAACAAATATGACTTGACGACTTGGATTTTTCTTTCTATCTTGCCCGCATGTTTGCGAGTCATTCCCGTTCTCCTGGCCTCGTTTTCATTTTCTCTCAACTTTCTTATCATTTTCCTTTTGGTCCGTTATTATCAGCTCGTTCGTCTTCGAGTCTCGCCGATCTGACCTTTTCCTTGTCCCCCTTCCAGCATGAGCAATCTTTGGCTCATGCTGATATCATCGGAGGTGAAGATACACTAGGAGCGTCATTTACCATGTTGCGGATGCTCTGCAGCCCATTTTCCTTTTTCTCCCATCTGTTTTCTCTTGTCGTTCACGCCTTTTCGTTCCCGAGAACGAAGCAATAGCGGGTGTATGTGTTTGGATTTCCGGGATGTTTTGTTTTTTTCGTCAGAGAGGTTATAGCTTGACATACATACCCACCCCACCCTTAGCGGCTCGAATAGTCGTCGCTTTGAATATCATAAGAAATCTCTGAAGAAACCAGACCCTCGCCCTCTCTTGAACTTGATGAATGACCTATCGATCCGCTCTGGCGATCTGGTTACTTGGGACAGGCATAGTGAGTGACTGGACCTTTTTGCTTCTCCCTTCAGTGGAAAAAGAAATGCAGGTCTAAACTAAACCCATCACGTCTCTCCCTACCTCATGTTGTAGGGATATCAACCCACGATTCACGCTCACTGAACAAGGCAATGACCGATCGAGGCTATCAGACCTAGTTTGCCCGACTATTAGTTCCAACAGCCCTTCTCATTTATTCAAAGACTACTTCAAATGTTACGCGGGGTATCGCAATGCGACCACTCTATCAAGGTTCAAAACAAATCCCGGAAAAGAGCTAGTGATTAACGAGGCCTAGTAAACGTAACTGGAAGCCGTGAAAGCACTCGTATTGTCACGAATATCGAGTTCTAGGGCTCCAAAACGATGAGCAATGAGGCGTGTCCATTGTCGGTTAAAATGATAAACAGAGGTCTAAGAGTAGAGTACAAGCATTGCACAAAGCCCCCATCTCTGACGTAACAAGACGCACTTATACGTCTATAGGAAGCAATCTTAAAGGGGACGTAAGCGGATGAAGGAAGAGGGGGTGGGGGAGGGTCCGTAGAAGATGAGATAGATAAGTCATAAAAGAGGATGCGAAGGAGGTAAAAGGCTCAAGATCGCAGTGAGAGAAACGAGGATGAAAACCGCCCCAAGAAACGCCGTACCGTCCTGTATAACCCAGAGATGCACTGCCAGGCCAAATGACCAAAAAGAAAATCGGAGAAGAATAGGACCGAGAGATAAAAGAGACTAAGAAAAAAGTACCCGTAGGCTGAAAGAGACCCGAATGAGGGCGGAGGAAGGGAGGGGAGACACGCAGGCAACAAGCAACGCCTTCTCGGGCGAGCGGGTGTTTTCGCTTGAGAGATGCAACGCAGGTTGTTAAAGCTTTATTTCCCTTGCATCCTTGAAGACACCCTCGATCGGGCAGTAAGGGCATTTGAATCGAGAAGACTTTATCATCTTTTGAGGGCCTCCTTGCAAACGACGTGGCCGCAAGGTAGCATCATGGGGGATTTTGAGTTGTGGTTTGCTCTTTGAGCACGGGACAGACAAATATGGGATGATAAACCATGCGGCGCGGGAGGGGAGTTTCAAAGGGTTGCTCGTCATACGACGTCCACTCCGTCTTCTTTGCCTTCATCGCTTGGTTGAACTTGAGGAGCTGAGGAAGGGAGATGGCGCCGGCGGTGACGGCGACGTAGAGGGGGACTCGGCGGAAAGGTTGAGGAGGGAGCAGAACTCGCGAGCAAAGGAGTGGGCCACCTCCTCAAACGCAGTCTGGATCTCGAAAAGTGAGCGGTAGGGTGAGTCCTGGATATTACTCGTGAAAAGTATGGCCGTCATGAGCTCTCGAATTTGCTTCCCGTGACGGGTTTGAAATTTCCAAAAGTGCTCGCGAGCATAGTTGAGGGCTCCGGTAAGGCCGTTGCGATGGTCGTCGGGTAGGCCGTTCACGGAAGGACCCTTAAGGAGCCAGATAAACTGGAGGCGGTTAAGCTCAAATTGTAGGTTTGACGAGTTGGCATCCAATCCTTCGGCATGCAACTCGGCCCAATCCATGGCGGGCACAAGGTCACGACTCCGCAAATGACCGAGTATATGATAAAGATTGGTGAAGTGGACCTCGAGGGGTTCAAACATGCTCGGGGGACATCGGACTCCCCAATGACCCCTTGCTCGCGTGCCTCGGTAAGGAACTGCGTTGCCACGTCGAAGCGGCCCTCACGGAAGAGGTGCATGATGATCGTTTTTGTAATATGGGATTCGTATCCCGTTATTGAGCTTGCCTCAGAGGGGAGGGCTTTTGAGGGAGTGACTACGATGGGAAATGATATGGGTTAGATCAAGTTGCGAAATGACCGACATAAGACGCCGTCGGAGCATCTATGTGAGAGCACGACCTGGCGAGGGAAGACACCAACCTTGTCTAGAGCCTTGCCAAAATTCTTTTGGTGTTTAGATATATCCCTTAGATCCTTGTTCAGGGCCTCGAACCGATCCTTGACGGGGTTTTGGAGTTTAGTCATGGTAATGCTCGCAGTATGGGGGTCCTTGGCTGCAGATGTCTCTACGTTAGCTAAAGTATAGAGCAGCATGTACTTATGGGGGAGCGCTATACCGTTCGCCACTTGCTCTCGCGCGGTCTCTAGAAGAGCCACGATTCTATCGGCATCTGCGACGGCGGCGGACAAGGTTGAGCCGCTCATCTTCTTCAACTCCTTCTGAAGGGACGCCATTGGCGTGGGCTCTACTCGGTCTGCCGACATCGTGCGAATGTGTCGGGAAAGGGAGAGTGAAAGGGGCAGTGGGGGATAAAGGGGAGTGAAAGAGAATAAAATAAGAAGCACTCCCGGTCCTGCGGAGACTACAGCATATGCAACTGTCGTTTATATTGGAATCCCTCAGAGGGACAGTGGGGTGGCGGGGGAGAGAAGCGGGCATGACCACTCTTGGGTGGCCGGAGCGGAGAGGGAGCTCCAGCGGAGGTGAACTTGTGATAGCGGGAGTGGCAGGTGCAGAATATGGAAAAGAATAACGCATGCAAGTAGAGAAGACGGATAAAAGCGATCACGGTGCCAACATGAGAAACACGGTCGTGAGGGAACGAGTCAACCCAAGTAATAAAGGCAGATGTTCGGAGCAAGTTCAAGGTTGGGTTCTGCCGTCATGAGAGGAGTTCGTCCAGGGCGTGGTCCAGTCCCAGACCTGGGCCTTTGTCTTTGCCGTGCCGGCCTTATCTCTTATCGGACCAATCAGTGCTCGTCATCGGATTCACCGCCTACTCCGTGAACCGTTCCCGTACATTGTGGAGATGTGCAGTGCCAGCTCGGTTGATCGCACAGTCCCTTGAAAGTACGCATCTGCTCAGGTTGGGGGAGGGTGGGGGCTTGCTCAACTGGTCCTGAGCGGGTCCCAGCCATGCTAGCCAAACAACGCAAGATCGATCCAGCTTGATCCATCCATCCATCCATCCACAGATCAATCCATTATTAGGACGTAAAGTTCCTACCCTCTATTCGCTCGCTGCTCATTACCCAATCAGGGGAATCATCAACTCCTCTGCTCCTCGCTGGCTCTTCCAGCGCACTCCACCAGGGTCCCTGAGAGGTCATCCGCCACTCTCCTGCAGCAGGCAAGACTGTACTTTGATCAGTTACTTTTCGGCCTGGGCTAGGGCCCTGGAACGGAACAAATCAATTCCAATTTGTTTTGGTCTCAGCTCTCACCCCGACATTCCTTGAGCGCCAGTGTCGTCACATGCTAGCCACCGACCCAGACTCACTCAAGTCTACCGTCAAAGAGGAAAGTCGAGGCTCCGCCCAGGCAGTTGCTCATCCGAAAGCCCTCACACAGCTCTATAACTTCAACTTGGGCAACATTCCTCACCTGACCCTTAGATACTTATTGCGGCCGTCGTACCCCAAGAACACGTCTAGCAAGTGATCGAGATTTTTCTTCGTCTCTTGCATTTTTCATATTTTTATATTTCTTTATTTTTGGCACACAATCTCAATGACCTTCGCTTCCCGACAATGATACCTCATCCTTCCGTCACCGCACGCATAAGACTACGGAGGACGGCGGTCTTACAGGCTAAAATACTTGTGCGACAAGATGGCCTTCTTTTTGCCTACGATAAGGACTTTTCCACCACTCGTCTGCCCCCGCGAATACCCTCTCATCATGGCTCTAGCGCTAGCCCCATCGGCATACCTTTACCGACGGCCGATGGAACGATGAGCGAATACATAACCGACCAAGGCTCAGTCTCGCCGACGCCTCTACCTCAAAGAAAACATATCGTTTTGCCGGACCATATCGCTTTCAAGTAAGCCAGCTCCTTATATTGTCTCCTGCTCCTCCTCAAAGCAGCTCCTGATCATCTCGTCCCCGTGCCCTCTAGGTATCTTGAAGAAGAGCCCGTAGTGGCCGTCGTGCAGCCAAAGTGTGTGTTACAAGGATACGAGCTCTACGTTGTTGAACAATGGGCGTGCTCTCGACGGTCGCCTTCCCTAGTCATCGCCGCATATACCGGGGATCGAAAGCACTCCATCATTGTTGGTGTGCTATCCGTCCCTGCCGACGAAAACACCTGGTCTCCCAGACTTAAAGTCTTCTTCAAGGCCCTCCAGCAGCACCATGCGCGCCCGAAGCAGACACCCCTGGGTGAGCTCATGGTGACCAACCTGAGCAGCTTCCCCTCTGCCCTCACGGTCATCCCCGTACCCGAAGGTGATATTCGCAAGCACCAAAAGTCTTTCATGGTCAATGAGAACCTGAAGCGCATGGGATGCTCTGGTCGGTCCGGCTTAACGTTAACAGACCCCACACAAGCCACGCGAGCCAAGTTCTACCAGCTATACAAAGTGAGCACTACAATACCCTTTTTCAGGCCGTGCTGGAGCTCGTCAAGCTATGTCAGGTTGCCTTGTTCATCTTCGGCAACCTAGATCAGGAATACACCGATGGCCTCTTGTGCGATGTGACGGAGACTGCCATCAGAAATTGGTGGACGACCATAGGAACAGACTATTACAACATCGAGCCCACTGATGGTATACTTGGTCCATCTACTGTCGCTGCACTCCTAGGCATGCTAATGGGTGCGAGACATCGGCTTCAATCCTCCGGCGCTACAGTCCCAAAAGACGTTTTCGATATTGACATGACCCGACGGGCGATATCGCACTTTCAAAAATACCAAAAATTTGAGCGAACCGGCCGACTTGACCGCCAGACCCTGCTCAAGCTGCAGACTCTCACCAACAAGGCCGCTTCGGGGGATGGTTGGGGTGTCCAGAAAGCCGTCAAATCCACCATGGCGGAGATTGGTGGCAAGAGGGGCGAAATCGTCATGGGCATGGTTTCCGGTCGAGACAAGGCAAGCAGAATCAGCCATATCGAAACCGCGGATATCGACCGCTTCATATCTCTAGCCTCCGGTGAACGCGCAAAGTGGCTCTGGCATGGAAAGCCCCGACGAGCCGGCCTAGATACCCCCGCTGCCTATGACGACATCGCCGGCATGCTCGCTCGCCAGGATACGCGAAGCTCCAGGACGGCCTACTCCCTCCCTGTAGAGGAGGATCCGGGGCGCCTCAAGAGGGAGGAGACCCCTCTAGCTCCCACTTCCCAGCCCGCCTCTGCCCCTCCGATTGGCAATACCGATAGCCCCGGCGACCGAGATCGAGACAACATTGGCAAGGCGGTTTTCAAAAGCGTGGCAGGCAAGGTCAGCGACGCCCGAAGCGGCCTCGGCCGGATCAAGGATACAATCGGTGGAAGCCGAAAGACCCACAGCACGAGGCCTTCCATGGTCCACGGCGACTTCCTTGAGAGTGGAATCATTAGTCCCGGCCTTATGGGGCCTCGCCCCTATCGCCACCTTTTGCGCCAGTCCCCAGAGCATTCACCTGGAAAAACAAACCGGAGGAGTACGCCGATGCGTTTAGGCAGCTCGGCGAAAATGGCCACGTTGAGTACAATCCTGCGGCCATCCGAAGTCAACCGCCCCATCAGCCTCCCAGCGCAAGGAAACCTGCGAACGCAATCAACAATGGCCTCGAAGTTAATCTTGATGACATCGCAGATGCTGTGAGGAGAGATGTTGTTGAGGGCACAATATCAGTGCCAGGCTCGGTGGCAGGAGAATGCGACTTACTGGGTCCCCTGCTCATGGCTGAGCGCGCCAGCGGCCAACCGCTGTGCAACCTCCACCGGCGGCACACGGTAGAGCTTGCGCGGCCCACCATGATGAGAGCACCCAACGAATACAAGTGGCCCCGGCGCCTGTCTTTTGGGGATGCCGAAGAGGCTATACTCCGGTGGGAGGAAATAGTTGACATCATTGACCTCGAAAACATGCTCAGTGGTAGCGAGGCGGAGCTGCCACGGATAGGTTTTCTTGAAGAGCTGGCCCGGGGCTTAAACCAGAAGATCATCGACATCAAGCGCGACATAGAACCGTGGGCTGCGCAGAACATTAAGGCTGTAGAGGCACTCGATGGACGGTTCTCGCACCACCAGGAGGATCTACAAGTGCTCACCGCACAACTCGCCGAGGTTTCACGCAACGTTAGCCAGGCATCGTCCGAGCTCATAGGAACAGAACGCGCAAGCTTGATGAGAGGTCTGAAGGAGGTGGAGATGCTGTTAGCCCGGCTCGAGTATGAGATGAACGCCCTAGCATCCAAAGTTGACGATGTCGAAGAGGGCGTAGTGGCCTACGAGAGGCAGGTCGAGGATGTGGAGAGGCGCGTGGAGGAGCTCAAGGCACAACTAGAGACGGAGAGCTGGCTGCATTGGTTCGTCAGGACATTAACAGGCATTGGGACGGGGCCAAACATTACCAGGGAGCTCAGGGCGCAGTGAGCGCCTTTCGATAACTAAGTCGATCACAACATAGGTTTAGCATAGAGCGCGATACCAGGAGGAATCTCCTCTCTACCATCTTTCCCAACCTACGCATGAACATGGGAGGAGAAAAGTTAGCGGCGCCCTATGCGTCAGGTCAGGTACCTGGATCGTTATTCTCGTCCCCTTTTAGGGAAGGGGAGGGGAGGCTGGCATTAGATCATGGACACTGGCAGGGTAAGCGAGCGAGCATATTTCCACATAATATATACACCCATAGTTGACCATACTTGATATCGTGCTCTTGACAGCGATGTAGAATTGTAATGAAGCCTAAGCAAGGCTTTCGGAATGCATGCAAAACAAAAAACAAAAAACTAGCGGAGATTCATTATATTTCTTTTCCCCTCTAGGAACCCGAGGCAAGATGCTCTTAGCGCCTCCCTAATGTCCTTCCTTTCCCTAACCAGTGTCCTTGCCCGCCGTTTTCTATACAGAGCAGATTATACAGAGGTTCTCTCAGTTGCGTGTTATATCGTACAGTACAATGAGGCTCCGGTTACGAATCCCCAAACCCCCAGAGGCAACAATACCGCCAACGTGCGAATCGTGCCTTCAGCCACCCCAGCGCAGGTCATTATGAGCCCAGAAAACGGCCCACCCCATGATTAAATATCACGAGGCGCCGTGCCTTCGTCCCCCGCCCCTCTGAAGAAAAAAAACGTGCCGATTCTTGATCCAATGAAGAGATTTCAGATAGGCGCATCAGGCGTACACTGTGCATTTAGCACGCGTTGTTGCCGCTCAACTTCATCTCTAGCATCATATACATCATCGGCCATGCTCCTCTTTTCCCTCCGCTCTAGACAGGCCACCTCATCTTTCTTTGCGGAGTTTGAATAGGAGGCGCCTATTTGCTCAAGGGTTGCCGCCCTGCATTGCCTGGCCGTACTGTTGCATGAGTTCGTTGGTTTTCATATAGGCCTCGAAAAATTTGGCGGTGCAGCGGTCGAGGCAGACGGATTCGCCCTTGTTGAGCTCGCCCTCGCGGAAGTCGGTGGGAATGCACTTGACGGAGCACATCTTGGAGAGGCTATTGGCGAACAAGGGCAACAGCGTTAGCAGGGAAGGGCAAAGGAGCCGGAGGCAGGAAAAATAAAGGGTAGGCTCCGGAAATTCATCCTCATTGAAGAAGGAGAAGGGACCTGATGAAAGCTAGAGGTGCGGGCGATACGAACCGGTTGTGGAGGTCGGACATGGCGATGATTTCATTCTCAACCATCATGACCTTCTCCTCCGAGGAGGGCTGGGGACGACCCATTCCGAAGAAAGACATTTTGTGAAAGTAGGTTAAGGTACGGAGATGAGTGTTTATTGGTAGAGCGCAGGTGGATGCGATGGCGACTATGCGATGTGGATGGGTGAGTGTGATGATGATGAATGAAGATGTTCAATTGCACACTTTGCCTCGCAGCTATTATGATGTTTTTTTCTGACATGGAAGCTTGCTCTTGGTCGGAGAATCAGGAAGGCGGTGGGGAGGTGCATAATCGAAACTTTGCCAGATGAGGTCAGCAGGACCGTTCCCGCGGTTTTGGGAAACGGCAGGCCGAGCCTAGCTTCGGACAGAATCTCGACATCCCGTGTAACCGCTGTTTGCTACCTACTACGACATGCAAAATATAGCACAATTACAAAAAGAGATATTAGACAGCTTTGTTTCGTTCTCCAGTTTTGCCACGGATCACCTCGATTATGAATCTAGATCCGAGAGTGATCCTACTTGGAACTGGTCTCTCCCCTGGCTCCAAGACGAGCGAGCTGGGGAGACGCGACGCAACTCAACGCCTGGGTTACATTTGAACCTCTCTTGATCCATTTCCGCCTATAAAATACCCCAGAGAGCATATCTGGTAGTGGGTCAGGGCAAGTGTGTAGAGGAGTATAAGGTTCCCGCGCGTGGCGAAGCGTACCATATTCCCGGGTAAGCCGCATCATGAACCCATATCTTCTTATCCATGACAGCAGCTAGACCCTAAGCGGTTCGATGGAGGGCTCGCTCCGAAATCGCTGGCTGCGCTGGCTTGCCTCAGGGGGAGGAGGGCCCGGCTGGCTTGCGAATAAATGGGCAGTTTTGCTTTGGTAGATCCAGCTATGACCCCAGGCACATGGCCAGCCACCTTGCCTAGGCAGGGAAGTGTCAAAGAGCCTTGTCTCATGGCCCGGTATGGTGGTCACGAACCCCTCCCCGGTATATCCGGGGTTCGGAGCGTGGGTAATCTGCTTATACCGTCTTCTCTTGCGACCGAGCGCGCGTGGCCGAGGTCTGGCAGAACGACGAGCTCTCTAGCCGGCGAGTCCACTCAAGAAACACCTGCCTTGGCTGGACCCCCATTTCGAGCTCCCAAATATATTGAGATGCGTCAAGAGACTCATGCACAGCAAACGTGCCCCGCAGAAGATGACTTGCTTTGAGCTGCGGCTTCCCAGTGTGAGAGGGATATCTCGTCCAGGATGTCCGGGAATGCACTCCAGCGACTTGTCCCCCAGAAGCCGAGCTGGCCGAGCTGGCAACTAGAACGAACGCATGTTATCAATCAGTCTAGAACACTCAAGTTGCCGACGGAAGGAAGCCGCGTGGGGTTACCTAGCAGGGCCCGAAGGGTTCGCAGGAGCGGCATATCAGGAGATCCGAGCTCCGTGGCTCATGGCCTCGCATCCCTCCTGTGACCACCCTGGCGCAATGGATGGGCCGTGGGATCTATTCCTTCAGTAGCGCGCCAATTCTGGCCCAACCTACGGTGTCACGGCCGGTTCAACGTTATCCAAGACTATGCCAAGCTCGACATGGTGCACATATCATGGGCACCACCAGGAGCTCCGAGGGTCGTCGGAAGCTGCGAGCCAGCATCCAGCAAGACAAGGCCTTACCGCGGGTGAGGTTCTGTGCGAAAAGCATCCTCGCCTGACCTTTTCCAGCTAGGGGTATAAGGGCATATCACTGCTGGCGGTTCACAGTGGTATGCATGGATTGGAGTAGAACACTAGTAGTAGGGATAATAAGAATGTGAGTGGATGGAAGAAATGACTCTAAAGTCACAATGGGCTGTCACGACCTTGGCAAATGGGCTGTTCTGTTTCTTACCGCCTTCTTTTGGGGGAATGGAGGCAACGGAGGGGTTTCCCGGGCCGGCCATTTCGGGCTAGGTTGAGAAGGTCCAGGCGAACAAACAACCACACACGTATAGTTATCCTGGAGAGAGAAAGACTGGCCAAGTCTTGACGAATAGCCGCAAGATGCAAACAATGCAACACTCAGGCGGCTTCCTCATGGTGAGATGGAAAAATGGGCCTCACACCTTGAAGCTCGTGGCGAGCCCTGCCGGCACACGTGTGCGGCGCGTGGTGCCTCGTACCATTGAGGCCACGCTCTCCATCGAGCCACCAAGATTCGGTGCTTTCGATCGGGAGAGAACCGTTGGGGAGATGGTGCGAGCCGCTCCCTCGTGGGCAGCGTTCTAGAACCCTTCCTAGATCTTCCGATGCACTAGTACCTTCTTTTGCTCCTCCTTTTAACCGTAAGGCCCCGTTCCGAGGAGAACCTGGCCTGGCACGAGCGGTGCGAGCAAGGCTGCGCCACTGCGCATACTTGTTCTCATCTCGATGGATCAATGCAATCCCGGCGGCAAAGTGCCGTGGACGTCATGGGGGATCAGAGTTTTCCCCAAGAGTTGGCCAGGCATGGGCGTCTGTCGACCAAGCTCTGGCGGTCAGTTCTCTTAAAGAACAGAATAAACACGCCACAGACACAGAGGCAGATGTGCGGGTTGTCACGCGCTATAATTACGCATCGAATCCTTTAGTCCCACCCAGAGGGTCGCAAACTGCCGAGAAAGGGCTCAGACAGGTCCAAAAGCCGTTTCGGCAACAAAAGGTATGCGTACTTCCCGAATCCAGGTTTGCAAGCCAGAAGCGAGGAAGAGTAAGCGCCTATTCAGAGGAAGAAATATGATCGGGGAATAGGGAGCCTCCCCAAATGCAAGGAAGGGGAAGGCCAGAGGAAAATTGAAGACGAGAGCACATTGGCGCTCTTCATCCTGCCGCTCACCTCTCCTCTTGGCCAGCACTTACCCAAACCAAACGACAGGTCAGAAAATGCAAAGTCCACTTAGAAACTAACGCCCAGTAATCACATGCATAGTGCCTCTTTTGGCCGAGTGAAACCCAACAAAACCCCAAAAAAGCCCCGATTACATGCACTAGAAATACTTCGTACCAAAATCAGGACATCATAAAGATTTTAGCGGGTGTTGACGGAGTGGCGCCGGAAACCCCATCCACAGATCCAGTTGCGCCTTACTACCGTTGAACTAATAACCGGGCCTGTCATAGACCCCCGAGGGGCAGAAGTCGCCGTTGGTAGCACCATTATCCAACGCCTCAGAGAAAGAAAACCGCCTAGCTGGTGTAAGCGGCAAGTTTTTGAGAACGAGGCTCTATCCGTGAATTAGAGGAGGGCCGGTCCCTCCCAGACTGAAATTGGTGCGTATTGAGCTAAACCTATACCCCATCGGAGTGCAAGGTATAGTCACCCAATGATAATTCATTCTGTCGTGCCTGTGCACCTCCATTGATGAGGTGAGAAAAGAGGCCTCGGTGGCAAGTGGTTGCAGAAAATTTTGACTTACACTAGTTTCCACAACACCGTTCGACAGACCACCTAATAATGGCGATCCGTCCCCGCCTGTTCGTTTGGCATGGAAGCACACTGCGTGGGGAGGCTCGCAGGGTTGAAGACAAATGGGTCGATTTTGTCCAGACTATTTGGTCAAGGCGGAGTGCTAATCTCATTGCGGGTCCTAGCTGTAGAGCATGAATTGATTGTGCATCGTTAAATGCAACGGGGCGATTGGAAAAGAAACTAAGTAAGGAGTATACATGTAAGGAGAGATGGCTACTTGATTCGGCCGGCACAATAGCAAAGAGGGTGGAATGCAACGGATGTATGAAAAGATCAATGATCTATTATTGACTGGTCTCTGGAGTCCTGAACAAGGTTGGCATGGCTTGCATGGGAAGGCAGAAGAATCAAATGATATTACGCTCCTGGCTGGCGTATTAAAAAAAAAAAAAAAAAGAAAAAAAAAGAGAAAAAAGAAGAAAAAAAAAGGAAATCCCGATGAGGCGTTCCTTCAAGGCTAAGCTGAGGAGCTGAGCGAGCAACTCCATGGGGCAGGTCTAACGCTCCTCCAATGAAATTCAAGAGAAAGAGCAAGGTCAGCCACTGACAACCCGGATCCAACTTTAGGAAATAAACTTGGGAAGCACGATTTATCCCTTAAAGGATAAGAAGTATTCTCAATGCCAACGTAGTGTATTATACCTCGTCAGCTTGTAATGCATCTCAGGTTGCGAATATCCGCTTACTCCTTGTCTATCTAAAGCTGGACTCTCCACATCCCAAGATCAAGACTCCCACAGAGCATAGAGATTGATGGCGACGAAAGGGCATGGGTTGCAGGTCAGTGGGGTTCAGGAAGAGCAAGGTGTATCGGCAAACCCGGCCCTGGATTCAGGTAGATAGAACGAACCGGGATCCAACGCCGAGTGCTTCCCCGGGATATGAAAAAGTTCAAGAAGAGAGTATCCACGCCAGGGAGGAAAAGAAAATATTATTTCTAGACCGGACAGGGGTGAAACGTGCTTCTCCAGAGTTAGCCCGGGGACCGAGGGTCTTCGAGGTCCAGATTCCCAGAGGAAGAGAGAGCCGGCTTCTGGCTGCAACATGACGATGGGCCAAAGCCACGTTTTTGGGGGTTTCTTTTTCTTTTCTTTTTTTCTGGTCGTCGTCATTTCTCAGCTCTTGATTGCTTCGCCTCCTGGGTGGGGAAATGGCCAATGGCCCATACAATCCCAGTGTGCTTCAACCCCCGCCCGGCCGGCAACAAAGGACGAGGAAAGATCAATGATACCATGGGACCGCTGCCCTGCTCATTTTGCGTGATCCAAGTACTGTCGCCCGAAAAGTGCATGGCTGTGGAATGCAAGTATGGGCCGAGGATGTCCAAGGCGCATATGCTTGAGCCCATTTTGTTTTGTTTGCTTCCAAACTTTTTTTAATTTGAAAAGCGAAAGGATTTCTACCCCCATTGTGACGAGTTTGGGGCCAGGTTCCAAGCTACAAGTTCGAGCTAGGGGCGAACGGCTTGTCTGGAACTTGAAAGCTGCCGAGACCCCGTGGCATTTGCTTCTCCTCCGCCCTTCTTTCCTTCCTCACTTTGTTTACGAGTTTATTAGGGTGCTAATATCGGTTCTCCACAGGCGCCACCCAAGACGAGATAGTGAATCCGGAATATAGACCAGCCTCTTGCTGTCCACCGGGGACGCCGCGTGGGGCCACAGGGGAAACTGGAGGAAACGGGGCGCGCTACAGCTAAACGGGGCTTTTGTCGCGTGAACAAGGCACCTGAGGCATTAGCTCTTATCCTTCAATGTTCTTCTCCTTTGCGATCCCTTGCTTCGAGTATTACCGGGCTATCGCAGTATGGGGACACTCCTCGAGACACGGGCTGGCGGAGGAGGAAAGGGAGAAAAATTACGGACGTGTGGGGTAGTACTAGGTTCAGTAGATTTTTCGCCTCGGGCATAGCTCTTCAACCCGCTTCAAGCTCTCAACTTCCCTTGCAAGTGGGCTTGGCAATATCGAACCTACCTTGGCATTCTATTTTATCATCTTCGCGATCACCTTCTCGGTAATGCATAAATCAAATGTATCAAATCATGAAATCCGACCTGTCATGGCCATTTAAAGTATCCGCTCGACGTCTCCGGCTGGTCCTTCCTCATAAGTGACCTCGGAGGCCTTGTCCACTCTTATGCATTCCCTTGGACTCCCCCAGTGCTCTTTCCTTATGGAATAATAAGGACTTTGCAGATACAAGTAGAACACCACTGGCTGGTAGTTCGTGCCTGCCAAGAGGATAACGTGTGGTGTGCGTGTTTGTCCCAGCATCCGATGGAACACGGCATGTGGGGGCCAGGGCAGGCTTCTATACTTAGTCCTGAAGTCTAGACTTTGCAAGTCCCATTATACCAACCCGTTTGAAGGGGCCCCGCGGGATGATGCCATGCCGTTCTCATGGGCCTCTCGTTTGCTAGAGATGTGGAAAACTGCACCACCATAGGTTTGACTAGCCCGACCGACTTGACGAAGCAAGGGAGCGCAACATTCACAAGCCCCACGTTATGGCCTCAGCAACCCATTATTGACTGCCCTGGTTAGAAAGATGCATGGATGAAAGGAGAGGTCTATGAGTGGAGAAGGCATCCTCTCGGAAGCCTTGGAGCGTCAGCTTAAGCGATTCCGACTAAGCTCATTGAAGAGTAGGCAATGCCACGAATTCGCATTTCGAAGACATTTTCACTCGCCCCGCATAACGAGTTTTTCCCATCGAGATGGCCTCACTAGCCAGCCAGAGTGTGGGAGGGCGGTACCCTGTTCTCTGGAACCGCAAATTACCTATTCCATCTCGTGTAAATCAAAAAGGGAAGAGAGAAGAAATAAAAAGAACATGGAAAAGACTCTTCATCCGCACACGACCTATCTCATTTCGCCCCCACGGCGCGTGCGAGTGAGAGCCTCGACATACAAGGCACCCACCCATGAATACCACCAGGGAAGAAGGGCCAAGAAAGCCTCGAAGGGACGAAGAGATGAAGAACGGGGTGTGCTCTGGACGGTTGCTGGCCTGGCGGCAGAGCTAACCCCTTGCCGGGCATCGTACGATGGGGGCCCACTAGCTGGTGTGTCCGAATATTATCGTACTAACCCTTGGAGAAAGCTTTTTAAGGCGATTCCAGAACAAATAAAAAACGAAAGAGGAAAAGATGAAAATGAAAATGAAAGTCCGGCCCCGGCATGCCTCTCCCTCGCGCAACCGTTGTCGGATGCCGCCGTAGACTGGGCGGGCGGGTGTTGGTTGACAGCACCATTCCCGTCAAGGGATGGATTGGGGGAGTATCGCGCTATGGTTTACCAGATTGGGGCCCATGTTCTTCTTTTTCTTTTTCCTTCTTTTGTTTCGAGCTTCCGGAAGGTTACGGGGCTGTGGCGTTCTTCACACAAACCTCCACTAATTCCGGACCCACATCCTAAACGGCCCACGGCCGAGCAAGCCTTCAGTTGATCTATAATACTATTAGTAGCACACTTGGAGGAGACCCCACACTAATACCGCCGGGAGGGCACAGACAGAGAATTTGGCGAAGAAACACGAATGAGCATACGTCCACTAATACATCTAGTCAGCTGGTGAACCGACCGAAAGCGCCTCCAATTTGACAAGGAAGGGGACCGCGGTCACTTCCACGGTGGGCATTGATGATTATAAGGATAATCTTCCAGGGAAGAGGGAAAGAAGAAGAGGAAGGAAGAGAAAAGGCGGGCATTCCACTTAAGCCGTCCGTGTGTACATCTACTGGATCCCAAATCGCTTATTCCTTGACAACAGAAAATGGTATTGGAGACAAAGGCCTCTACTGCTATTGCTAATTTCCGGCCTGTCCCAACGAACTCGAGCAGATGCCGTTTATCATCTATCACATTTCGGATCGGGACCAAGCCGGAAGCCGCGGGGGCGGACTCTGCCTGGGCTCGCTGGCAAGATATTCTGATAGAAGATGGTATGGACAGCTCGGTTAGATCAAAGAGGAAAAGGCCGGTCCCCCTCACCCCCTCCTTTTGACCCCTTACTCAAGCCAAGAAGGAAAGATGACGAGTATGGCGTCGCGAGCGGCAGGCATGAATGCGCACACTATTCGCTTGTCTCTTCTTCTCGCGTGAACGACATGCGGTCTGTGGGGAAAAGGGCGAGGGCAACGAGGGGCGCGGGAGAAACTGGCTGGATACGGTTTCGCCCACGGTCAACCTGTCGAGTCGTTCCCGGTTGTACCCCGTTCAAAGGGTCCGTGTTAGGAAGTTCTCTACGATATGACGAGACTTTTTTTTTTCCTTCTAAGATGAGTACCTACGAACTACCATAACCACCGCCGAAGTGGTCTGACCTCCTTCTCATTCCCTTGGACCATCTTGTCAGTCCCTCTCCGCCCCTCTTCTCATGTAGGATTGCCCTTTCTTTTTCTGCTATATCCCTCCTACCTTGGGTATGATATATAAAGCAGCCATAGTATCCCATCTACATCGTAACCATCTCGGATCAACCTCTCGGTTTTCAAACTACCTTAGCGGACCCATACGATAAACGGCGACCTAAACATCTTGGGTCTTGTGGTCATCTATACCTACGAAGTGCTCAGAAAAAAGTATATCTACGATCCAACCCAGGCCCAGGCCCCTGACATATTCCGGACCCTTTACTCCTACTCAGCTTAGACCAGACCCAAAAGGAAAAGTCGTCTCTATCGTGACAAAGGAGCGCCTGTCCCAGGTTGAACAATAAAAGAGGAGCTACAGAATCGTTGACACTTGACTCTTCAACTACATCTTCTTGCCCTTTTGCACGATCTTCAACTCCCCTTCTCCCCACCTAATATCACTCTCTTCTCCCTCCCATTTCACCCCTCTCTGCCCGCACACATTGCTTGCAATGGCGCTCTCATATAAGCAAACACAAATAATCCGGTCCACCATTCCGGCGCTCCGGGACCATGGCGAGCGCATCACCACCACATTCTACCGCAACATGCTCCAGGCGCATCCGGAGCTCCACAACATCTTCAACGACGTCAACATCGCCAACGCGCGGCAGCCGCGGGCGCTCACTGCAGTAATACTCAAGTTCGCGGCGGACATCAACAACATCAGCGAGCTGATCCCCGGCTGGAGCGCATGTGCCACAAGCATTGCTCGCTGGGGATCAAGCCTGAGCACTACCAGATTGTGGGCAAGTACCTGATCGATGCCTTTGGCGAGGTGCTAGGCCCCGTCATGACAGCTGAGGCGCGAGTGGCCTGGGACAAGGCGTATTGGGTGCTGGCTCGCATGCTCATCGGGCGCGAGGAGCAAATGTACCGCGGGTTCGAGAGCGAGGGCTGGAAGGGTTGGCGCAAGTTCTGGGTATCCAAAAGGTGCAGGAGACGGACTGCATCACGTCATTTTACCTCTCGCCCAAGGACGGCAAGAGGCTACCCGAGTTCCTCCCCGGCCAGTACATCTCAATCAAGCTCGAGATGGACAGCGGCTACGTGCAGCTAAGGCAATTTGCCCTCAGCGATTCGCCCAAGCCTGACCACTACCGCATCACGGTCAAGCGCGACCGGGGCATGCAGGTGAAGAAGGCGGGCGGTGTCACCAACGTAAGCCCGGGCGTTGTGTCCAACATCATGCTAGACGACCTGCAGAGGGGTGACGAGGTCGAGGTGTCCCACCCGGCGGGCGAAATCTTCCTCGACCGGCTCAGCGGCGGCCAACACGTACCCATCGTCCTCATTTCTGCCGGCGTCGGCGTGGCCCCCATGATCTCTATCCTCAACTCCGTCATCGAGCACCAGCCTTCGCGGCCCGTCTCCTTCATCCACGGCTCCCAGCGAGACATGCCCTTTGAGGACCACGTCCGCCGCGTCAGGCAGGCCGCTCCCAACGTCTCGGTCAACATCTTCAAGTCGCGGCTGGCCGAGGCTGACCTCATCGGCGTCGACTTTGACTACGATGCCCGTGTGGACTTGGCCGCCGTGAAGCCCGAGGACCTCTATCTCAACAACGGCTCAGCCGAGTACTACATTGCGGACCCGAGCAGTTCATGGTTGAGATGTCGGACTATCTCGTCATGCAGGGCGTTAGCCTCGCGAGAGTCAAGTTCTCGCCCTTTTCTACCGGAGAGCTCCAGGTCAAGACTCAGTAATGGGGGACAAAGAAAACCCCCACATGTCTTGTTGGCCGGCGGGGAGGAGAGCAGCCGTTGTTGACCTTTCTCCTCCTCTTCCGTTGTCCCCCACCCCATCGCTTCCTTCTTCCCCTCCTCTCTTGCTCTTCTATAAAAGTTTCGTCCTTTTTATCCCCCTTTGATAACTTTTAAGCCCATCACCACGTTTAAGACGCTGCTGTCTTCAGATTCTCGTTTTGCATTCTCCTTCGGTCTGTGTTAATGGGCCCCCTCTTTCCCAACATCTATTTTCCAGTTTCCATCATGTACGAATATATCGATATAATCATTTGTCCAAAGGGATGCGGACACGGACGCGGTTGCGAGTACGGATATACCTTGTTTTTGTTTTTGCTCTCTCTTTTCCATTATTAGTTAGGTCGACGTATGGTACGCAATGAATGGATCAAAGAAAACAAACAGATTCATAGGTCATAGACGGAGGAAATTCGAGGTTGGCTCTAGGTGTCATAGTCAATTTACAGCATAATGATATCAACCTCACTCTAGGACGCTATCTCAGTTGCTCTCTTCTTTCCCCCAGGTACTTTCCAAAACCTTCTGACTGCAATTCGCGGTTCAATACAATTTGGCTGTGGAGGTGCGCGAATCTTTCTCTATCTGGCTGCCAGCGATGCATGATCTGATGATGACTTAGATGAGAACCTGACCTGAGCCACCTCAATGCCTCATTATCTTTCATTCTTTTGCCTCTTTTTGCTCCTCTAAAGTTTCTGTTATTCCTGGACTTCTTTTTCGTTTTCTGGCAGTCAAAAATCGATATCCGTCTTCAAGAATGGTGGGAGAACCAAGGAATCCCTACGAGGCGCCGGAGCCGCACAGCCCAATCGTGCGTATCGCCGTCTTGTTGCATAGGCGAATTCAAGACTCATTTCTCGTTGCTAAGTGCACTGGAACACTTGGAAAAGGTAATTCCTCCCACTGACTATCCGTCGTCGATAGCCTAACACATCCTTGCTCCCCACAGTTTTCTGTTCTCTCTCCTTTGCTTCTCCTTCTATTCTGCTACTATTCCCATCTGTGGTTCACCCTTTAACTTGATGATTCTTCTCTTATTACCATAGGGCAGTACCGTACGCCAGGGGGTACCTAGAATACGGGGAGACGTTCCTCGCAGCGGCGACTCGAATCGTTCGGCGGGAGACGGCGCTCGAAGTAATTGCGCGGCGAATTGCAGCGGTGGATGAAGAGGTGATGGGAGGGTCGGCCGGGAGAGGCACTATATCACCATTTTTGTGCTCTGCGAGCCTGGAGACGACGCGGACGAGCCAGAGGTAGGTCGCACACTATATCGAGGGAGTGCCCGAAATGGTTCACGACTAACGAACATGGGATTTCCAGATCAGAGAACCGGAAGAGTGCGATGGGTGGGAATGGAAGACTTGGGATCAACTCAGACACGAAGCGGAGCGTGAGATGGAAATGCCGTTGGCCAACATCCTAGAGGGAACGCAGAATGGGGAGGTGTTCCTCAGGAGGAGCTTGTGAAATGGTGCTTGTAACCAAGAAAAAAAGGACTGGGAAAAAACGTGTACATGGATGGCGATTCTAGATTTTCTTGTATATGTACGACACAACGATAGATGGTTGAATTTACGGATAGCGACAAGATATGGACGTGACATGGCGTGTTTCGACGCAAAGACTCTCGCCCCGGCCCTCCTTTTAGCCTGGTATAGATAAGAGAATAAGTGAAAGAAAATATGGACACGTAGATTTTACTGCGTCTTGCCGGCAGTCTTCTGGGGCTTCTCCACGCCTGTTCCGTGGAAGCGGTCCAAGAGGCCAAAGACGCCAAAGTTTACGGTGAAGCGGCGATGGTGCTCATCATGCATCCAGGCGGCGCCGTCAAAGAAGTCGAAACCGCTGTGCACGGTGCAAGTCTCGAAGAGAGTAAAGGCAAGGAACGCCCAGGAGGTAAGCACGTGGGAATGGAGCAGGGCCGGAGGGATGGCGAGGGGCAAGGCGTTGGCGACGACGTGCTCAAAGGGGTGGGCGTACTGGGCGGCGAGGGCGACGGGGGCGGTGAAGCGATGGTGAATCTTGTGGACGGCGCGGTAGAGGCCCGGGGTGTGCAGGAGGCGGTGGGCGTAGTAGAACAGGACCTCGCGCAAGAGGCAGCAGGCGACGAAGTGCGCGGCGAGCTCGGCGACCGGGGGCAGGGCGGCCTCGACGCGCAGGGCCGGGGGTGGCCCTTGACGGCGGAGAGGTAGTACGGTCCCAGGGCGAGGACGACGGAGATGACTTGGTTGCGGAGGGCGACGAGCAGGCAGTGGCGGATCTCGGCGGCGGTGGGCTGCTTGGGGGCGGCTGGAGCTTGTGGCGGGCGGAGAAGGCGGGAAAGAGGGCGTCGAGGGCGATGTAGGCGGCCGAGGTGATCCAGAAGAAGACGAACTGGACGGCGAGGCTGCCGAAAAATTCAATGTCGTGCGCGGTGTAGGTGTGGACGATGTCTGCCCACGTGGAGGCGAGCGCGGACTTCATGGTTGCGGGGAGCTGTCTTGTAGAAAGAGGGATGGATCTTGAAGTGGCGATAGTGGAGATGGAGACTTTCTACAATCTTCTCCAGGGCGCGTCTTTTATACTCAAGGGTCTGAGCATCTACGGGGTTTATGGCAACCTCTGTAGCAACGCAGATTTCTTGACGGGGTTTATGCTTTTATGGCTTTGCGAAGAGGAGTGCGAGGCCAAAGGGCCGCCTCTGGTGATAAGTGTCGATCATCGCACATGAAGAAAGGTTCCATTTTTTCGAGTCGAACGAAGCCATCACTACCATTGTGCCTCGGCATCTCTCCCTTAGCACTTTGATCTAGTCCTGTCCCCTGCCCCCGCTTTTGTCCTTCTCTTTACCCTCTTCGCAACGCAGGAGAGCTTAAATGCCAAAGTCGCCACTCTTAGATGTCGAAGTCTCGTATAATTCAACTATTCGGCTCCAAGAAGCCCCCAAGGAGGGAGAGAGGTAAATGTGAACAGCGGATCGATAACAGAGACTGAAAACCATGGATGGAACGGAGCGACTGGGAGTAAGTCCAAATAGAGCTCCATGAAGCTCTCGATTCTGCGTTCAAGGTCCAAGGGACCCCGAGTGTGGGGAAGCTCCGTGCCCCTCGTTCCCTTTACCAAAACGACTCAATGTTACTTCGTGCTTGTTTCCCCACATGCCGGTACTATCCGCGCTGGTGATGGCAAGGAAGCCTGGAAACAATCATGTCAGGCGATATTGTATCTTTACGTTGGTTTTCTCGATTGGAATCGCTAAGTTCTTTTAAGAGTTCTAAATTAAGGGTCCATTGGGCGATGAATTTCTATCGCAGGGAGCCATCGAGACTCAAGCCCTGCTCTTTCCCTTCAAATTCCCCATGCTTTTCTTGGGTATCTCATCTCGTCTTAAGGGCCCCAGGCTCTTTCCTCCACTCTGCTTTTGTCTCAACACATTTCCGGGGCAAGTAGCCAGCAAACTCGCCCCGTTGATTGAGGAAAAGAAACTCCACAACAATGATCCATGTTCATTGATCCTACCCATCCATCGGCCCAGCAAGGAGTGAATAGAAACACTCTCGGTCACCCAATCATTCGCTGTTTAGTTGTTTGTCCTTCATCATTAATCGCCGCCTCTTTATGCGCCGCCTGTGCTCTCCTCGTCGCCCTTTTCTTTCGTCTTTTGCTCGGGCCTTTTCTTGCCTCGATGCCAGATGTAGACCGAAGTGACTAGGACCAGAGACCCGCATACCCCCTACAACCGCGCCTATCGCGGCCTTGGCTCCGGTGCTGATGCCGTTGGACGTAAATGTCTCGTCCGTCGAGGTCGGGTCGCCGACGCCTGATACCGCATACTCCGGGTCCGTTGTGGTGGGGTCGTAACTTTGGTAAAGCCCGAGTACAGGGTGGGCAAAGGACCAGAGCAAAGATAGAATGATGGGAATCGGCTTGCCCATGGCGGTGTATGGTGCTTGGCCACGGTTGAGGAGCGTGAGGTTTCGTGAACTGCGCTGGGATGCCACTCGAAACAATGTCTACCGGAATGATTGCGATTTATGGCTGGAGAGCCAAGGCCTAGATTTTCTAGCCCTTTCGAAAACTCGAGTTATGGATGTCGTGATGGTTTGCGTGGGCGGAGAGAGGTGCGTTCTTGTTCAGGGTGTGCGTTGAGGAGTATCGTATCACAGAAAACAACCACATCAAGTTTGCTCTTCCATGGACATGGAGAGGGTCACCAGTATTTCAAGAGGAGGGCATTTCTTCAGTTTATGTTCCTTTGGCGAGCCTCGCATCTACGTGGAACCCGACGTTTCTCAACTGTTTGGCCCCATCGTCTTTCGGTGGCTCCCGTCAGCACTCGACAAATGCGTGCTCCGGCACCACATCCGTATAGACACTAGGAACAGGCATGAATTGGCGGATGGGGGATGCACCGCCAACAGATTCCAGCTTTGGGGTTGTGCGGCATGGGAAACGTCGAATGTACTGTTTTGTGCTCGTCAAACCACACCCAACCAAAAGTTTGAGTGAGCCAGCCAAGGGAGGGGAGGGGCACAACTGCCCCCGCAGTGTGGGATCGCACCCAGCTCCTGGTCTGTTTCCCTTTTCTTTCTCCTCGGGCACCCTTTATCGGACTTTCTGTCCCAAAATGATACTCTGAGTGCCATGTTTAAATCTCCCCGTGCAAGGAGAACAAGAAATGTTTCCGACGCGTTGAGTCGCACCAGCACGAGTGGCGTTGAGGGCCTTGAGGTTTGGGGAGAAGCCGGCCAAACACAAGGAAGATCCAATGAATGTCCGCAAAAATTAGCTATCACTGATTCGCTCATGGACCGAGCTGCAGATGGGTCGATGGGATCAGCGCCTCGTCCTGCTGCCCGAGTGCTCTTTTGTCGGTGAGCCTGGGGTTGGGGTTTCGCGAGAGGGTGCCTATTCCGCCCCACACTGAGCTGGGCTGGCCCTCGATCGCAAAGCACGAGCTGGTTCACCTCGAGGCAGCGACTGTGATCTCCTCAGAGCCTAAATTCCCCTCTCTCGACAGGGTTACAGAGAAGGACTTTCGAGTAATTACTTTTATGGGTAAAATGGGGGCTCATTTTCTACATGTATCCCTAGTACTGATTTCCCCATCGTTAGAATTCTCTTCTCCTTCGCACTGTTACGACTACATGGGCATCACTGGCTCTCTTTCCCTGCTCGCTGGGTGCAATACTAGGCATCTCCTGTTGCCTCCATATCGTGAGTTTCTCGGGAGATGGCGAGCAGGGGTTATGAGTTGGCCCCCTGTGAGAACGCTTATCAGTTCCCATCAACTTGAGTGATAGTGAGTCACCATCCTCTCGGCCAACGTCAAATGAGAGAGAAAGGGCGGATCCGGCCCTACTTTATAGTAGCGGTATTACTGAGGCAACCGGTTACGTTGGAAATTATATTACGATAGATGGTGAATGTAGCCCATGGTGGAATTCCCAAGATCGGACACGACCTATCTTACAGTGCTGCACAGAAACAAAACACCGCTTGCAAGATCCAAGATTGCTCGAGTCCCTCTAGGTCTAAGAAACGAACCCCATTTAGAAAAGCAAAGAAGAAAAGAGAAATAAGAAGTTGGCACTTGACCGAGTCGACGAGGCATGAGAGGAGACCAAGAAATGGGCAGACGTAGGAAACCCGAGGGCAGCAGGGAGACCCAGCACGAGGCATCACGCCCCATCCGATCCTAGACATCGCCGTTGGTGATGAGGCCAGGCGAAACACCACCCCCGTGTCAACGGACCTTGGAACGCACGCTCGTCGAGAACCCGCGCGTGGGATATTGTGCACACTTATTGTACGGCACGGTCCTGCGTCATCTGCAGGTCCGCCTGAAGAGAGTCTGCCTCGCCCTTGAATAACCCCCTTCCGCGAGTAGGAGGAAAGGGGAGGGGGAGAAGAAGAATTACAGACACTATGACGTAGTTATCTCGTATCACGGCAACGCACGCTACAGGGCCCCGAGGACAAGGATAGGAGGGGGAGGAGGGGAGGAGGGGGAGGAGGGGGAGCAAACGTATCGATAATGCAGAAAAAGGGCATGGGCAAAGCATGCACGACGCAAGGTACGCGCGAGGGTGGTGTGGCTGCGTCTTGATATTCCTCTCTTGTTCACTTCTCTTCTCTTCTTTTTTTCGCAACGGGAAAAAAAGCCAAGATGGGCACGATTATAGAGCGGGGTGGTGGTGGTGGGCAGTGTGTGTGTGTGTGCCAGCATAGGCTACCAGTCAGGCTGGGTTTGGGGCTCGCGTGACCCCGGGCCACCCATCACTTGCGGATATCACGACCCTTGCCGTGGGGGCCTGGGCGTCTCGCGCCTAGGGACAAAGAAGAGCCACATTACCTGGTCATGGCTTAGTTTTACCTCGATACTCAACGTCATAATCACCGAAATATCTAAAACATATCGCATCGTGAGTTCATGTCAGGGACCATCGACGCCAGTTTAGGAGGGGGAGGAGGGGCGACGCGTGCATCGTGACAATAAGAGCGAGCATCGCTGGTTTCACATCAGAAGGGTTAGCACATATAAATCAAGAGCCATCCGCCCTCGATAGAAGAAGACGGATGGAAGAAAGAGAGAAGAGAAAGAAGGTGGAACGGGGGAACAAAAAACTCATTAAAGGGTATGATATGTACAGCGTGTCCGCACTTATATATGTGAAGGTACAAGGAGTGTACTGCGCTGCACCCGCAGCGTTGTGCAACCCCTTCGCTCCACAACCGCCGCTTCCTTCGCCGCCGCTTCCACTTCGCCTCCGTCTTCTCCTCCTCTTCCTCGTCAGCCGCCACTTGCCTCGCTTCATCATGGTTCTGTGCTCTAGCACAATTCCACAAATGCTAATCAAATCGCTTCTTGCCTTTAAATCTAGCCCGGAAAGGCTCAGCCGCGGATTTCTGTATGCGGCTAGATGCCTCTTCGGGAGTCCGCCTGGTGCATCGCAGGGGGCTCTCTGATCGGAAGCCAACTTTGGCTTCCCGTGATGGTGTCGACCGAACGGACGACGACCGGATACTACATCCAATAGACTTGGACGTGGTAAATGAGAAAGAAGTAGGGCCTTCTGGTCGGGGGTAGGTGTTTCCGAATCCAAGATATCACAAGCTTCAGAGGTAGGGAGAATATCGGCGACGAGGTCATCGTACGCGCCGTCCATCTCGTTATACATATCATAGGGTGACTGGGTGACTGGGAATCCTTCGTCATCTTCTTCTTCATCCAAGGAAAAGTCGCGCGAATTGCGGCGACCGGATTCGGATCCAGAAAAGGTGATGGACTCGACAGAAGACCGGCTATCCGAGAGATCTGCTTCTGAGAGGGCGGGCGTGCGGGTTCCTTCGATCGGGGGCACATGTCGACACAAGACCTCAAGGATGCGTTGGAATCAAGTGCGTCATCGGCGTCGGCCGAGTCGGCAGTAGCAAAAGAGGTCAGAGGTCGCTTGGGCTTTGGTGAGTGAATGGTGGTGGTAGTTGGACGGCGGTGCATATCAGTGGTGTCGACAGGCGACGACGCGGCGGTGTCAGGGTCCTCGGCGATAGATTCGGGAGACATGGGAATGTGGGTATCAATTCGAGAGGGCCGGCAGGACGTAGTCGTAGCAGGGATAATAGAGTCGACGATGTCTTCAGGTTCGTCGGTGAAATGGGGCTTGTCTGAAGAAAGAAATGTTGGTACAAGGGCATATGCTTCGTGATCGTCATAATAGTCGTCGTCAGCATCGATGCTGCTGGGGTCAGTCGTCGCGCTGGCTACACTGCTGTAGTCGGCGTACGACGACGCGGTGGATAACGGGGTGTGGGACCGGTTGCCGCTGGAAGAATGGTGATCCAAGTAGCTTTCGGGGAGATAGCTCGAAAAATACCGAACGAGAGAGTCGAGCGATCTCGTTCGGAAGAGCTGGAGAGCATACTGCCACTGTTCCGTACCGACGAGCTTCGGGTGAGCAATGATCTCGAAGGCTGCAGCTTCGAGGAGTCGTTGAGTTCTCGAATCCGCTGCTCTTTCCGAGCGGCCATAAGCTCATGAAACTCGTCGGTGGTCGACGCAGTGATAGAAACCTCGAAGACGTCGTGGTGAAACGCTTCGGGGTCTTGAATCGAAGAGGGAAAGGTGTTGTACTTGTCGTGCAACTTCGTTGTCAAATCTTCCCTTTTCATGCCAAATTTCCAGGCCGGCCATGACCAGCCCGGATCGTCCATGTTATTGTAATCGGGGGTTTTGTTAAGTTAGAGGAGTCCAGGTAGCTAATAAATCATTGGGAGAGGAGTTCGCAAGCCGTTCGATAGTTCCGAGAAACCTGTTCGCTGGGATACAGGTCGCTCAGATCTTCCTAGCAGATATGTGAAAGGTCATTTTGGCGGTCGAGAAAAATCGCTAGAGGATCATTCAGGACTCAAGAGGCGGTTCGTGAGAATCTGTGTGCGTTTCGGCGGCGAAAATGCGTGCGGTATCGTGAACTCGGACGGAACTCTCAACCCTAGATTCTGTGTATGGTCAAACTTGGTGGATACGGAAGGGGAGAAAAGGCGTTAGGTGGGCGAGACGAACGAGATAAACGATCGAGGCATTCCGGCCGGTGCCCGGGGGCCTGAGTAGCAACGAATTTGCGAGCATCTCATCATCGTGGCACTGTGGGCTGTTTGGCCCCAAAAGTGAGGAAGAATGTGTCGGAAGTGGGACAAAGAGGAGGCGGAAATCAAAATGGAATCCCTCCCCTTAGTGCCATGGATGATGGCAAAATCGGTCTATCATCGTTTTGATTGGTTTGGCTTGCAGGCAGACGAAGAGTGATTGGCTCAAGGAGAAACTAGGTCTCATGCAGTGGGGACAGACCTCGCCTTTTATTGGTTCGCTTGCCTAGTGTAGGGCCCGGTGCACAGTGTTAAGAACGCGCGACGCCTATCATGTACCTATTGAAGTACTCCGTGGCGGAGTTTCTCGTCATACTGTTGTCAAGTTAGTGGTTGTGTCTCCTCAGCCGGCTGATCAAGTTCTTTGCGACACCCACCATTACAATCCTGAAGGAGGGCACGGCGTCAGCAAGGGAGTACATGTTGTCTCCAGATTACAAGTAGTGACTACTTATTACGGAATGGAGGGCCCCTCTTTATCCAACATAAATACTGTGGTAATCAAGGTACTTAATCAATAGGAGATAGTCTCTGCTACCAAAGTCAATCAAAGTCCCTTGTCCCAAGTCTGACCGCCCCCCTCTTGCATTCCCGTGGGAGAAGGGGCCAGCCAAGCAAGCATGAGGGCTGGCTGCCCACATACCCTCAACACCCCCTTCAGTGATGACGTGAAGCCTTCCCAATTGCTGAAGCCTGGTTGAACGTTGGCTAGACTCCGTTGTAAAGTAGTTACTGGTGAGAAGGGAAACGGCTGGATCAATGGGCAGAAAGAGAATAGAGATGGGAAGGTGGAGGATTAACTTCGCGTTGAAGAAAAATCCATTCCGGGCTCAAAGTTGGGTGTTGGGGAGAAATCTCAGATGGATGTGTGACGAGCGGGGTTTCCGAAACTTCTTCGTGTTCTTCCACACACACATGCGTTGAGTTGATACAAGTAGATCGAGAAAAGAGAGTCGAGGCGCATTGCAGCTTCTCCCAGCCCAATAACACCAACCAACATGCAAGTTGGTCAACAATTGGGTGACCGGCAGCTTTGAGAAAATGGAAGAACCATCAAGTTTGCCCTGAGCCTTGGTGCGACACACCATTTTGAGGAGACTTGTAAAAACGCCAATCTTTTCGGAATGACAATTGGCATTTTTCACCTTCGAGCAGGCTCTCTGGCTTGACTCCCACAGCTGCGGCGCGATGTTTTCCCGACTTGGTGTGGGAGGAAGAGGACCTGGAAATCGCCCGTTTTCCTCTTCCTCCTTGTTATTTGAAAAGAAGCAAAAGGGACAAAATTCCCCTTTGTGTTCTCGTCTCCATTCACCGAGGAAAGGTTCAAGAAGGGTGGCCCAGCTAGTTGAGTGCGTCATATAACTAGGAACACAACACGTACTACTCGGTATTATTAGACGCAATGAGCGTGAGGGCGAGACGAGTCCGTGGGACTTGGTTTAGATGGATCGCGCGTGCTTCCTTGAGAGGATGGGACTGGGTCACCCGTGGTGGACTGGGGGTCATGAGCAGCAAGGCTTAGCCCCACGCTCCTGGCTCCAGCCACACCAGCCCACCAAAGTACGAGGGACTGGGCTGACCTGAACACATGCCTGCCTGTCATGGTACTCGGTACACGCATCCCTCCGTGTCACTCCCATCTCCACTTGATATGGTCCACATGAAGCCTGTCAGCTCCCGCAATTACTCCGTCTCGAGCACGCAGAGTCATCCGCTCCAAGTGGAGAGAGCAAGGGTGGTTGGCTGCCACTGCCACATTGGCCTCTCCATCCAGTCCGTCTTCCTGCTTCGCTGGTCTCGCTCAAGTCGGGCTGAGAGAGAGAGAGAGAGAGAGATAGGGCTATTAGGGTCAGTCCGCTCCTTCCCCTCCCGCTGCCAGTCCCGACCAGGCACCCGCGCTCCAAGTTTAAGCTCATCGAGTCCTTTGCCCTTGTGCTCTCGTGCTCACATCACTCGAAGATTGACGAAGCTTTGTCTCAATCCCTTGGCATCTCGAGCACATCCCATCATCTCCACTCCACAGGCGAGAACAAGACAGGTTTTCGCCTTGTGGTCAGCATCGTTGAATAGCTCTGTCACCAGCCGGCCTGGCTTTGCGGTTCCATCTTCATTTACCACCCCTCGGGAGATTCTCACAACGTCTAGTCAAGCCTGTGTTGCCCAGTATCTTCAAGCATCTACTTCTCCGCCTTTCCATCAACCCCTTCACCACCTCTCTCAAGCACATCAAGCACCTAAAGCACTCCAGCCAACCATACTCCCATTCTGTGCTCTTCTCTCGTCATTCTTTTTCTTTCTACCCCAAGCATAACTCACCCTCTCATCTCGCCCTTCCACCAGCCCTTGTTTAGCTCGTCTCTCTGGGGGTTCACGTAGCCAGCATTATTAACCAGCCTTCCTCCTGCTTGCATTTTTACCCTCTTCGGCTTGAGTGGGAGAAGAACAGTGCCCCGCTTCCTTCCTCCCCCGAGTCCTAGAATCTTTGAAATTCAAACTTTTTCTTACACTCTTCCTGTCAAGCAACATTGAAAACTACCTCCAACCGCAAGATCCCGGAGGCATTTTCTATTTATTTCCTTGTCCCGCAGCTCTGCGAGCTGTCTATCGCATTCTTCTTGCGTGCTTCTTGAAAATTCCCCCTTCCCAGTCGCTTCTGCCAAACTCAGTCGGTTCTCCCCAACACTCGCGCGACAATGTTCGCCCGCTTCTAGTTTCCGGCGAAATTGCGTCCTGCGCACTATTTGGCACGATGGGCGAGCGGATCTTCACCTCGTCTGAGGCTTGTTCTCAGGAAAAGACGGAGCCCTTTTCCCAGACCGAGATTAACGCTCGGTTGAAGAGAAAGAACCTAGACTTCGACGACTGGTTCGATGATCTAGATGCCTCTCATATCCACCTCGACCTCCTCAAGGTCGAGGATCATCACCACGACGCTGGCGTCCGTCTCCTCGTTCGCCCCCTCACCCGCATCCCTTCTGTCAGCCCTAGCAGCGAAAACTGCCAGTGGCAGCAGTTCCTGGTCGACGTTGAGTCCCAGGACCAGCAGCACCACAGCGCCTTTGCTGTGACTCAGACCGCCAAGGATGTCAAGTTCATTGTCTGCATCCCAGGCGATAACTCCGGCCCCAAACCTCGCCCCTAATGTGGTGCGATATGTACTATGATCCCGCCAACGACAATCAGATTCTCCTCAACCGTTCGGATGTGCCTATCAGCCTCACCCGCGAATCTGACCATCCCGTCAGCGATGCCTTTTGCGTCATGATGTCAATCCTGGAACGGTGAAAAGCCTAGCCCCCGGGACCTGGAGGATTCAGATAAACGACCTCGAAGTTTTGGATTTCAGGATACTCAAGAAACGGCCCGCCCTGCTGTATCTGCCTGGAAAGCCTAAATCGCTTGATGCGCCCAAAGAGTCCCAGCCGTTGCTAAACTCGTCGGGCAAACGTGCCTCGACGGATAACCTGGAAGACCTGTCCCGTTACGAGAAGAAAGCTCGTACGGGAGAGGCTCCCGACCGCCCCAAGGAGGGTGTCTTGGTTTGCGTTCCAGTTCCGTCAAGGTCGAAAGAGCTTGTTCGGAGCAACGGCCAAGCTTTGGTTGGGGTTGAAAAGGGAGAAACCATTCAGATTCAGGGGACGAGCGACTTGGGTTCGTATCAAGTAACAAAGTTGGACCAGATCGCCTCTGCCGTCGCATCCACCGTGTACACTGCCAACTGCTCTCATATCCCGAAACAGGTAGTTACCGTCAAGGTGCTAAAGACTCGCCCAGTAGGTGGCAACGTGAAGCCCCACGACGCCGAGCGGAGCGTGATTCACCAGGCAGACATGTGGTTGCGTGAGTACCAAAGCCAGGATGCTCTGCAGCACAAGTCTATCGTCAAGCTCTATGGCGGTGATGCCCGACACCTAGCCTTTTTATGGAGCACGTTGATGGCCGAGATCTATCCGCCAGGAATGTCTGGCGCAATCAGGCTAACGACTACTTCACGGGTACGAAGGCTGATGCGCACAGGATACTGCGCGACATCGCTAATGCCCTACACTACATCCATGGGCGGAATCTGCTCCACAATGACATTAAGCCATCCAATATTCTCTACTCTACCGAAGAGGGGGCCACACTTTGCGACTTTGGCCTAGCAACGTACACGAGAGAGGCCCCTGCCCTGGGTGGCACTCCGTATTACGTTCCTCCAGAGTTCATTGGACGCAAGATTCGTGGTGCTCCGTCCGACATCTGGGCACTAGGCGTTACTATGCTTTACGTCCTTCGTAAGATCGCGCTTCCCGAGTCCCGCGGCGGCCGGGCGCACCCGAAGCGCCTATGGTGGCTGATTGCCGATCTCAATCGCGCTGGAGGCAATCGCATGCAGCAGTCCATCACTGCAGTATCACAGATGCAAACGTGGCTAGGCGAGATTGCCGAAGCACGAAGCCGACTGAACCCTCGCGACAGGATAGAGAAGCTTGTGGGGAAATGTTGGTGCCTAACCCGCGGCAGAGGATTTCAGTAGCACAAGTCCTCGAAGCGATGTTCTCCGATGAGCCGTCCTCTGTCGCTAGTAACTAAGCCGCAGCAAGATCTTGAGTAGCATGGCCGCTGTTAATTCGTCTTGTTCGGCTAGGCTCTGTTTATCCTTTTTTCGACCCCTTTTAACGGGGCGCCAGCCATCATTTCTTCCATAATCGACTAACGAACTCCCTCTTGGCAGCTTCGACTCGAGCTTGCTCTATCCCACAATGCCAACGCCTCCCTTTGGGGGAGTGTTTTCTTTCCTTTCACCTGTTAGTCTGGAGGATTTACGACTGTTATGTGATCGCATATAACGCAATGAAGTGTTTATAATCATCTTGGGGACTTGTTGATTTTCGTTTTCCTTTATTTAGAGATACCATGGGTTATTCTTCTTTCTTCTCTTCTTTTTGGCGGCCATTGTTGCAGGCATTTCTATCTACGAAGTCATTAGCTGTTGTTGTCCCTTTCAAGTTTCATGTCATGCAAAAGAGCCCTGCCCTTGTTTCTCATATTTTTGCTATCATGTTCTAGCTTTTGTCTTGACGTTTTTCTTTCTATTTTCCTCTCTACTCTTATCTTCTCCTTCCTCTTCCTTTTGGTCCTTTGATTTCCTTTTGGGGGTCTTGATCTTTCTTCTCTGGTTGTCATTCTTGAATTCTTGCTTCCCTCTTATTGCTATCATTGTTTGAAGATGTCATGTCTTGCTACAGCATTTAGGTCTAGCTAAGGCATACATATACATAGATGCATCTGCACCTTTACACTGCATATATCATTATATCATATACATTTTCAAAAGCAAGTCTGCTCTTCTTCCGTTCAAATGTTTAATACCGGATCGGTCAAGTTTTGTTTAGCTTTGAAGTCTTTTGATTAAGGTCACCAATAAGAATAGAACGTCCTCTCCCCTACATTTCCCCTCAATGTCTCATATATTCCGTCACCTTTTCAAACAAGCAGTGGTATCTCATGCATAGCATCATCCTCATTTTCATACAAGCCAAATCAAACACCCATTACAACTCCAAACCAAATAATCCCAGGTGGGAGGAACAAGAAGAGAAGATCCACCATATATATAGATGGACAAGTTTAAAGGGTCAAGCCAGCAGCAAAAGCGATGGCGAGGCCAACGGTAGAGGTGAGAGCATAGACAGAAACGCCAGCCATGGCAGCGCTGCTACCGGAATCACCTCCGCTGGAAGAATCGTCGCCAGCATCGGAGCTCTGGTTTTGGTTAGAGGGCTCAGGAACCTCGCCCGTGCTGGTGACGGGGTCCTGGACCTCGCCGACAGCGTAGTACTCGACGCCGTTAGTCTTGCACTCGGCGCCGCCGAAAGGCTTGGCGTCTTTGGTGAAGCGGATATTGGCACAGTTGTAAAGAGCGTCGCCCCTTTCACCGCTGGTGACGACCTGGATGGAAGCCTCCTGGCCTTCCTGGATGTCGAGGTCGACGGGAAGGGTGGGGACGCAGAGAGTGCCGTTACCGGTGGCGTTCCAGAACTGAGGGGTGAGGGAGATGTTGAAGTTGGACTGGTTGAGGCCGAGGCCGAGGTTGACGAAGATGTAAGCCCAAGGGTGGTGGAGCTCGAGCTCGATGCCACCGCCGTTGAGGGGCCAGTCGGTTACGTTGCCAACGTCACCGGGAACACCCGCGCCTTTAGAATGAAACCAATGTTAGCGATGCGATGGATCACTTGCGTGATTCGGGAGGAAAGACTTGGGGGTGTAAAGGCTGTAAGTTTATGAGAGGCGGGTAAACGTACAAGGATAGAGACGCTGGTTAATGCCAGAGTCCTCCTCGGCAGAGAGGAGTCGGCGCGCCATTCGGGGAAGTGCAGGCCGAAGTGGGCGGAGGCGGTGGCCGCGAAGAGAGTGAGAGCCTTGAGAGACATGATGGAAGCGGAAAGTGGATACGGTGGTAGAGAGTGAAGGAGTGAGAGAAATGCCGACGAGAGCACGGTATATAAGTGAGCAAGGAAGACGGGGAAGAGGATTGGGGTGGATGAGAGCGTTGGGAGAGAGAGTAGGCGAGATGGTTAGGTTCTCCGAGGCAGGATAGCTTTGACTTATATATATATACTCTCTGTACTCTGTAGCTCATGACGACCATTGCTCTAGGAGGCCGATGAGCGGGGGTTGGGAGGGGACCCAGGACCGTGGATCGATAAGTGCGCAGGTATAGTTCGGTACCCAGCTCTACGTTTGCGCGGGGGTCTTTTTTTTTTTCTTGTGCCAAGTTTCCCAAGCATCTGGCAGGTGTTTATTAGTCCCGCACCTACCATCCCGTCTTGCCTTTGCTACCAATTTCTCTTGAGGTTACCTCTAGCGGAATCTACGAGTTACTTTGCAGATTGGTTTGGCTTCCCGGGATGGTCTCGAGCTAGGTAGTCTCCACATAAGAATAGTAGCAGCGAGGAGCCTGGTGCTGCCAAGACCGCCTGACTCGAGAATTGGGGTTTTCTCTCAGCCATCGAGGGCGGTAGCTGCAGCTATTCCCACATCAATTGACATATCTCAGAGAAGGTGGGACGGGAGCACCTCCAAGAGTAGCTCGCACATGCGAATGATCCCTGCGCTTTGGTGGAGGACACAAGCATATCGCTCAGTAGCGTGAGCAAGTTTTCCTCGTGGGATTCCAAGCGTTAATAATACCTTTTTCGCATCTGCCCCGCGCTAACAGACTCGCGTGGTGGGGTTGAGCTACTTCGCACGTCTGGCCCGGTACTACCTCGCCGTCCCTTTGCCTTTGGGCGTGGGCCGTGACTAGGGTGAGCTTTGTGCTCTGCGTGGATGAGATGGATAAGCTAGCTAACTCTTCTTTTTCGGTCCCAAACCCGGAGGCCATGTTGCGGATCGGTGTTAGTCAAAAAGGCTTATCGTCGATCCACAAAACAAAACGTTGTAAAACGAATCTTAGCTCTTCTGTGGAGCTTAAGCAAAGAATCAAATGTTTTACGCGCTATCGTTTCGAAACGCTTTCGGGTGGTCAGGATTAATGAGAAAGTCCTCTGCACCAGGTGAGCAGTTGTACGAGGGGATGTAGTACAGAGCCTGACTTGGCTGTCTTTCTCATTGTCATCTACTTCGTACGATGGTGATGCTTGACTGGGTCCTGGACTCAATTGCTCCAGCGGCGCCCAGCCCCGGTGGGATGCCGAGCTCCGAATTGCCCAATCGAACGGCCAAATCGGGGAAATCACACCGTTGAGGGTTACCAGACGAACAGGCCCAGCTTTGGGAGCGCCACCGCCCTTGTCATGGGCCAGCCACCAGTCCGCTCGCTTTCCCTCCTCCCCAAAAGGGTCCAGGCGCGGGGTGAAGGGAAACTTTGGAGAAGAAACCATGTTCTGGTGCGGGAAGGAATGATCCATCCGCCCATGGATTTTTGAGGAAAACTTGCTCTCCTCGCTCACTGGTGCTTTCTTGGTCCTAACTTCTGTTTCTTTTTAGCTTTGTCCCGTTCGCCAGGTGCGATCGGGTAGTGGGCAAGGGCCGCCACAAAGGCCCGGGGTTCGCGGCGCTCAGCCCAATGATAGCCTCGCACTCACCTCCAAGGGCAAAAACTTGCTCAAATGAGCGCAGGACCACCCACGACAACCATCGAGACATCAGCGATTGACTATTCTGGATCGTGGAGAAGTGTCCGCCCTCGCAAGTTCCCCGAGAGAATCCGAGAAGGCTTTTCTGCATTTCTTTTCTCCCCTTTTACAGTTTCTCACTTCTTTTTATTGTTTATTTTATTTTATTTTATTTTTGCAGAAAACAAGTCCCTACACGTTACACCCACTCTGGACATTGCCTGGGTTGTAATACCCCAGGATTCTCTTGGAGGGACATGATGGAGGGGATCAGAGACACACTTCTCTCGCATTTCAACTACAACTCGGGAATGCAAGTACAAGTAGCTCTTTCGTAAACTTGGAGCTGGGTGGCAATAAGACGTTGACAATGATTCTTTGGCAATCGTGCTCGGGCCTCACGAATGGTAGGTGGCGGCGGCTGCACAGGGAACATTCCGATCACGGCAGCTCGAATGCTGGCACGGCTGGTGCCATTGGCAGCCAACGTGTGCCGACTCACCCGTAGCATGCAAGTCAAGCTCTCTCCGCAAGCTGAGGTCGTTGTACTTGCAGGCGAGCAGAACGACGCGGGATGCGGCTCGGGCGGTGCGCTGACGTCTTCTTCCGCCCTTTGAGCATGTGCAATATTAATATCAATTTGGGGAAAGGGGAAGTACCAGAATGACGGGATGGGTTCCCATGTCTGCTATTACATGCTCCCAGGTTTGTAACTACTCGAGCGGCTACAAGAGACGTAACGCATAAGTCTTGAGCAAAGTTAGATAGGGTGTTATTCCTGGTAATGCTCAAGCCAGTTGGGCAATACGAGCCACATCCACAAATGGATACATCGGCTCTACGGTATTATCACTGGGAGGGAAGAGGAGAGAGAGAAGTTTACGTCTAGAAATCGTGGTTGAATCTTGCTTTTCTATTTCCGTCCTTTCTAGCTATTCCCTAGTCCTACTTGTAGAAAAAGGGATAGCTGCAGAAGAGAAGGAACAAAGGGATATTGATATTGTACAAACAGTATAAATGAAAAGCAATAGCAAAGGTAGAAAGAGGAAACCCCGGCAATAGTCAACATTCGGCATGACCTCCCATTTTATTCCACAATGATGAACAACCTTCCAACGCCGCAGTAATCGAAGAGAGGAAGATAGAAAAGATATAAGAGAAGATGTTGAAGGGGGCAAAGGGGGGCGAGACGGAGATGAAAAAGAGAGAAACTGCTAGCCCGCAACCAGAGAGGTACGGACAGAGGGTGGTCGCCGGACTTTATAATATCAGCCGGGGAGGGCTGCCCAGGCCGGTGCCGACCCGGGTGGTGCACGAGGGTTAGGATCTTTGTTGAGAGACCAAAGCTGTCTCTCATTGCTTGTCATCCTCCTTCTTCACCACGGCGTCCTCCATCCCAACGTCCCCATCAGCATCGACCGGCTTCTCAGCTTCCTTTTCGGCAGCCTTGTCTTCCTTTTCAGCCGCGTCTACTTGTGCCTCAGCTCCCTTATCCTTTTCCTTTTCACTTTCACTTTCTTTGTCCTTTTCCTTCTCGGCGGCCTTGTCACCATCTTGACTAGTCGCTGCCGCTTCATCCTCGCTCTTCGTCTTCTGGCCGGGAGATCCAGCTCGCGCAGACTTGCTTTCTGCTGCCGCTGCTGAGCCGCCGGCATCTTCAATCGTGATATCGGGATCTTCTGTCTCGGTGGCCTCGACGGCCGTTGTGGACTGATTCGCGGGTGTGGCTGTGCCGCTCTCCGCGGCCGCGTCGTCATTCTTAAAGTCGGTGAACTGACGCTTGGAGTTGGCTCGACCAGTGCCATTAGGTTGGGGTCCATCCTCGTCGTCGCTTTCTTCGAACTCGGCTCCGTGAGCGATCCTCTTGTCAGCATCATGCTGCGTCATGCGAACATCCTTGTTCATATCTTCATTGAGGTCGTCCAGCTCTGCCTCCTCCTCGTCTGTCATGGCGCCAAACGATGGGGGATGTCCTGCATCTGCACGGAAGGAACAGGTGCCGTGTGTCGGAGGTTCTCCATCACCGCCGCCTTGATCTTTTCAAGGTACTCGGGGCTATTGGCATTCTCCATGTTTGAAGGGCGTACATCCAACTGGTAATCGGGGCCGTAATACTGCGCGGTTTGTTAGCGGGCGCATGTCAAGAGCAAAGTGTAGCTAAGAGAGGGAGGACGGAGGGCCAAATTGCAACGCGCATTGGTGGAGCGCGCTACAGGGAGGATATGGACTTACAGCATAATACTCGTTGAAGGGGATGTTTGGGTCCATCTCGTTTTCCTTACCAAGGACCACACCTGTCTCGTAGGCCCACGTACGTGACACATTGCGCATAGTATAGCCACCGCCGCCGAGAACTAGGGTGGGCTTGTGGAAACTCTTGACAAATGCGACGCAGTTAGCATGACCACGCATACTGAGGTTGAAGCACCCAAGGCGGTCTCCTGACAAGCTGTCACTACCGCACTGCAGGACAACAACATCAGGCTGGTAAAACTCCATGACCTTCGAGATAACGGGCTCAAAGATGGATTTATAAGACATGTCGTCGATACCGTCGCGAAGTGGGAAGTTGACGGCATAGTGTTTTCCTTGGCCAATACCAATATCTCTCAGTTCGCCGGTACCCGGGAAGTACTCTCCATACTTGTGGAAGGACACAGTCATGACTCGGTCCGTGGTATAAAAGGCCTCTTCGACACCGTCGCCGTGGTGAACATCAATGTCGATGTACAGCACACGCTTATTGAATCGGAGAAGCTCGAGAATACCGAGGACAATGTCTAGAAAGATTACTTGTTAGCAACCTGTAACTTCAACCCCATTTCCAAGACGGCCGCCAACCATCCTCTCCCCACCCCGCCTCATGAGTAGGGAGAGGGTGGATAGATGCCAAGGGAAACCTAGTTGAAACGAACCATTGACGTAGCAGAAGCCACTTGCTTCGCTCTTCTTTGCGTGATGGAGGCCTCCCGCCCAGTTCACAGCGATATCACATTTTTGTCGGTTAAGTCGAGCAGCACCTTCCATAGAAGCACCCGCACTAATTCCACAGAACTCGAAGAGTCCGTCAATCACTGGGCAATCGTCCCCGACATTGTACTTTCCTTGCTCTTTCTGATACGCATCCATATTGTCCGGGGTGACCTTTTGAAGGAAGTCGATGTACTCGTCTGTGTGGAACTGGGTCATTTCCATCTTGGTGGCGGGTTTCGCGCGCTGTCATTAAAGAGACGGCTTGTTAGCTTGAGGCAGCGATAGATACGGACAATAGCGCCTAGATGGGTAGCCAGATACGCCCTGGGTACACTCACATATACTTCCATCTGTCTGTAGAGATTATAGTGCATAATGAGGTTGTGAGCTAGTCGGATTCGATGAGGCTTCATGGGGTGGCCCACGGGATAGGCGTAGTAGCCGATGTCATCATCGTAAAAGTAGGCAACCTTTCGGGGCGTAGCGCCGCTCGAGCTGTTGAGGGCCGTGGAGCCCAAAGGTCCCGTCATCGACATCTTGGGAGAAGGGTAATCGCAAACAATGGGATACCCGAGGTGGCCTTCTTATTCCGCGGCTATTCAAAATGTCGAGGACCTATCGATGCACAAGCGCTGTCCAGACGCGGTAGAAAGCGACAATTGCTCACTACGAGGGATAAAATATGTGCGAAAGCGAAAGATGCGGCTTGAGTAATACAAGTTCGTGCTCGGTGACCGCCGACTTGAACCGACAAGGGCGCAGGAGGGGAAGAAGAATTGTCGGCGTGTTTCGCGAAGAAAGACGCGAAATCTCCAAAGTTCGTCGCAATTCGTTAACCCTAAAGGTAATGGGCTTCCAAAAACATAACAGGAGAAAGATGCGTAGCGATTTAGGACCCCGTGTCCCTCGATAGGATTGTGTGTTAGGTGCTTCGAAATGACTTGTCGCGTCGAAGCATTCAAAAGAAAAAGAGGGTTGAAGCGTAATAGCGACTCAGCCTGATGCGCCCCCTTGCCGTGAAAGGAGTGGGCTACACTCGGCCAAGGGACGGGCAGGGCGGGTTGTTCAGTGAGCACGGAGGGCTTGTATGATTATGTAAGGACACCGGCGTTTCCTCTCCAATCGGGTGGCGTCGCATGGAGAAGTCAGACTGCCCTTCAAAATGCAAGGCTGAAGTGCACAGGCCAGCTCGATTCATGAATCGCTCATTGGGCAAGAGCTGCAAGAAACAGTGGGCACTCTAGTCATTCGCGTGTCTGCCCACAGTGTGGCAGGTCGTGGTCACGTGAATCCACCTGTCAAAGTGCCAATGGCGAAGTAGCACTCCGCCAGCGAATGCTGGGATAGAGACAAAGGAAGCTGGTTGGCGGTGCTGTTGCTTGGGTAAGCCGCCTGACGAGCTGGACGGCGCAACGCAACGGCAGGCTGCGAGCTGCTGGCGTCAACACCCATGAGCTGGGCAGAATCATCACAAGAGTGTTTCTGCGAATCATCCTCACAACCACCACATCGCCTTCTCCATAACCTCATCACCTCTTTTTCGAATTGAAATAGCTGGTACAGCCAAATTCTTGTTCGAAATCTCTTCATTTCCCTTTCATAACAGAAATTAGAGCTCCAACCCATCATGGAACGCCTCAGGAACATACTCGGCCCCGGTGGCCTTGGTGGTCTTGGAAGTCAACCCGGTGCCGTGAGTCGCCTCGCACGAAGAATTTCTTCATAATAAAACGAACCTAGGGCTAACGATTCGATTCAAAAGGATAACACGAGCCTGATTGATAATTCCGAGACCGTATACATCTCCTCACTCGCCCTCCTGAAGATGCTTCGCCACGGTCGTGCGGGTGTGCCTATGGAGGTCATGGGCCTGATGCTCGGAGAGTTTGTTGATGATTTCACCGTGAGGGTGGTTGATGTATTTGCCATGCCCCAGAGCGGTACCGGTGTCAGCGTAGAAGCCGTCGACCCCGTCTTCCAAATGAAGATGATGGACATGCTCCGGCAAACAGGAAGGTATGTGCCAGGTCCATCCTCAGTTGCAACGGCTTTTGCTTGAGCGGTCTGTCCACTTACATATATCGTTTCCCATTAGGCCCGAGTCCGTCGTTGGCTGGTACCATTCGCATCCCGGTTTCGGCTGCTGGCTATCGTCCGTCGATATCCAGACCCAACAATCCTTCGAGCAGCTTACCCCACGAGCCGTCGCCGTCGTCGTCGACCCCATCCAGTCCGTGAAGGGCAAGGTTGTCATTGATGCCTTCCGCCTTATCAACCCCCAGTCTCTCATGCTCGGCCAAGAGCCTCGACAGAGCACGAGTAACTTGGGCCACCTCAACAAGCCTTCAATTCAGGCGCTCATTCATGGCCTGAACAGACACTACTACTCCATCGGTATTAACTACAGGAAGACGGCGCTCGAGGAGAACATGCTGATGAACCTCCATAAACATGTCTGGACGGAGGCCCTCACTATGGAAGACTTCCGCGCCGAAGGCGGTCGAAACAAGGAGCGGCTGGAGAGGCTCGTAACCCTAGCGGATGGTTATGAGAAGCGTGTCAAAGAGGAGACCGAGCTCACAAAGGATCAGCTCAAGACTCGATACGTCGGAAAGCTGGACCCCAAGAAGCATCTTGCAGATGTTGGCCAGCAACTTATCGAAGACAACATCGTTTCCGTGTCGAGGCAGATGATTGACAAGGAGTCTGCAATGCCAGGAAAGAAGGAGGCGCCGACGCCGGCTCAAAATGGCCAGACCAAAGAAGAAGATCTCATGGATGTGGAGGAAGAATTATGAACGTTGTCCCCGCTGTTGAAGTGCGTCAACTGAAGAGATACCCCGCCAGAAACCCGCCCTCTTCGCCATCTGTAAAACTAGAGACTTTTGCTGATGGGCCACGGTATTATCGCTATTAGAACTAGGCTCGTCAATGTACAAGTGGTTTTCTTTTTCTTCACAATTGACCATTGACCCATGACGCACCATGTCTTCTTTGATGTCATTCGCCTGTTGGTTCTTAGCCCTTGGCTGACCTTTACCCCCACCTCTTCATCCCCGTTACCTTGCCGCGTTTGTAATCATTCCCATGTGATGCCGTGGACCTCTTTGAAGCCTGTTTTGAGAATGAGAGATACATTTTACCAAGTCTTTGTTACTTCTAACCCTAGGCATGGAACACGACACAAAGGTATTACCTCTGAATAGGGCGTTTCCACGAGTACTTGAGGGCCATAGTTCCGTCGCCATCTATCTCATTCTCGTAGCCTTTAGATTGCAGACAGCAATAGACGTGTGGCTTTAGTAAGTTTACCAACCCTTTTTATACTGTTCCTGGGAATAACCCCTTATCCGTACTCGACAACTTCTCATACTTGAGAACACAATACCATGCCGACGAGGCCCGGCCAGCGTCCAAAGTCCGGTTGCTGGAACCCCTCTCGAGCATCAATAGCCGTCTCCAGAGAATACGGAGGCGCGTTAAACTTTGGTTTGCACCCCAGGAGATGAGCGTAAAAGGCTCAAGGAGAAATTCGCCGATCGCAGTGGTCCAGCAGGGCCCCCAAAGATTTCGCTCCCTACCCAGAGGTCATTTACGGTACGTGGAAGCATCGGCCAGGTCCACCATTGGAGCGATATTCCCGGGGAAGCACGGAATACCTGCTCGAAGGCGAGGTCTTTGCACGACCCATATCAATGCCTCTTGCGTTGAACCCAGTGTTTGGAAGACCTATCATATATTCCGAGTTTCTTGTCCCTAATCGACCACCAAAGAGCAACATCAAGGGGCTAGACGATTCGATGCATCCATCCACAGTCATGGCGATTGTAGCATGGCTGTCGACAAGCGTGTCACACCTACCGTTCCTAGTGACAGGACTAGCAGCTATGATCATACACGGATACACGGGCCGCTTCGCCAAGCACGTAACGATTATGTGCCCTGACCACTCAGTTGAGGTGCTCATGAGCTGGGCTCATGCGCAGAAGGACGTGCTGAAGCTTGGCGAAGGTACACGCGAGTTCGGGGTACGGCTGGCTGACGACCGAGGGAAGGTGCGTCGAGTCAGGGTCCGGTCCACTCAAGCCGCATCTGGGATTCCCGCGCTGCGGTGTCTGTGTTGGCGGAGGGAGACGACTATGGGCCGACGGGAACAAGAATCATGGGGTTGGAGGCCCTTTTAGACGTGGTGGCCGAGGTGTATGTGGCGACGCGCGGCGGGCCTGGGGGCACAGTGATGCAAGAGGAACTGGCAGAGGAGATCACATGGTTGGTGCACAGGATCATGACGTACGAGAAGCGAGTGGACCGAGAACAGATACAGCACTTTCTACAACCCATTTTTCTACAAGCGTTTAATGGAGCGTTTCCAGAGGCGGGGCCCCTCTTCATTGAAGCGGGATTGGTCAAGAGGGAAGAGGGTAGATTGGTGTTTGACGATGGAGAACGACCCATCACAATGATGACGGTAGATTCGGACGTGCAGAACTTCCTTCGATATGACAGGTTTGTGGAGGAGAAGCAGGACCAAAAGGCTAGCTCAGCTGAGAGGTCCAAGGAGGGCCAGAGACAGCGACAGCGACAGCGACGGCGGCGAGGACAAACTGCCCCAATGATGGAACCTAGGGGCTCAGCTGCTACTGCCAGATGTGAGGTCCCCCAGCCCGAAAGGTAAGAGAGGGTGAAGACAGGAGGCAGGGCCGGGAGGCGACCAGGGACCCTAGACTGGTAGTGCCAGATGCGAAAAAGTCATCGGACGTTGCGGCCGAAGAACTGGAGCCGATTCCAGTGTACGAGCTTCTACGTGGCGGGTACGGCGAGGTTCCGGACCTGCCTCTCCCGCGATTTATGTGGACGGGGTCGGTGACCTCGGAGAGACCGCTAGGTAAGGTGTTTAGGGAGGTGCTTACGCCAACATAGAACTACCAGGCTACACAGACAGAGACGAGGGGACCTGCGGGAACGAGTCTGGGTTCCCTATTACTCTGAGGGCCGAGTTAAATAGAAGGAGTTTGGGCAATCTAGACGAGAGCTTGCTTTGTGTACACACTTCCATATGGAGAAAGACCTTCTTGGCCACCTAAGGTAGGGATAATCTTACCCTGGACGACTAGTACGTGCCATAAGTAGAAACGCCGTGTGCTTCGCGCGATCTCGGGCTAGGCGCCATATCCGAGCCTATGATGGTATCGTGTTCCCTTCAGAGTCCTCCGTCTACCAATAAATCTGAAAATTGAGGTCGGGATAACTGGCAAGGAGCAGGACTGTCTGGGGGACGCGAAACGCGTATCGGGGCCGTGTGGCCTCTCTGACTTTGACTTTACAGTGTCCCCCGAAGTGGTTGAACGGACAATTGGGAGAGAGGAAGGAACCACGTTTATTGTCTCACTCCTCATGTCCGCGGCATCTGCCACTCGGTGTGTGTTTCGGCCATCATTGAATCTTCCCCGGTATATCCGCTGCGAACAGGAATGAGATGAGGGAGGGTTTTTTTTTCTTTCTTTTTTTCTTTCTTTTTTTCTTTCTTTTTTTTTCTTTCTTTTTTTTTCTTTCTTTTTTTCTTTCTTTTTTCTCTCTAATAGTATAATTAAGTTAATACTGTTTGCTTGTTTTAGGTAAAGAACTGCACGTAACAGGGAAACAAAAGCACTTCTTTGACCAAGCGGATTCGGAGTATTGGAGATTCTTTGTTGAGAGATGTGTTGCCCTCACCCTTCGCCAGAAGATGCCTAATTCAACCAATTCCTGGGGAAGTGGGCGCGCGATGTCCCTAGCCCAATGTCGTTATTAGTCCTTCGGAACGAGGTGATGGCGGATACGCCTAGACAAAAGCAGCAAGAGGGGAGGTAGGGGAGGTGCGATGAGATGGGGATTACTATTCATGATCACCACGCCCATCTCCGTTTATAGGTCGATCAGCAGAATTCCCTTGTCGCCCGAGAAGACTAGGCTACGTCATCAGGAAATCCAGAAAGTACATTAAGGCCAAGGGATACAGAGGGAAAGCAAGGGGAGAATACAGTCAAATTCAGGTTCAGTGACCCTACTCTGACTTTGGGAAAGTAATAGATGGGTCTCGACTAGGTCACCATCAGTGGCCTTCCACGATGTGGAGCGAGACGACTCAAGTTCGTTGCTCGTTTACTTAGCAGGAGCGAATTCAAGTTCGTAATACGTTTGTGAGAGTACAAATCACTCATTCTAGCAAGCCTCTACACTCTACACCACCGAGGTATGAGCAATGAACCCTCAAATCTTCTCTTCCTCAAAAAAATGGGAAAGAGAAGGTTTACGACGCGCGACTTTGAGCGCGTTTTCACAAGTAGGTTCAATTGCATAAAGGAGCCACTCCACCTATCTGTAGCCAGGGCGTTAAGTTCGAGGAGAAGGAGGAAAAGGGGGCCAGGCCGTGCCATGCGGTTGCTCCGCCGCGATTGAAATGGTGGGCAATCCACAATACAATCCCGATTGAACCTAGCAGCGGTACCTGGAGGGCTATCTTTCATGCAGGCAAGAGATCAATTCCCATCCATCGATTGAGCCGTCCGGGTGCCTTGACGTTGGACGGACTCTGAAAACCAGAAGAGTCTTGCTCAACCCGGCGTGCAGTCTCGCGGAGGAATAATAACGCTCTCAAAACCTCTCTCGCCTGGACTCACCCCTTTCTGTTACTGAAAAAAGGCATCGATAATAGGTGGAAGAGGAGGCTGGCCCACTCACCATCCCAGTAACGCCATCTGTGCTGGATCCCGATCTGGTCTAGTTTTTCGAGCATGAACAGACCCCAGGCCCGTGGTAGCAGCCGCTCTGGGGCCCTTGAAATCCAAGAATGCTCCTGGCGTACCAACCCCAGCTGTTCGGATTCGAGAGTGTGCGCAAGTTTTCGCGGGGCATCAAGGCTTTCCACATGAAGTAATATTACAAGGTAATATTACGGCCGGGCGACTTTGTTCTTCTTTTTCTCATAGAGGCTTTCTTTGCCGACCTGCTATTCCTGACATATTCCGAGAGGCAGGGCTGCGATGCTCTTTCTTATTATCTTTTCTTATCAAACAAAAGGCCGAGGTCGTTCCTGTTCTCACTCTTTGGGCTCAGCCCGGTCCTTCAGCCGAAGTTTGCGCAACTGGTGGTTGAGGACAGCCGTACGAGCTCGCTAGCATGTGGGGCTTGTCTTGGGGGCGAGGAGTTGTCTTGTCTTGCTGGTCTGCCACGGACAAAGGACTTGAGTGGCTTAGAATGAGTTTGGATGGATCATTTTGGAAGCTTTGCCTTGGCTAGCGGCATGGAACTCCCAGGTACCAAATGGATCGAGGAACCGAAATGTCACCAAATATTCATCCAGTGTTGCGTTGCTCAAGAGGGAAAGCCGGGAGTCGGGAAACTGAGCACATACACTATGCCCAACATTGAAGCCTGCGTGTGAGGAGTGCATCCATGTCATGGCCACGGCCATGTCAACACGAACAGCAAATGTGGAGCAAACCACCTTCCCAAATGCTTGGCCAGCATTCCTGCGCGTGCGTGTCTGCCCGTGTACAAGGAAGGCGAGGTGGGTGTGGGTGTGGGTGCATCCATGCTCACTGGTATCATTTCAGGTATTCAGGTATTTAGGTATTCTGGTATTCAGCAGCGCCGCTCCATGTAAAAATAACACAAAGCGACCCCCTTTCGAAATATTTCTCCATCCTTAGAACTCTGTCCTGAACAACGACGGAGCCCACATATCTTTGTTCAGAACTGCTTTTCGTCTACTCATCCTGAATCCTCCTTTTTCGAGAAGAGACCGGCGGATCCAAATTCCACGCTTCAACCGCGCCTAAACGATTTCTACCCCCGACGTCGTCGCTGCGGCCTTGCGAACCGCTGCCGTCATTTAATATCGAGCACGGGCTGCAATCAATTTACCACCTCCAACCGCCGGACCCTCCCGCAGGGCCCCTCGAGTCCTCCTTACGGAGCCGCGTCGACAGCAAGCGACCGACGAGGCCATGTGCCGAAGCTTCGTGATCTCACCCTTTGCTCGACTCTAAGTCTGCGGCGATCTGAATATCATCTCGTTACTTGCCCAAAATGGATTCGACCGCAAGCATGGTCTACCCTCGAGGTTAGTCGCGTTCTTGCCATTTCTTGGCCTGCATCCAGCCCTCTGAATCCATGCGACCTTTTTTCCATTCTATTGTTGTATTCCACTCTTCTGTGGTCTGCTTCTCTCTTAAGCTCTTGACCGCTAACCTCAGGCCTTTTATCATGATACCAATAGATTCGTGGTCCTCCCTGACCACAGAGGACCTCCTCTCCGAACTCTCAAAACGTCAACATAGTGGCGCCGCCATGGACGGTCCGAAACCCGAGTGCGGGAGCACCATGAATATGGGCTCTTACAATACCCCGCTACACGTTGGCGCCTTGTTCCTCATCCTCTGCCTAGGCACGATAAGTACGTTTCCCGGGCTCTTGTCTTTGCTTCAGCGTCTCGCTGGCGGATAGCGCGCTAACATGTTCACCTCGCATCAGCATGCGGCCTCCCCTCATATCTAACCCGGCCAACAAGTCGGCTCTCCAGAGAACATTCCTCTTCTACTGCCAGCATCTCGGCACCGGCGTGCTCCTTGCCACATCCTTCATCCACCTATTGCCCATGGCTTTCATGTCCCTCATGAACCCATGTCTGCCCGACTTCTTCAGCAAGAAATACCCCCGTTGGCAGGTCTCATTGCCATGGTTGCTGTTCTATCCGTCGTAACTCTCGAGTCGTACCTCACAGGCCGGGGAGCCGGCCACGTCCACAACCATCCCGGTATGTGGGACTCAGACGACGAAGATGAGAGGACTCCCAGGCATATCATCACCCCTCCCGAGCTGTCTCTCGCCGCCCGGAGGCACCAGTACCCCGCTGCCATGTCACTACACGATCTCGAGGCGTCTGAGGGACTCGTCGACGGTGTTTCGCCTCGCCCCGGACAGACCCCGCTACCAGAGGGAACGCCCACGGGCGTCGGCGAGCGCAAGTCAATGGATTCGGACTCCGACATGGAACTTGACGTCCACGAGCTCGACCCTCACCCGCACGACGATGAGACCCACAAGCCTCTCAACGGCCACTCCAGCACTGGCCGCCCACCTGCCGACGCCGACCCCCATGTCCACATCCCGACCCCGACGAGCAGAAGAAGCTTTTCCTCCAGTGTCTCCTGCTCGAGGCCGGTATCCTCTTTCATAGCATCTTCATTGGCATCGCCTTATCCGTGGAGTCTGGCCCCACCTTCCTCGTCTTCCTCTTTGCCATCGCCATCCACCAGTCTTTTGAGGGCCTCGCCCTCGGCAGCCGCATCGCCGCCATCCAACTACCCCGAAGCTCTCTTCGCCCCTGGCTCATGGTCCTCGCCTTTGGCATGACCACCCCTTGGGCCAGGCCATCGGCCTTGTCATCCACAACATGTACGACCCTCAAAGCGAGGCGGGCCTGCTCACGGTTGGCATCATGAATGCCATCTCCGCCGGCCTACTGCTCTTTGCCGGCCTCGTTCAGCTGCTCGCCGAGGACTTCCTTACTGAGAAGAGCTACCAGACTCTCAAAGGTACAAGGAGGAGAAGGGCCTTTATGTCCGTCGTCGGCGGCGCGCTGCTCATGGCTGCTGTCAGGCTAATTGCTTGATCGTTCAGTGGCCTACAGCATCATTCAACTTGTTTCCTTTTTCTCTCCCTCTTGCCCCTCCTTTTTTTTCGTAGGAAGGGGCCACATATCCCTTATCCCTTTTGTTTTCAGTTGGTTGAAAAATATGAACTGTACTATCGGTTCGATCCCATGGCATGGAGTTGGCAGGTTTTAGAATTGTCTAGGCGTTACGGTAACAAGGTCGTCAAGCGTCGTCTTGCACGTTGTGCGATGAGGCCCCTTCTTCAAAACGAGAAAGAAATATTTCATTAATCTTGTAATATCAACCCATGAATATGAATACTTACTTCACCAGTACCTGCCTTGCTGCTTCTTTGTGTTTCGCTTTCACGCACCCGCCGCATCCGGTGCTGGGAATTGATAGTCTTATACTTTTTTCGTCTTAGATAAGTCCAAGGATATGTACGTTTCGGTATTTACAAGTGCATCCATTCCCCGCAAAGTTGGCCCCATGCCTCTCCGGGCCCGGCTAGCAAGTGACCGCCATTCGTTACATCCCGGAATCGCTTTTTGTACTTTCCTTGTTCTTGCTCGCCCCCTCCTCCTTTTTCCAGATATGCACGAAGAGATATTTACGCCGCTTTGGGGGCTGTAGCGGACCAAGGGAAAGACTCTGCAAGGGCCGAGCCGTAGCTGCCGAGGTCGTGGTAGTCCCTTGTCAGGGGTTCGTCCTGAAGGATGTGGCGGACATACGGGAGGATATTATCACTAGTGCTCTGTTAGTAAGGCGAGAAGGTTTTCCCTTGATTTTGAGGTAAAGCCACAACAAGAGAACGGGGAAATCAAAGGAAAGGAGGGATGAAGGAAAAAAGACTCACTATCCGCTCATATCACAATGCCCACCCTGCCGAATGGCGATGGCGAGCTTGTCACTGGCGCCCAAAAAGTCGTAGACGAGCTGCGCAGCCGGGTAGATGACGGTGGACGATCCCTTGGAGTTGACAAACTGGTCACCGACGCCCTGGTCAGCCACGATAGCACGCGGGGCGATGGCGGCGGCGATGGTGTGGGCATCAAAGGGGAGGTTCTCGTGGTGGCCGACGAACTCTCCGAGGCGGCTGCTGCTCCACCAGCCGGCGCCCTGCTTAGAGTTGTCGAGGTTCTCGCCCTGGCCGGAGAGGGTGAAGTAGCGGTAGGGCCCGAAGCCCTGGACGCCCGAAGACATGGGCATGCTGAGGGTGATGCGCTCGTCGAAGAGGGAGGCGGCGAGGGCGCCCTTGCCGAGGCGGGAGCAGCCGGTGACGCCGACGCGGGTGGGGTCGATCTCGGAGACGGTCTGGGTGATGGCGTCGAGGACGCGGTGGAACCCCCAGGCCCAGGCGGTGAGCACGCCGATGTCGCGGTCGCCGTAGATTTGCCAAAAGGCGCCCGATTTGGCGTTGCTGTCGGCGGCGACGGAGACGTAGTTGAACTCGGCGACGGCGATGCCGGCTTGCAAGTACGGCTGGTTCTTCATGCCGCCGATGGCGATGACGACGGGGAAGGGTCCCGTGCCGGAGGGGAGCTGGACGGTGGCGGCGAAGCTGCCCGTCTTGCCGCCCGCGGTGACGGAGATGGCGAGGTTGTTGCCCGTGCGGGTCGCCTCGACGGTCTCGGCGGAATGGTCGGGGTAGTAGCCGAACTGGTACTCTTGGAGCATTTCCATGATTTGCGGCTTTTGGCACTGGTACCACTGCTCGGGGGTGGTGATGCGGTCCTTGCCCTTGCCGGCCATCAGGTCGGCGGCGGACACGCCGCCAGAGCCCTCGGTGGTCATGTAGAGCGGGGGCAGGAACGGGTCCGGGAGGGAGCTCTGCGCGGGATACCCCTGGTAGGACGGCCACGGCGAGGCGCGGCGGCGCACTGAACATCGGCGGCGGGCGTTTCGGGGCGGCAGGGGTCTCGGGGGCGGCAGGTTCCTCGGGGTCATCCTGTGGTCGGGGGCGGCGAGAGCGAGGCCCGCCAGCGCCCCGAGGAGCAACATGTGCTTCATGGTTAGGGGTTTAGTCGAGACGGGGTCGGGAGGTTGGCCACTTTTCTTTTGTCTTTTCGGGGTGAGAGAGGATGGCAGAGGGCGGAGGCGGGATCGTGACTTGAGAAAAGAGTGAACTTTTCCCTGCCCCCGTCCACGAAGTATATATATATGTTCCTTGGAGAGGTCAACCCCGGGTTTTAGAACGGGGAAAGGGGGTGTGGCCGACTCTTTGGGTTCCTTGCGTCCGTCTTGGCTTTCATTTACCGGCTTAGCCGTCCATATTCGCCCGGGGACCGTACCGCCCATGGTTTGGTGGAGGCTCTTAGATTAGGCGTGACCGCCTCCTCCACCCGGGCAATAGATTTAATATTCTCCGAATCTAGTTTGTCGAACTTGAGCTGAGGCTTCGATCGTACTCACAAGTCGAAGGGAGCAGCAAAATGAACGCTTCTAAGTCAAGCGGCGCGACGGTCAAGAGGCGGTTTCGACCCTTTGGGAGCGCGTGTTTATATTCCTTGATCCTCGGATTTGCGGCAGATCCGATCTCCAGCTTTTGCCTTTTTCTGCCTTTTTGGGGTAATGCCCTTTACTCCTCCCGCCCTGATGGGGTCGGCGATCTTTCAGCCATTGCCTGACAGCTACTATAAAATCATCTATATCCACCCCCGTAGCCGGTGTGTGGCAGGCCAGACTTTAGCCGGCTCAATATACAGAGATATATAAGAGGTCTCGTTGACGTCCCTCCGCACCCCCATCTTGTCCGCGACGTACTAAAATCCTGCACAATTGGGGAGGGGAGGGGAGGGGAGGAATCGCAAACAGGCGTCGGGACTTTGTGGGAGAAAATTGATTGCTGCGGGGGCGGGAGAAGGACTCGAGAGGGCGCCGTACGTCCGGGTCTTTCCAGGCGAGGAAATGTGTAGCCGTTCCAGTGCCCCCAGGTCTAAACTACCGTCAGGTACGCGTAATGAGGGGTGAGGCTCGTGGCTTAATCTGGTTGATTGAATGGGGCTTGACTACGTCCGTAGAAGCCCTATAGAAGAGTAAAAGAGCAGGTTGCTGGTGCGGACCGGAGACGTGAAAAGAGCACGACGGGGGTCTGAGGTGGGCCGGCTTGGAAGAACCTTGGTCCGTTCCTCCTTCTAGCTCCTTGCTTTAGCTATGAAAATTGGCTGCCTTGTAGGTAGACTTAAAGAGCGGACAACAGCGTAGATAGGGATGCGAGGGGTCCGAAGCCATAACGCAGGTTGATCCAAGTAAAGAGGCTTGAAGGGGGCCCGAAATCCGATCCTGGGGCCTTTTCAAACAATATTTGCCAAGGTCTTCACATTTTCGCTGATATTTATGAATCTTTTCTTAGTGTGTGCTTTTTTCAAATGTCTCTGCCTATCACTTAAAACCCCCATATCAGATCTTTGGGAATACCTTGTTTGCCATGGTTGATGGTGGGCTCAAAGGTTGGTCCGCGAGCGAGCCGACATTGCATGTGGTTGTGCTAGTCTCGGGTTTGGGAGGTCACTGACAGCCCTTGGTGCATCCCGTCGAGTACGACATTGCCCCATTCCCCCTGGCCAACGTCCCGACACAAGCCAACGAATCAGCGGGTCGTCTTTATTCAGCACCTGCCAGACTCGACCCCGCTAGTGGCCGGGGACAAGAGGCGGTTTAAAGTCCGGACATGGCAGAATGGCCTGATGCGACGTTTGCAATGCGCCATGCACCATGACAGACCATGTTGATGGTGCGTCTTGAACTATTAGGCCGGCCTCCGAGAGGGTTCGGGAGAAAAGATGGAGAGCTCTGCGCTCTGATAAAACCATCCAGGCCTTCTCTTCCCCACTCATCCCTCCCTCCCCCATTATCCCTTTCATCAGCGTCCATCACAGCTTCCCCTCCCGCTCTTATCCTCGCAGCAAAACCTAGTCCGATTCCTTGCTCTTCCCTACAATAAAATTGAGATCTATAGGGCCCTTCTTCAATGCCCAGTAGAGGCGGCTTCCAGCTGCTTGTAGTTACCCTTGCTGTTTTCCTCGGCGTAATATTCACCAGAGCCCCATTTATGATGGCGAGCCAAGCTCCCAATAGCGACAAGCCTTGGGCGGACGGGCCCATGAAGCTCGTCCAAACCCCCTCTACTTGTCGACGCAAAGAGATGCAACGCCAAAGGTGAGATGCCCTTTGATCCAGCCGTGTCAGGTGTGTGGAAGAAAGGTTGCTTGCGGTACTAACCTGGACGTGGTGCAAATAAACAGAAGGACATCTTTACCACGGGCGCCAGCCACATGGCGTTGCTCCACAACTGCATCATCCGCGGATTCAACTCGATATGGCTCCAGGCCCCGCATATAAAGGAGGCTGACAAGGCGGATTTCATCGGATACTCGCTCACCTGGTTCAAGTTTGTCAAGTCGCACCACGACGATGAGGAGGACAACCTCTTCAACAAGGTCGCCGACATCCTCGGCGATGAGGGGGTTTGGTCTCAGACTCATGAGGAGCATGGTGAGATCCTTGCCTCGTAGACCACTTCCCGCGCATTGAGATTTGGTGAGCTGACTTGGGTGTTCCCTCCGAACAGAATCCTTCCTAGGTGGTCTCGGCGAATTCAACACCTACCTAACCTCCCTAAAGTCACCCTCTGACTTTTCCGGCGAGGAACTCCGCCGAATCATGGCCTCCTTCCACGAGCCCTTCGAGAACCACTTCCACAGCGAGATTTCCACCATCGCCGACATGGCCGGCCACCCCAAAGCCCCTCAAGCCGGTTCCCCGAAGAGACGGCGGCGTCTGCAATGTTCAAGGCGTGGGGTAAGACGACGGTCTCCAAGGCTGGGGTATTGGACGTCGTGCCCTTCTTCTTGTTGAACCTAGATCGCTCTGCCGAAGCCCCTCTTTGGGAGAACTGGCCCCCGATGCCCAATCCTATCAAGGTATGTGAGCCCCTATCTCTTTCGTGCTGCTTCCACCAAGGCACAACTTTGCGTATTCGGACCCCAGAAAGCTAACCGTGACGGCAGTGGGGAATGGTTAACATTGCGGGATCATGGTACTCGAGTTGGTGGAAGTTTTCGAGCTGTGATGCGAACCAGAGGCCGAAGGAGCTCTATGCGCTCAAGGACGTCGAGGTCAAATCTTAATCCGGCATTCGGATCCGGGTTCGGATGAAGGTCGTTTCTGTCGCGTACGAGACCTGTTGCCAGCGCTGGCGCTTTGTAATATAGATACACAATGAACTTTCCATAATATCCATCAATTGGATCCTTTCCGTCTCTGACGACCCTCGTAGTTTGAGAAGGTGGCAGTACCCCCAGGAAAGCACCCGTATCCGTGCGGGTGCGAGTGGTGCACCGGTGCTCCTTTATGAGCACATTAACCGGCGTCTCGGCATGCATCCCAGCGGGTACCATCTCGGGCTGCAGCCTTCGGAACCCGCTTGCTGGGAACAACCACGAGGCAAGAAATTAAGAGTGGCCCGAGGAGCCCCTTCTAAGATCTCCATAGCGAGCGCCTCGAAGACGGAAAATGGGGCTCCCCGTAGGCCTTTCGTACATTTCATGAATCATCTTCTATTTCGCTTTCAGCGTGTTTTCACGCGAGATAGGTCAATGATGCTGGCACCTCTAGGCCTCTGTCCCGCGTTGCCCTCATCTCTCAAGCTGGGGAGAGCTAGACGAAGTTGATACGAAAATGGTATCTGGGACGGCACGAAGAACAAACCCCAAGAAAGGCTCTATAGTCCAAGCGGGAGTGCATCTTGTGATAGCCAGCTCGGACTCTGGTCTTTGGCCTCCCAGAGCTGCGTCTGCTTCCCATACGGTCATGCCACCGTCAAGACTTGGCAAGCCACAAACCAAAGTATCCATCATCGTATTGTAGAAGCGTAGCAAATGATGCTGATTATTATTGTTGCTGCGGGCTCGACCAACCGCTATTATGCGCCTACCTTTTCTTCTTGGAGAGCGGGAATTGGTCGATGCATCACACACCCCAGCCCTACTTCCCAATTGGTATTGGAAGGGCCCGGAAAACTTGCTCAAACGCTCTCAAAAATCACCACACCAAGATGAGAGCTGGAAGGAACTCACCAATTTTAGGTGTTTTTTTTCCTTTCAACAGAGAAAGAAAGAATGTTCCTGAATAGTAATAAACTAGGCGGGAAAAACAACCCGGGTATCGGAACATTTGTGCTGTGATATCCTAATATCACTTCCCGTTGTCAACTCTCACCGGATGGCGCCCTCAAAATAGCTTGAGGGTAGGCTGGCATCCCTCGTCGACCTTTCTTAGGCTTGGCGAGACAGAAGAATATCCCCGTGGTACTACACGCCCCCGAGTCAGTGTCTGTTGCTGGGGGTCTTGATGCGTAGTTGGAGAGAGCAGTGCCGTATGAAAAGTGAGCCCAGCTTCCTCGGTGTAAGAGGCCGAAGTGTGGTCCAACGTTCAAGACCCACCCCCATGCTGCCGCTGGCTCCTAATTGTCTCCCCGGCACCTTCTAGTGTGGGTGGAGGCTGAAGACGAGGGATATGAATGGAAGGATACCTTCTCTATCGGCCTCATGGTGGAAATGTAGCACGTACGGTTCGTTCAAGTGGAGTGCCTCGCATCCGAAAGCCCTCGGCCGTTTTTGGGATGGAAAGGGGATAGGGCGGGAGCCCCTGGTCTTACCCTTGACCATTGGTGAGTTCAACATGAGAGAGAGCAAGTTTTGGGCTTGGCCTTCTCAAAAGACCTCATGGAGACGTCCCGATTATTGTGTACATAAGGCCGCGGTCGCTCCTGCCTTTCCTCGTCAATGCTTGCCTGGTTCATCACACTATATTCGATCTGTCAACTAATACCCTCGTTGCTGTTTTGTCCTTGGCCAACCCTTGACAGTAGTCAACCGAACAAGCCCTCTTCCTATCTCTAGAAACCCATTCTTAGAGCCCCCTTCTCTTCAAGATGGATCATAGCAGCCACGGATCCATGGACTCCGACTCTGGGGATTCCATGATGGGCGCCAGCTGCGAAATCTCTGTACGTGTCTTTCTATAACCCAACATGTCGACGATACAATTCTCGCTACCCTCACAAACGTGGCCCGGTGGCCTCATCCCGCTCCAAGCAAGACCTGGGCTAACCGTGATACTTCTCTCTAATCTTTTCCCCCTGAATCTAGATGTTATGGAACTGGAACACAGTCAACTCTTGCTTCATCTCAAAGTCGTGGCATGTCACCTCCAAGGGCATGTTCGCCGGCTCCTGCATCGGCGTCGTCCTCCTCGGTATCTGCCTCGAGCTTCTGCGCCGCTCCGTCAAGGAGTACGACCGCTTCCTCCTCCGCCAGCATAAAGCCCAGTTCCTTGCGACCAGCGCCGGCTCAACTGCCGCCGACACCTCCAAGGCGACTGGTGAGGGCGCTTCCGACTCGGGCGCCGCCGCGTGTGTTGCCATCCCTGCCTTTAGGCCCAATGTGTTCCAGCAGGCTATTCGGGCTCTCTTGCACATGGTCCAATTTGCTGTTGCGTACTTTTTGATGCTGTGAGTTGCTTGTGCTTTTCTTCTCGATTGGCAAAGCCCTGCCTTTCTCAGTACCCACCGCTCTCTTCCCATGGCCCGAGAAGAGGCGGTGCTGCCATGACGATAGTGTTGAGCTAACCCTGCTTGTTTGTAGGCTCGCCATGTATTATAATGGGTACATCATCATTTGCATATTCATCGGCACCTATATTGGCTCCTTTATCTTTCAATGGGAGCACTTGAGCGAAAGGTAAGTCTTCCCACCCTGTCGGAGTGCCTTGTTCTGTTACGGGATTAACCATTCTTTGGTTTAGGGAAATACCAGTGCTGCTAATGAAGCTACTGTCTGCTGCGGATGAGGTAGCATCCTCTACCAAGGTATAGGCATACAAGCTTTTCAAGCCAGCGGATATGTAGTCGTTTGGAGGGGAGGTGAGGGAGCTCATGAGTGACGGAATGTTGTTTAGTCGAGTATGAGATTATCGAGACGCTGGAAGAGATACCCCGGCATAGAGGAGAGCGTGCCAAAAATACAGAAAAAACCAAAGCGTAATATGATCAATCTTAAGTTGAAGCCTTTTCCATGTCCCACCGTAGCTAGCTGTGATAGGACAATGGTCCGAAATGGCGGTAGCCCTGAACCCTGATGCAGAGAGGATTTCTTCGACCACCTCACGACAGGGGCTCATGAATGGATGTCGATACTATATCCGGAGCTGTCGACCTGGGCGGGAACCCAAACGCAATTGTACTTTAAGGAATTTCGAGAGAAAAAACTATACGTCAAGTCATAGTCGAATTTCCCTCCGTGCCTCACCCGTCGTTTACTAGCATAGCAGTCTTGTATGAAACAGAATGGATCCAAGTTCACCTCCCCGACGCCCCTCGCCACTGTGGCCCCCTACACAAGTGCGCTATTCGGAAGATTTGTGCAAAGAAATGTATATACTTTTGTATCTCATACAACAACACCCTTCATGTCTAGCGCACCAAAGACAAAAACTCCCACACACTATAAGAAGCAGACCGGGTTGTTTTTAACGGCAAGTGGCTTGAAGAAAGCGGGATAGAGGTATCCTGAAGAAATGCTCTTTCCAGCTCTGCTCCTGGCATATGACCACCCTTCTACAATGGCATTTTAGCTTTTCGCATTCATCGTAACGGTAGCTAAATTAACCGAGCAAGTCATTCAGATCATTGCTCGCGCTACCGCCAGCCTTGGGTTGGGACTGCGTAGTCGTAGTCGTGGTAGTTCCCCAGATGCCGGCGCTACTCTTCTCCTTCGCAAGCTGGCCCAAAGCTGGACCCGACGTTGGCACGTTGGTCTTCTTGATACCGACACTCGCCTGGGACCACAGAGACCCGAAGGCATCACCCCCGCCGCGGCCGGCTTAGCGGCAGCTCCACCGGATGGAGTTGCAGGCTTCAGGGAAGCCATACCTGTGCTGGCGGCAGGCGCCTGGGTGGCGGTGGGGACCGACTGGAAAGATCCAAAGTAGTTGGGGCCGCTGGGTTGGTAACCAGAGGGCTTGGCATTCTGCTGTGCGAAAGAGGCGGCTGGCGGGGCTGCAAAGGCGGAGTAGTTGGCTGAAGGAGTTGCCGTGGAGCTAGGAGCGGGTGAAATGGACGAAAGATTGACCATGTTGCTGAGATTGGCCTGTTGTGGCGCAGATACTGGCTTGGGAGCTGCAAAATGGGAGGTTGCGGTCGCGGTCGCGGTAATAGGCGGCGAGAGGGGAGCAATTGCCGCAGGCTGCGAAGTAGGCGCTGCCGATTGGAAGTCGTCGAATTCATCATCGTCGGCTATGTTTGAGGAACCGCCAAGTGCACCTGAACTTTGAGCGGCTGGGATGGCTGCGGGTATGTTGGACGTTGTCGAAGGCTCGTCGTCAAATGAAAACAAATCGACCTCTGGGGCCTTCTTCTTGACTGGTTCCACGGCCTTCTTGGGGCTGACTCGTTCGGGCTGTCGGGAGGATCGGGAGGCTGATGAAGAAGCCGCGGGTCTCTCGCCCTCATCAAACTCGTCGTATTCTTCGAATTGGTCGCCACCCCCAGATCCCCGCCCAGAGCCACCGCTATATGTATTGGACTGGGCGCCGAAGACACCGCCGTCGCCATACACTCCACCAGAAAAGCCGCCGTAGCCGCCGCTTCCGCCAGCAGAATCGCTGCCAAACCCGCCGTATCGGCTTCCGCCAGACATGCCACTGCCACCGAACCCGGATCCGGCACCGCCGCCCGCGCCTGTGTACTTATTCTTCGTGGCCCTAGCCTTCTTGCGCTCGGAACGAATTTTGTCGACGTCGCTTAGAAGTTCGGTAAGTTCTTTGGCCCGGTTCCTCACGTTGATTCCTTGGTCCTTTCCATTTTGGTCAATGTAGTGGAACTGTCGTAGCATCTTGAGAAGCGTCAGGTGGCTGCGAGCGTCGTCGATCACGCGCTCAGACCCGTGCTTGATAAGGAATTCGAGGAGCTGAAGAGCCTTGTAAATTTGGCGCCATTCCTCGGCCGTCTTTTCGGTAAAGCGGCGATAGATGATTGGCATAATCTCATTCAAAGTTTGGCTGTGAAACGAGTCAGAGAAAAGGGGTTCCTCGTGGTTCCCGCTACGAGGGGTATGATTCGTACTAGTTGAATGTCCCGTTGGCAATCTCTTGCATAATCGTTGAAGAGGCTCCCCAGGGCTCATTGTTCGTCGCCTCTCGAACCTGCACAAACACCGTTAGTTCAACTTCCATCCCCTTGAGCGCGAGACCTAAGCCTCAATGACCGAAGGGCGGACCGACCTTGGCCTCCATTTCTGTAAAGTTCATGACAGCTGCAAGATTACAATCAGCATGGGCTAGATAGAATCGATAAGCTCCTCTCCACCGTACCATTTTGAACCTTCCGTACGCCTGCCTTGAGATCGTATAAGGTGAGGTTGCTGACACTGTCTTTCAAGCTGTTGAAATCCATGACGACGAGGTCCACCGACTTTGCGCGGCGCCCAGGTATCGTTGTTGTAAGAAGTAGGATGCAACGGCAGACCTAATAAAATAGTCTCAAGGACTTGAGGGCGATACCCGAGTGCGTAGCGGTTGAAGATGGGACCTTGGGGTTATTGGGATGAGTGATGAAGTTGAATTTGGGGGTCGGGAGTCGGGATGGATGTGGCGATGGCTAATCTGTTCGGTTAGGCTATTTCTCCGAGCCACCGTGCGTGCTCAGCATCAGGGTGTCGAAGCGTTTTAGGCCATGCCCGGCCACTTCGCCAATAGAACCTCCAGTTCAATGGCACAAGAGGCCCCGGACCATTCTCCCACACGTCACTACTCTCCCAGAAGGGCAATATCAATTCTTAGGCCTAATTCTAGACGCCATTGACTCTTCGAGCGCAGCGGTCCACGGTCTCCCCGGCCACCGTGGACCGCTGTAATATCACGTGATCTTACCATGCCCCAGCCCATGTTGGGCTCGATTCTCTCTTCGTTTTCATGTGAGAAGCTCGGAATAAAATACTCGAAATATTGAGGGCTTTCTTATTGTTGATTTTACTCCTGCCGCTGCTACCTCGCCAGTTACAAAGGGCACCCCCGTAAATCCCCCATTCACACTCATTTATTATTGCTGTGATTGAAGCGGACCCAAAAGCCTGGCTTCAGCGTTCCTTTGAGAGGTGTAATCTTTAAGCTAATAAGAGAGAAGAACGATGATTGGAGGCCACGGTGCGTGTGCCAAAGTGGGTATCTGAACTTTGACTGCAGCTGCGCCTTGATTCAAGTTTTGAACCCCAAAGATCGATGTAGTTTCCTGAAGTAACACGTCGAAGATGATAATCAAGCGTAGAATTTCAAAGGACCCCTCCTTTCGGGCTTGTGGTGACTGGGATGACCTCGAAACACAGGATACCTCGGTGGCATCGAGGCTTTGGCTTCGTACAAGCATGGCTCTTGGGGTGGTACCTTGATGCTTGTCGATCCGGCGAGGTACTTTGTACTGACGTCTGAAGCTTGGGTGCTCATTGGTGAGCACGGATCTTGAACCTTGGCCTGGGGCAGCTGTTTTTAATGGTCCCTCAGCAACCAGCGAGCAAGTTCGAAAAAAATTGTTGTTCGTCCGCCTCCTGACCTTGAAATTTCCCATTTTCATCACCTTCGAAAGCCTCCGCTCTGTACTATACGCTAGCTTCCATTCTCTCCATCTGTATTTGTATTAAATCTTCAACCTTATTCGCACCTATAATCGAGAGATTAACCAGTCTCTCTTCATCTGTACTCTATTCCTCTGGACCAACCACTCCCTGTTCACTTCTGCACCTGTTTTGGTACGTATCAGTCTTTTCCTCCAACTGTCATGCAACCACCAGCTCGCCACGGCACAAACGGCGAGCCATGATGGACGCGTACCATACGAGTGTACAAGCAGCAATACTTTCGTTGAACCCCGCTCGAAAGGGTTGAGCTATTTGACCTGAAGAAAATAGTCTCACCCAGAACTCCCCTCTCCCTCTTTGTTCCCGAGCCGGGTCCATCTGGTTCAGGGAAACCGGCTTTGGGGCGAATGCTATAAGCTGCAGGGCAAGTGCCTGAGCCTCACGCCCCAATTGGTTCCCGCACAACCGCCGGACACTTGTATGCTTAGACAAGGTACATGGTCGGACCTGGGTGTGATTGTCGCATCGCCGATGTTCGAAGCAACTGAAGCAACTGAAGCAACTGAAGCAATTGAGCATCACATTCGCACACGTAACTCCATCGCTCCTGGGTTAGCATGGCACCTTCTCCTCTAGTGTGTCAGGCCCCAGGACATGTCCTCAGGGCAGGTCAAGGGAAGCCGGGAACACATTCTCGGTGGATTCACCTCATTCTTGGGAGCGATCTTCCTGAGCCTCTGGCAAAGTTGCCCGAGGTGGGCATCAAAGCTCGCCGGACTTGCCTTTTGGTTGCTTAGCCTTCCAAGTTGCAAATCGGCCTGGACTGTGCTGCTTCACGAGCCCGAAATGGTTCCAATCTTTCCCGTTTTCGTTGGCTACTTTAGTCTCTCAGGTTACATGCCTGTGGCGTGGCCAAGCTGAGGCCTATGGGTCTCTCGCATCTCTCCCTCTATCCGTCCTTTTCATGCTCGACTCTGAGAGTTCCCTGAGACCTCTCTCGTCCATCCTCCGCCTGCCCCGCTCGCTACAACACGTGATTTGCTGTGTACCTGCCTCGAAAAATCCGTGATCGCCCAGCGCCTCCCCCACACCATGGTTGCAATTCCCGGCTGCTATTCGCTGGATGATGCTTGCTAACAAATACAAACCCCTCCAGCTTCAAAATGAGGCCAACCCTCCAACTTCTTCGACCCCTCCTACCCCGCCAATCCTCCTGTTTACCAGTTTCACCTCTTCCTCGATCTCTTCTCAACACTCAATCTCGAGTTCAACTTGCTTATCCATCAATCACTCTTCGTCCCCGTTACTTCTCAGCTTCTACCATCACCATGTCTGGACAGGTGTAAGTGTTAAACCCTCTTGTACATCTCAACCTAGCTCTCTGCTGACAGCTTCGTGAAGCTTCTTCGATTTGGAGTGGGAGGGTCCCGTTATGCAGGGCAACAAGCCCACTGGCCAGACTGCTGGTATGTGATTAAACCTCGCTTTCTTTCATCACTGAAAACATTTCCTCGATCATTTATTATCTAGTATCTGGTGTCTGGGTCCTAGAGCATCCATTTTTCCCCTCCTCTTTCATCATGCCTCAGAAAAATTTCTTCCCCCTGTCCGTTCGTTCCGAGGCGAGAAGTTTCTAACCAGCTTGACCATAGTCCAAAACGGTCGCATCACCTTCAACCTCTACGATGATGTTGTCCCCAAGACCACCGCGAACTTCCGTGCTCTCTGCACCGGCGAGAAGGGCTTCGGCTACAAGGGCTCTGCTTTCCACCGTATCATCCCTGACTTCATGCTTCAGGGTGGTGACTTCACCCGCGGCAACGTATGTGTCTCCTATCAACATTCTGACCTGCCCATCCTCGCAATGTAAGCATGCTAACTCGTATTGTAGGGCACCGGTGGCAAGTCCATCTATGGCGAGAAGTTCGCCGATGAGAACTTCTCCAGGAAGCACGTTAGGCCCGGTCTCCTCTCCATGGCCAACGCTGGCCCCAACACGTATGTCCTCTGCATTTCATACTTTGCAACCTTGCTTTCCCCAGAGACTTGCTTACTAACTACCCTATAGCAACGGCTCCCAATTCTTCATCACCACCGTCGTCACCAGCTGGCTCGACGGCCGCCACGTCGTCTTCGGCGAGGTTGCTGACGACCAGAGCATGCAGGTCGTCAGGGCCCTCGAGGCCACTGGCTCCGGCAGCGGTACTGTGAAGTACTCGAAGAAGCCTACCATCGTCAACTCCGGCGCTCTATAAATGCTGTCTTAGACGTGTAATTTTTGTTGGGGAAGATAAGGGCTACAGTTGTGGCTTGTTATTAAAAGTTTTTAGCTTGACAACAATGTAGTGCTGAGAAAAAGAAGGCCAGCTTGTCATAGTGAACCAGGAGGTCAATCATAACATCTGCCTTTGCACGATAAGAAGAGCAGATCCTAGCATTTTTGTTCTCCACAACGCCAAATCTGGTGTCATTGCTCTTGTGTTTGATGTATTATGCCATTCGGAGCTCTTCCTCCACTAGTTGAAGTTGTAGTAGTATATGATGCCATTTGAAGGGCTGGAGGGAGCAAGCAGCCTCAGCTCAATCCTCAATACCGCCCCATTCTTCTTCGTCTATCGCCTTCCGACCTTTGCCATTCTTTTTTCGTCGCCTCGATAGCCCCTAGTTTATTGCTCTCTTTTCTCCTCTCGTAGCCACTCTTCGATGTGATTTTCGCCTTGGCTCCGCTCCTTCTACTTTCCACACCCCTTTCCTTGAGCTTCTTTCGGTCCGCTTTGGATACGGTGGGTAGCGCGTCTAGAAGCCATTTTTGTACGCCCGCCTCGTCTCCAGTCTTGCCTGCCTGCTTATCACTGGCGGCAATCACGTTTGCAACCGTCTTCACAAAGGGGATGTCATCCTTAGTGTAGAGAGTAACGGCGACACCCCTTCACGGCCAGCGCGGCCGGTCCGACCAGCACGGTGGACGTAGGCTGCAGCTGAGGTAGGGACGTCATAATTGACGATGCCATTGACGCCAGCAAAATCGACGCCGCGAGCGAGGACATCGGTGGTGATGAGGACCCAGATCTCGCCGGCACGAAAGCGGCGCATGATTGAGGCGCGGGCGCCATCCGAGAGACCGCTATGGAGACTGGCGATGCGCGAGCCGCCGCCAGCTTCGAGGGGATGTCATACTTGAGCTCGGTGTCGAGAGCGGTGGCGCGTTCGATAGTTTGGGCGAATACTAGGAATGGCGGGCGGAGGGGGTAGCGGAGGGGTCAGCGAGGGAGCGGGGCCGCAGGAGTTGGCGCATGGCGAGGAGCTTTCCGTTCTCGGAGGCGGTGTACATGAGCTTGTGGGTAATGTTGGGGACGGCGGTGTCCTTGAGGCCGACGACGAGGCGGACAGCAGCACGCGGGGCCAGGGCGCCAGACTCGAGGCGGTCTTGGACGAGAGACTCAATATTGGAGCCCATGGTGGCGGACCAAAAGGTGAGATGGAGGCTCGGGTTCGTGCAGGCGGACCAGACACCCGCAGTCTGCTCGATGAAGATGGGGTCGAGGAGGACGTCGGCCTCGTCGAGGACGAGGGTGCGGACGGAAGGAAGGACCTTGGGCGACTTTGAATGCTTTGTAAGGAAATTGAGTAGGGGCGCTGGGGTCGTAATGAGAATGTCTGGCTTAGCAACGGCGCTCTTTGAAGACTTGACATCATTTTCGGATTCAGAGGGATCCCCGTCCTCCATCTCGTTGTCTTCGCCGCCTGACCCTTCGTCTTCAGAGAGAGAGACAGCCTTGCTTCGCTCGGCGTTCACCTCCATGCCCTTCTTCATGAGAACCACCCTTAGACCGGTACCCATAACGAGCTTTCGCCCCTCGTTCATTATTTGAAAGGCGAGCTCTCTTGTCGGCGCGATGACAACCGCTTCGAGCTCGTGGATGTGGCCGAGTCCCTCCTTTTGCCTCCTTTTTAGAATATTCGTGACGGCGGGAATCAGGAAGCTCATCGTCTTGCCGCTTCCGGTAGGCGCGACGGCCATGAAGTTGGGAGCGAGCCTGGTTTGGTCGAGATCGCCGCCGTTCTCCTCCTCTCGTAGGGCAACTCCAGGTCTCAGGAGGAGGGGTAGGCTTGCCATCTGCACCTCGGTAGGAATCTTGTACCCCTCCGAGGCGAGGTTGCTGCACAACTGCGGAGGCACGCCGTAGAGGGAGCGCAATTCGTGGAAGGAGATGAGTGGCCTGGGGTAAATCGGTTCTTTATCGTCCTTTTTGGGCGGCGGCGGCGGTTGCTGGACCTTGGCCTTTTCCTAGGCTTCTTCTCGACTCGCGAAGGCCGAGTCGGGTCGGCGATCAGGTAGCTGAACTTGAGCCTGTGGGATCGTAGGATTTGGCGGCACTCGTCCTCGCTTATTGGGGGCACCGATTGCGGTCCGGTGCTTTCATCTTCGGGCTCCGACTCGACCTCATCCTCTTGCTCTTCGTGGGCGGCGGTAGCGACAGCGGGCTTCGGGGGCTCACTTCTGGCGGAAAAGAAGTCCACAGTAGGTAGAGCTACCACGGGAGTGTCATCGTCGTCTTCGTCAGCGCTGTCGTTCCTAGGAGATGTGCGCTTCCTCTTGGCGGACCTGGAGGAGGGGCCGACATCGTCATGATAGAGCTGGGGATGTGGCTTGGTCCCGGCTGAGGGGAGTTTAGCGGGCAGCCCGCTTGATGACTGGTTTTGGGCCCCTCGAGAGGGCTTATTTATGCCTCTTGACAGAACTTTGAGAATATCCATGGCGAAAATCTATATTTTTGTTCCCAATTCTCCGTTGCCCACCAAGCTACGAAGCCTGCGTTAGTGGTCTAAGATATCCTAGCCTGAGCTGGTTTTTTATTTTTTAATTTTTTATGAAGAGTGGTTGCGGCTAAGCAACTGACGGCAGCTGCAAGGCGTATAGAACGGGCGGCACAGAACGTCACCAAGAAGATGCACAATCGACGAAATCCAATCAATCTTTCTGCTGTCCGCTCACGACATAGTGATGCGGTCTCGATGAACACATTTCAGGAAGAGGAAATATCAATTGAATGAAACGGGCCTCCTGGTCCAAGGTTGGCAGGAATATATATCAGAGTTAGAGGTGAACGCACGGCGGGCGGGAACCGCAATGGATGGGCCCTTATTATTGGCCAGACCAGCGACTCGCTCCGCAGAACCTCTATTGAAGCGTAGACTCCAAGGGCTGGCCTCGACAGGGCGCCCCTGGCAGCTAAACGCCACTTCAACATCAGGGCGTTTGCCTTGCCCTTTATCTTTCAGTTTAAAGGATTATCTCCCAGCGAAGTAGCTGTACAAACATTCTATCGGCTGAAATGGGTCGCCCTTCGGGGATGTGCCCCTTCGCTTTTTGCTGCTGGCCTCAAGATCAGTGACATCTCATAAAGAGGAATCGGTTCCATCGTAAACTTCGAAGTTCGGATTCGAACCTTCTCTTGGGGTGTTGTGAAATCCTGCTTTTTGCTTCTCCTTTTGCTCCCTACTCTTCTCGTGCTTCCCTTTCATATCCTCCCACCCGGCACCCGGATCCTCTCCTTTCCCATCGCTCAGGCGACTGAACTATGCATGGATGTGAGCAAGGTATGTTAGGTATACCGCCAGGCCTGGGCTAAACCGGTTGCTGCTGCTGCCTAATGAACGAGAAGAGCTTATAAGTGAAATTAAATCCAGAGTCAAGCAGCGAAGTAGCTAAACAAATTTAATACTTCGGTATATCTCTTATAGGGTCATCTGGGCTCTTAAAGACGGTTTTTCGGGTCAAAGGGCAACCTTCGATCCACCCCAAACTTCGCTTTTTGCTTCCAGCACTTGTTTGCTAGATGGATCTTTTTGCGGTTGAGGGGCATCGATATATTGAGATTTTATTTCATCCGTTTTCCCTCTTTCCAGCAGAAAAAGGCGAGATAGAATAGAGATGAATGTCCAGGAGAAGACCGTTGCAAACCCGTTCCTCATATAGAGGTTTCCGTTTCCTCTCACCTGGCTGTGAGTCGCGGGGGACAAAGCGACTCTCTAGAGCATCCCCATAAGTTAGATTCGCCCTGGGCCGTCATCATTCCTCAATGTATCACCGAGTTGCAAGACGTCCATGATTTATAGGCCTATAGTCCGTTTATCCTCGCAGAATCTAAAATGACTATCGCCATTCTTTCACTAATAGGCCCCTCTGGCTTGGAAGGTGACCCTCAAGTGGGGAGATGGGTCTTCTAGCGCTAAGTCTATCGTCACACGCACATGGCGGTTTTACATGCTAGACGCGTGCATTTTATTCAATTGGATCCATCCATGGATGGTTTGATCCGCCATTCCTTAATGCTATTCGATCGGGAATTCTTATTGAGCTTCTTGCGCCAAACTTCTTCCCCAACTCCCTAACAAAAGCAGCTGGTGTTCGGGCGTCCGAACGCAAGCGGAAGGAGGTACCAGTACAACGGACAACCCAAGGATGACACAATTGACGGAGTGGTTGAACAGTCGTTCTTTTATACCCCCTTTTAGAATATCTCTTTTACATAAATGAGCTTGATTGCCTCTGCAACACGTCGCAACTTTTTTTTGCCAGGCGCAACTTTTCGAACAGTCCGACGCGACCAGAAGCAGAGGCGGAAGCTTGATCGCACGGATCATCCCACCTGCTCCGACGAAAGCTCCACGCAAGACCACTACCCACCTGCTTGAGCAAACAAAACTCAAAGAGAGAGAAACAAACCATCGCCCATTACAGAGCATCTTGCATCCCCACATCGCAATGGAGAAAGAGCTTGAGGAAGAATTTTTGAAGAAGCTTGCCGATGGCAGCATTCCCCATTCGTACGTACTCCGCACGCGACGCCGACGATTATCGATATTATCGAGAAAGTCTACTGACTCTTGCCTCTAGCGAGATATTTCCCACCCCCGATTTGTGGCCGACACTGCTCGATTCCATGATAGAACGGATAAACGAGGTTAGCACGCGCTTCCTTGCACTCCTGCGAGAGGTCACGCCTCAATCGGGAAGCTGGCTAACGGATTCGCTAGATCTCACTCAACACCTTCCCCATCCCTAAACTACCCCCACCGGCCCCGAAATGGAACCAACGGCCCGACCAAGCACTCCAGACCACCCTTCCCTCTTCCCCGCTTGAACCTCCAAGCTCATCCGCCGACGCCAACAAGGAGAATGCCGACCCCCTCGTCGAAGCCCCTTCTCAGGAGCCTCCTACCAGCGCGCCGCCCGCTACCCCGCTCTCCGACGCTGACCCTCGACTGCGCCGGACGTGTCCGGTTCCCCAAAGCCTACAACCCTTCCACCGCAAATCCGCGAAATGGTGGACGAGATCATTGCGTCGCTCAGGACGTTTCCCACTCACCCGCCGCACACCATCCAACGGATAGCCGAGCTCGTCCTCGAGCCCGACCGCCACTACCGCGCCGTTGCATCCTACCTCCACGCCCTCGATCGCGTCGTCCGCGTCACATCACCCTCCAACAGATACCCTCTACCCCTACCGATTGTGTCCTTTGCCAACGGCGCTGCGGACCAGGTCTCGTGGGCCAACACCACCCAGGCCAACCTCGGCACCGACGAGGCCCTCGGTGGCGCTCTTCTAACCCCCATCCCGTGGCTCTCGCGACAGTCGGAGGATAGCCCTAGCGACCAGAGCAGCCAGTCCCGCGCCGAGCTCCGGACAGAGAGTACCGAGACCATTGATGGGCCGAACGGCATGGGAAGCATAGAGACCGTCAGCATCAGCGTCAATGGCATCCCCTCCGCCGGCGCGGGCGGCACTCTCCGCGGCATCACGCAGGGCGAGTTGCTCCGGCAGGAGCAGCGTGCGGGTGTCATCCCCACAAACCAGCTCCTCGCCGACCGCGAGTCTACCGGCGCCGAGGATGAGACAATCAACGACGCCCCCGATGACGATGACGACGACGAGACCCCCACGTTCGCGGGCCAGACGAGATTGGCGCCAGCGACCTAGGGCCCACTATTCTCACCATCAACCGCATCGACGAGGCGTCCCTTCACCCTCAGGAGATTGACGTCGAGGCCGCCGTCGGCAGAAAAATGATGCCCGAACCCCGTGATAACTCTCCAGATTCCGATGACGATGTGTCCGACTCGGGCTCCAAGCGAGGGGCTGAAGAGGACCCTGAGGGCGCTTTGATCGCTAAGAAGCCTAGAAGCGATAGCGGCGATCCCGGCGAAGCCATGGAGGGCGTCGAAGAGACCTCGGAGCCCGAAAAGCCGTAGAGCGGTTTCTTCCAATTCTGGTCTGACCCATAACTCTGGCATGGAGGGGTTTTCGATCAAATCCTTACTCAAAGTAGTAGGCTCTATTCATACTCATTTCTTCACTTGTTGTTCTATCGGAAATGGGGAACCTGGGGTATTCCATCTACTTGTTTCATTGGCAATGGCGCGTGCGAATCTGGGTTTACGCAAACGTTTGTGTTTCGTCTTGTTCTTTTCCTTTTTTTTTTTAGCAGGGCTTTCGAGGTGGGATTGAGGGCTATGATGCCAGATATCAAATGAAACAATACATCTCGCTGCGTTCGACATGATACAGGTTGTGTTATTATTACATATCAACTAAGAAGCAAGTTCGGACTCGCTACCCTCAGTCTTGATCTCCGGGCCCTTTTCCATTACTGATACAAAGTCGATAACACGAGCCCTTGTTATGACAAACACAACGACCAACAGGACTGGTTTGGCGAGCAAGGAGGGCGGGACTAACCAACCAGACAGCCACTTGGTGGCCCAAAACTGAGTTACAGCACCTTGGTGATGCTCTCCCTCGAGATGACGCTGTTCTGCCTATCGTCTCTTCGTACCCTGTAAAACGTGTCGCAGAAGTCACTGCACCGCATGTGTCTAAGGAAGTCCTCGTCGTGCGTGATGACGATGAGTTGGAAATTGCTCTGTGCTTGACGCGCCTTGATGATGGCGTGGAGGCTCTCAGCCAAGGATTTGATGTTGTCGCGGTCGAGGTTAGTCGTTGGCTCGTCAAGGGCGATGAGGCCGCAGTTAACGCCGAAGCTCTCAGCTAGGGCAAGCCGGATGATGATTGAAGCTAGAACTTTCTGGCCCGCACTGCACCGCCCCCTCATGTCCATCTCCGCATCTTGCTTGACCATGCATAGGCGGTAGTTGTAGTTGCGCTTGCCGGTCGACGTCTCCGCATCAGAGCGGATAAGGATCGTGTCAATATCTGTGCCCTGGTAGGTGCTCTGCCAAAGCTCGCCTGCAATACGGTTCACCTCCTCCATCTTCAGGCTGTGGTACTGCATGATGGCCTTGTCGAGCGCCGCACTATAGCGCCCGAGATCCTCGATGGCCGCCTTGGTGGTCTCGACTTTGATGTGGGACTCGCGGTATTTGCGTGCCGCATCCTTATAGTCCATCTCCCACTCCTGAAGAAGCCTCCCAAGCTCCTCATCTTTCGTCTTCATGCTGCCCATGATGGAACCGCGCTCGGCTAAAAGCTTGTTGTAGTGGCTCTCATACGACCTCGCCTCTGCTACTAGGCGTTCATAATCCTCATCCGCGTTCCGCGACTCCAGCTCCACAATGTCTTTGCGGAGACTATCCAGAACCCGGAGATTCTTTCGATAATTGATATTATCCCCAATATTCTTCTTTTTCGGTCTCCGTTATCGATATCCTGCTTGAGTTTATTCGCCCTCGTGGTTACATCGGCGATGTCCTTCTCTACGTCTGCAATCGCCTTCTCCAAGGCAGCGATGGCGCGCTGGTTGGAGGTGAGGTTTGAGTCTCCACCACGCTCGGCATAATCCTGAATATCAGATTCTACCAGCCGAAGCTCGCTGATGGTGCTAGCAACCGCGTCACGCTCTTCGGCAACGGCTTGTTCTCGGACTCGCCCTTGCTGAATAGTATCATCCCGCAGGGTTCGGGCTTCGATCATCTCGGGCTCCAGGGCCTCTAGATCCTCGTTGGCTCGTTGAATCGACTCCCGTTGTTGGGCGTGTTCTTCTTTCAGCGTTTGGATCTGATTGAGGAAGTCCGATTTGCGTTCGAGTTGACGCGCGGCATTGTTCGTCTTGTTTCGCAGCTCGCTCTTCTCGAGCTCGAGGGCATTGAGCTGGTCCCGCGCTCTCTGCTTGTCTGCCGTAATCTTGGCCAGTTTGTTCTTGATCACGCGCATTTTCTCGCTACAGCCAGATTGTAGCTCGTGGATCTCGTCGGCACTCCTCGTAGCCATTCCAGAGGACTGCTGAGATGTGATCCTCTCGATTTGATTTTCGGAATCCCTGATATCGCGCAGGATCTGGCTAATAGTGAGGACAGTTTCATTCAGGTTCTCCACCTCGCGGAGCTTCTCTTCCTCGAGAGCAGCAGCTTCGGACAGGGCCTCAAACTGCCTTTCGTGACCTTCGCATTCTGACTCGATCTCTTGGCGCTCTTTCTTCGCGGCTGGCAGCTCCTCAGTCAAGCGCTTATAGGTGTCATACTGCGATCTCAAACCCCGGAGGGCATCGAGAATCGCGCTTGACTCTTCAAGTTCCTTTTCCGATTCCTCCTTCTCCTTGGGGTTAAGCTTCTCCTTGATCTTCTTCTCCATGCGCGACTTGAATGCAGCTTGGCCCGCGTCGAAGGGCCGCTCGCAAAGTCGACACGCACCCTTCTTGTTTAAAGTGTTCTGGCACTGACCATAGTACTGCGCTAAAGCGTCCCACAGGCTAATCTCCGTACGGCTCTCTTCAACCTTCTCCTCATAATGAGACACCTCACCAGGATAATCTTCTGCAGTCCCGGCATCCTCATTGACGGTAAGGAGATAATCGTACACGGCTTTCTCGCATCTTTCTGCCTCTTGCTTCTTGCTTTGCTCGTTAGCTGTAGCCGTCTTGAATTTGTACGTCAAACTTTGTAGTTTGTCTCGAACGTGATCCCTTTGTTGACGAGCCTGCGAAGTGACCTTTGTCTGGCACCTAACTGCTTCTTGAAATTTACCCTCGAGGGTAGCAGAAGACCAATCTGTGCCGATCGCAGCGTCGAGTTTGCCCTTCGCGGTATCCACTCGGATGTCGAGCTTCCGCTTCCGGTCAGCAAGCTCCCCTTTACGCAAGTCCAGTTGCGCGCGCTCGGATGCAAGCCGTGTGCACTCTACCAGCTCCCTACCCAGCCGCTCGCTCTCGGCCTCTAAACTCCAAAGCACTTCGTTCTCCTGCTGGATCTGGGAATCGAATCCAGACCTCTCAAAATCAGCCTGAACTTTTGGAGCCTTTCCCCACATCCTTAAGTTGTCCATCAAGCAGAGCTTTCGAGCCTTCGTCAACATCAAGAAGCCTCACGTCGTTTTTTAGGACATCTGTGCGCTTTTCAATAGCACCTATGCGTTGTTTTGCGGAGACGCGGTCTTGAGTCCGAGCGGACTTGCGACTTTCTAGGGACGATATAGTCGAGTTCAGCTTGTTGACGTCCTTCGAGTTTTGCTTCTGGACACGATCAAGGTCACGCCTCTTGTCAGCGAGGAGTTTCTGCAGCCTCTCATGGAAAGATTTCACTTGGACATCGCTCAATTCCCCGTCAAACCCGCGGAAGTCATACTGATCCGCCGCCGTGTGAATCATGTCCAAGCGGGTGACGAGCTGACGCTCGTGCTTTTCCTTGTCCGATTGCAACTTTCCCTGTTCCGCAAGTTGCCTAGAGAGTTCCCTCCTAGACTTCGTGAGATCTTGCTGATAAGTGGAGTATTGAGCACGACTTTCGTCAGCCTCTGCCTGATAGCGAGCCATCCGCTCCTCGTACTGCGAGAGGGCTGTCTCCAACCACTCGTCGTTTTCGGTGAGCTCCTCAATGGTAGACTTGAGCTCGGAAACAGCATCCTGTCGGTACTCCAGTTGGTCACGTTTGTTCTTGAGGTCCTGAACAATACTCAGATAACTGTTCGCCTGTTGGTGTTTTTGGCGAATCATATCCTGTATCTCAGCCATCTCTTCCGAGATGGTCCTACATTGTTCCCTAGCTTCCTCTATCTCGGCTTGGAGGGCCCGAGATCGCCTCTCAGCTCGATCTCCCTTTTCTTTGTTCGTTTTATCTTGGTCCTCAAAGATCTTGAGCTTCGCCAACTCTTCTCCTTGTTTCTTCCGGAGAACCTTTAAGTTATCAATGGCCTTTGTATACTTGAGGGCTTCAAAATCTCGTCGAATCGTTTCTTCAACACTGAAGGCTCGCTCATGGGCCATAGTGACTCGTCTTGATGACAAAATATGACAGCATCCAGGATTGCTGGTGAAACCCCAAGATATTTGGGTACGTCCTCGTCCAGAGCAGCAACACGAGTAGATATGACGGTTTTCTCCCCATTGTTCATAATATTAAGCGAGCCCTCGAGGGTTTTCATCGACCGTGCGGTTTTTTTCACGGTGAGTTGTAGATTTCTTGTGACAACATATTTTGAGCCGACTGCTGATTTGAAGGACAGTTTTACTTGTGCTAAAACCTCCTTCTCGCCACAAATCTAATAGTGATCAAGCCCGTTAGCCTCGGGGTGGGGCAGATTGGAAGGTGTATAAGAGCTTTGGGATGGTTCAACAGCCATACCTTGGGATCATGGATGAAAGCGCCCCCTTTCGAGTTTGGGGGTTGCTCGCCTGTCGTAGCATACTTAAGACATTCAATCACGGTGGTCTTTCCTGAGCCGTTATAACCAACGATAAGAGTTAGAGGGCTATTAAATTGTATTGTCTCTCGCGTGTTAGGGGCGAAAGAGCGAATGCCCTGGATTGAAAGCTTGTCGATCTTGGACATGTCGGAGGGGACGGGATTGCCCTTCCGTAATATTACCCCAAAATGAGCTTCTCTAAACCGAGGACTGTTGGGTCGGAGGAATGCAAGGCAGCATCTACTTGAAAGTTTACTCCCAATGGAATTCCTAGACAAAAGGAAGATGTGGGCGACGTGGGATGTGAAGATGTGTGAAGACGGCTCACATTCGTGAAGAGCTGAACGGGAACTTCCGTCAACGCGGTAAAAGGCTAGTCAGACGCGTCGTTCCAGGCAGCAGGTCGTCTCTTCTTCCAAACCCCACCACTCCATTGTTAGAGCTCGCACGTTACAGAAGCCCAGGCCCTGGCGGTGTGGTTGATTAGTCATCTACCCGGGCTGTGGAAGCTTAGGGCCACAGGCTGGCACTCCTCACGCCCCGCCACCACCTCATCATCCCTTCTTTCACCACCCAACGCCATAAAGCTAAAAGCTGCGCTAGACAGTGCATTCCGTCATGAAGGGTGGATCAGTTTTGGATGGAGAATGGAGCTTCCCTTTCCCCTGGTGTCAGCTTCGTCAGAAACTGGTAAGCTAGGATTGCATGCTTAGCATGCAGTATGCAGAAAAGAGCAGAGAACAACGATGGCGTTGAGGGCGACCCGGAAGCTGGGCCAATTCAGCCTTGACCGGGTAAGGCTTAACGCTGACCCTCCGAAGGCTAACGCTCCTGGAATGCCAGATGGGTTTGTCAATTCGAATCCATTCCCTCATTGATATCATCTCTGTGGGAACAGGGACTGTGCACGATAGGCTTGCCTCTAGCTATTGGGGGCCAATGTTAATAATATCTTACATCTCACAGGGGCAAGCTAGTTTTGTGGCGGTGTATCGGCCTTCCTTTCACTCGACCTCTTCAAACCTTGCCCATGGTCAACCGAAAAAGGGAAAAGGAGAAAAAGGAATAAAACAAATATTATCTGGCAGGGGAGGGCTTCAAGAAAAGCAAGAGCTCGGCGTTAAGATGCACATGTACAGGTAGGTTCTCTCGCATTTTGGTCACGCTGTGTCCAGGGTGCATCCTGAACGGACCCGTGTACCTGGCATTGTTGAGGGCCAGAAAAGAAAGCGTTGTAGCCAGCGGTCTTCAGGCATCCGAGAAAAAAAGAAAGAAAAAAGCTTGAGGGGGAAAACGAGGGGGGAAACAAAGGAGCCACTCTGTGTGTGCAGATATGCACGACGAGAGTGCTAACGATCGGCGAATGGAAGAGGCACCTTTTCGTATTGGCGTTGACCCTGAGAGCCCGTTTCGTACCTAACTCGCACACCGGTTTGGTGAAGAGAACCCAAGCGGGTCGGGGCCGTCATATCAATCCATTGTCGATCAATTCCTTGGTTCTTAAAAACAGTGGCACCTGCAACCTGCATCGATACCCACTCCTGCGCTCTTTGAGGAGGAGGGTACACTACAGACTTCAAATATGTTTCCGAGGGCCTTCTCCGAGTAACGTTGGCAGACACACTAAGCCCGTATACCCAAAGAATTGATGAATTGGATGGGACGGTTTGGCCGTTGCGGTCAACGTACTCCATATTACCTGTGATGCGTGTTCTATGCTGTAAGTGGTGAGCTGAAGACAGTCGTTGATCCCATTGTAGCAGGACACCCTACCAGGGACAGACCGCCTAGGATGACTGCACCCAATTGCAAAATATTAATGAATGCTGGTCCTGGGGTTTTGGGCTCACTAACGCCCAGCACGGCTAGCCCAGACAATGATCAATATGTGGAGTTCGCACTGGCAGCTGTTTTCTTTCGTTTTCTTTTTCTTTTCTTTTCTTTTTTTTTTTTGAAGAAAAGGGGGGCTATGACGTCGTCGTACATCGTCATCAGTCCACGCCACAGACTCTGGGTACCTGTCGTGCAGCGTTGAGAACTTCTAGATAGATCCATGTCAAGCTTCAGAATAGCGAAATTTGTTTAAATGCCAGCCTCCAGTCCGCAATTGCCCATCTCCAAAATATCGTTATTTCCCCCAGTCCTGACTCTCACTTCCTAAATCTCACGACGCGCAGCGGAGCCACCGCCGCCAACACATAAACCACCCCCAACCGAGCTCTGCATTGGGGCATCGCACCCCCTCGTCTTGCACTTGCCATCTTCGTAAAGTTAGAATTAGCCGTCACACTGATTATACGTTGATTTTCTCATTTCTCAAGTGCGAGCTCCTTCACGTCAACCCATTTGATCTTATCGACCTTCTAATAACCCCTCCGCCCCACCTGCCCTTGACCCTTTCGAGAGTCCCTTCCTTCCCCCACCCGCCCACCCACACACACCCTCTTCCCCAAGCTTAATTCGAGGGTTGCCAACCGCCAGCTGAAGGGCTCAACTATCCCCGCACCCCATCATTAAAAGTCGCCAGCACCCCTCGCCTAGCCTAGGGTTCAACATCGCATCGTCGAAGCCAAACCAAAAAAATCCTACTCTTCCTCCGCTCTATCGACATTGCGCCGTAATTGTCCGGTTTACTATCTCACTTCAGCTTTCCTTTGTTCTCTTACACTTTTTTTTGTTCTTGCTGCTTTCTTCCTCTTTTCCTTCATCGCTCCAGCGGCCTTTCGTACTCTCTTCAATTCAGCTGTTCGACTTTGCGTCCCCATCACCGCTCACCTCGCCTATTTTTGCTCACTCAAGAACCCCGGGCCCTTCCTTTGATTGGCAATGTTGCCCGAGTATATAACTTGCCCCCTTTTCAAACAACCCCACGTCTTGTTTTCAATTTTCCCTTGCAAAGGAGCGTATAAAAGGCGGCGGCCTCCAGCTCGCTCCTTGGCTCCTCATCCCTGGCCAGAGGTCAGGACGCTAGTGTGTGTCAACGATGTCTCAAGGCGAGCCTCCTCCGCAGAACAACTTTCATTATGGCTACCAAGGCTTGGATTTTAATTCCTTCCATAATATGGGAGTCAATCCAGTACGTTATCTTCCTCGAAGTTCCATCCTTAACCAGGTTCGCTGGCCATCTTGTACCAACTTGAAGCCTACACCATGTGAGACGCTAACATACCGCCAAAGCTCCCACCAACGGCAGATGGAAGTGACAACATGGACATGATGGCATTTTTAACAATCCCTTCCTTAGCGCACCACTTGAAGCCATGCCCATGCCAATGGACTACTTAGATACCCCTGATCCCAATGCTCTTCTTCATCACTTCCCGGTCATGGGGGCGCCATTAATGTCGCAAAGCAACCACATGCACATGGATCATGGACATGGACAAGCACCCATGGCTCAGCATGACGCCCACAATCCGCTCACTACCGCCCCGATGGGTTCATTTCTCCCGAACTCTCTATCTACAGCCCCCGCTTCCGTTCCCGCTACCGCGTCCGCCTCTCAAGTTCCCCCTCGACCCTCCCATACGGCGGCGGCGGCGGCAGTAGCAGTGGCGCTACAACAGATTTTACGAAGAGACGGAATTGGCCAGCCAAACTCGTGGATGAGATGAAGGATTTGCTTCAAATTCTAAACGGGGATGGTCGAATCAAGTACGTTTCGGCCAGCGTCACCCCCTCCTGGGGTACCAGCCTAAGGAGCTGGTGGATCATTTCATCAAAGATTTTGTACACCCGGACGACGTGGGACTTGTATTGGCGGAGATGAATGAATCCATCGCCACTGGCGAGTCTATGCGCATCTTTTACCGGTTCAAGCGGAAAGATGGCACCTATGTCATCTTCGAAGCCGTGGGCCACGCCCATATCGCTGCCCCAAGATTCGCCCCGAATCCCCTCAACAGGTCACCGTTCTGTCAGGCCGTCTTTGTTATGTCTCGTCCGTACCCAACAAAAAGTTCCGGCTTACTCGATAGCTTCCTTGAACACAAGATGGAGAATGACCGGCTCAGAAGGAGGATAGCAGAACTACGCGCCGAAGAAGATGCTGAGGAGGCTGAATCGCAGCGGCAGTGGAAGCAACGACGCAATAGTAGCAGGTCGGAGCTCTCCCACTCAGAAGATTCGAGGACAATGGCATCATCTTCCGTCAGCGGAACGCCGTACGCCCAAGGTGGCATTCACCATGGGCTGATGGCCCCGCCGGATAAACCCCAGAGCGGAGCTCTTACAAGAGAAAATCTTGAGGGCGCCGCAGGCAGCCATTCTGATTCCTTGAGAGATAAAATGGCTAGATACGAGAGCGGTTCCCGTGGGAAGGCGGTCGAGATGCTCACTGGACTGAAATACGTCGATGGTGAGCGGAGGGCTGGTCCGGCAAACAGTCGGGCGAGCCCACAGCTAATCACGGGAGATGCTGGGATTGCCATTCCCATCGGCCGTGAATCCCGTTCGGGTGACAAAAAAGAAGCAAAAGTTGGTCGAAGAATATGTCTGCACAGACTGTGGTTAGTACACCCTTCCCTCAGATATACAAAACAGTATACTCTAACAATTAAAACTTAGGGACACTCGAATCGCCCGAGTGGCGGAAAGGGCCCAACGGGCCGAAGACGCTTTGCAATGCCTGCGGGCTTCGCTGGGCAAAAAAGAGAAGAAGAAGCAACTATCCAACTCAACAAACGCGACTATCACAGGTTAGCGGAAGATGGCCACACCACATTCAGAAATGCGACAGAGCATAACGCCGAGCCACTACCTACCTTTTTCTTCTGCTTCCTCTAGCAGGCTCCTTCAGGCGTAATTATTTCGGGGTCCCCTTATCCTCCTTTTTTTCACCCCAGAAAATCATTGCAGGGGTTTTTTCTTCTTTTTAGGGCGTCGGGGGCATAGGGTAACGTAACGACCAATGGTTTCAGCAACTCTTTCATCAATATGCGCATTTAGAAACGGCAGCAGAGACCACGATGGCTACGACTTCATTTCACTGTACAATGCAACAATTATACATTTCATCTCATTCCCTCCAACTATTGCCTTTACTCATTCCCTTTCTCACCAACCCGTTCTTGTCACGGCTAATACTGAAGAAACGGCGGTGCCGTTCTTTGACTTAGAATGTCCTTGACCATACTTCAGTTTCAATGGCCCTCTTTCTTTGAATATCTCTAGATATATATATACATATATATCTAGATATCCTGCCGGCCAAGGACTTCTCGCATCTCGAGTTCTCTTTTCCTCCATTCATCATTTTTTGATCTGTTGACACCTTTGTCGGTTTCAATTAGAAGCGAGCAACAATTACGGGAAACAAAGGGCTTATGATAATGGCGGCGCGGGATGTTTTATCACATTTCTCCATGTGTTTACCCCTGTCCTACATTGGTGTGATTTTGTCTTTTCTTTTTTCTTTTTACGTTTTACATTTTACAGTACGGCGCCTTTTCATGGGAGGGAGGAAAGGTTTATTTCGTTTTCTTTTCTTTGGTTAGGTTTAAAAGCACCATTGGATATACTAGGGTCCTAGAGTACACGCGGTTAGGATCATGGGTTGGAGTCAATGCTATTTCGTCTTTCTAGCCTCATTCTAGTATCAACGCAAATAAGATTTTAACTATCACATATGTTTCTCCTTTTCAACCTGAGTAAAGAGTCAAGGCACCACATAATGGGCGCTATTTGGGTGAGGTTCATGGCTATTGTCAGGTTCAATGGGTAGTGAGGGGCAAGGCCCCACAGCTGCGGAATGGAACGGTTCAATGTTGCGATAAGGGGGTCTTGGAGCTTCGACGCCTACGTCATCTCTCAGAAGCTCGGTCCCTCCCAAACCGAAAATTGATATTATTGGAATGATGGAAATCCACATTTATTGTAGGAATGCATGGGAATGTGCGGATCCTCCCTTTGTCACAAATTCTTTTGGAGTGGGGGTGCAAGTAGGATTGCGGAAAGCTCGAAAACCCCCGATGACGTAAGAGGAGCAGTGTTAAAAGTCTGGTGTTAGCTATGCAATATAGCCCCTTCATCCCCGAGGAGGACAAGCGGAGTGTGGGCTTGGTGAGACCTGCGAACGGTAGAGGAGGAAGGAGAAGCCTGGTTACCGTACGTTTGTTTGGCCGCGTAAAATAATACATCCATCATGGATTGATCTACCAGCAAGAATATATTATAGCTTGAGGCGTCTTCAGATGGATCAAGCGGATCTATTGGTGGCTTTCTGGCGACCCATCGCAAGTGAACCGTAAACGACGTGCCCTCATTATTTTACGAAAAGAACTCGCAAGACGGCCGTTGGAGTGCTTGAAGATGAGAAAGAAATGGGACGACACAATAACCCCCTTGATAAATACTTCTAAGGCGATATAGATGTACGGCCTTCTGCTTTCGGAGACCGATGGCCGAGTGACTGAGAGACCTAAAATGAGTTTTGCTGTATCATGTGCGGGAGGTGCCCAAAGTCTTGTCCAACAGCTTGCGGGCCTGAGCTAGTCGTAAAGTGTGGTGGATGGATCTATCGATGGATGAGACGAGCTTGACGAGGTCCCGGGTCCATTGGTGGCAGATCCACTGATCCGTGCGACTCGGACCATAATAATAATTAGATCAATTTCTATTCAACTCCTTCGGTAGAGCCACAACCCTGACTACGGACGGTGGGATGAAGGGTCTGGGTGGGGTTTGCCGTTACCCTCCATTCTAGGTTCCACATACCGATCACAGTGCAAAGCTTCAACCAGCTTCAGCTCATCCTGGATTGAATGGATGGTTGATGGATACATCCTGGACGGATGTTCCTCGCTAGATCACTATACCCACACATAACTATAACACTGCCAGCGCCCCACTTCGGCTTTTTGGGCGGGACGTCATCGGCCTGCTAGGTGGTATTCCTTTTGAGAGATTTCCTCCATTCGTGCCGACAGGTGTATTAGGGGCAAACCTGGATGGCTTGTGACCGGGAACCACCACCACATAATGCAGCTATATCGACTGGGAGAACGATTTCATGACCGAGCACCCTAAGGACGTCTTGAGTATGCTCTAAGCTCCTCCTCGGCTCCTTCCCGGACCTAACACGAATGAAACCGTGGGAGGAGGATCGGGACTGGGAAGAAGAGGGGTGTGCTTGGCTGCAGCTGGTGCAACAGCAGAATATCAAAGTGCGCCTTTCGTGCTGAGACCTCCGGGGCCCTTGAGTGCGTGTTTTCGTTGGCCACCTCGCATTCGTGGCCAAGGAGACCCAGGCAAACATGGCTTGACATCTGTTCATACTCTTCTATCTGTATACCCCTAGCCCTTGCATCTAGAAGTATGTGGAAACTATGCCTAAGCCTGCGGACGCTGAGGGCCCTTGTACTCGGATCTAAGGCTATGCTGGGATTTAAATCCGGCAGGTGATAGGAAGCGATAATATCTTCGGCCCGGTTGGTGATGTGGGGTGGCGTGAGACAAAGGGCCGCTGGACTAGAGAGATAGAGGGTGCATTATCGAGACAACTGCTGCTGAAATTCCGCTGTCAACGCTGGGGGAGGAGGGTTCGCACTATCGCCTTTACTTACCTAACCTCAGTTGAAAGCCACATTGGTGGCTGCGTCATGGACTAGCAACGGAGGAAAGAGGGGCCTGCCTCATACCTGCCTGTTGTACTTTGTAGATGACCTCCTGCTACTGCTGTACACTCAATGGGTGTCAACCTGATCTAGTGTACCTCCACTGTCTCCCATATTCATTTCCCCGCAAACCTGACTCTGCATCTCGACAACTCCATAGCTCTCAAACAAAGCACCCCCTTCTGAATCGGCACGTCAAGTGGGAGATTGAAAAACAACATTTATCAGTTCTCTTACTCATCTCTTACAAACTAAACAAATAAGCAAATACGCAAAGCTAACATGGATAAGTTTCTCGGGGCCCTTACTCAGGACAAAGACGACAGCAGCGGTTAGTCATTGATGCCCAATCATTCTCTAAAAAGCCCCTCCCTTTGCCTCCCTCTTGCCATCGCTGCGCCCATCACCCCTTCGGATGATGGGCAGCGGTGAGCTAGGGTGTGGGCCTCTTGCGCAGGTGGATGGATGTCCGATGGGGGCCCGTCAATCACTGACATTGCGCGGTTGTCTAGGCCCCAATGCCTCGAGTCTCGGCACCGGCAATAGTAAGTCTCGAAGCAAACTGCAGAGGCTGCAGAACCCTAGTCCTACCAGATTCCTGGGGCCTGGCTAATCAACGGATCGATCCGGCTTCCTTTCGCTAGAAGGACCTGGTGGTGCCCTAGGTCCGCTCGCTGGCAACCTCCTTGGCCTCCTCGACAATGACGACGACAGGCAACGTGCCGCCGACGATGCCTCTCGCCGGGCTGGCGACTCCGGCAGCAGTGACCTTTTCAAGAGTATTCTCGGCTCTCTGAGTTCCGACAAGGACAAAGTTGCGAAGCAGGATATTGATGAGGAGGGTGAGATGTACCACCCCATGACATGAGGGGATAACAACGGAAGTTGTAGGAGAATGACACTCGCAGGCTGATATTAATGATTGACAAATGGATAGATGCTGTTAACAAGCATCAAAAGTATTTCGGGAACGGCGACAACGACGAGCAGGCCGACTCTCGAGGTCTTGGTTCGGCTGCTGCCATGCAGGCACTTAAGCTTTTACGAGTGGCCAGGAAGCCCCCAAAACCTCTTCCAGCACCAAGTCCGAGAGTGCGTTCCTCGCTCTCGCTATGTCTGAAGCTAGCAAAGTGAGTTCTGCGCGCGTCTCAAAGTATCCTGGGAGACTGAGAGCAGCCGTAGCTAACACCTCGATCTCCCCTTGTAGCTTTTTGACCAGAAGGCATCCCAAGGCCAGGTTGCTCCCGGTGCCTCGAAGGAATCTGCTGTTCAGCAGGCTGGAGAGATGGCGCTCAAGATGTACCTCAAGAGTCAGGCCCAAGGAGGTGGGAGCAGTGCTGGTGGAAGCGGTGGCGCAGGTGACCTCCTAGGTTTTGCTTCGAAGTTTCTCAAGTAGATCATCTCGAGGATGGTATATGCGAAATAGATCACACACAACTCTTTCCAAAAATAAAAAATTAAAAATAAAAATGGTACCGCGCATCTTAAAAGGTTATTTCAATAATTCTTGGAGCTCACAAAGTGCCATGGAAAAAGAGAAAAGAAAACAGGATATGTGGGGTCCAAATTAAAGTGAAGCCTAATACCAGAGTACACGAGAAAAGGAAAGTTTGCATATGCGCAGAGAAGAGAAAAGGAAAGGGGGCGGAAAGTACACGTTGTACAGTATAACATTGACAGAAGCTCAATCCTTTCTCTATTCCGTCTCGTCAATCTTCTGGGTTTTGGCCGCGGCCAAAACATCCACCCACCCAGCGGGCCTTCTCCTACCGCCCTCAACCACCTCGTCGAGGTACTTTTCAGCTTCACTAGCCCAGGCAAGTAGCTGCTCTTCGCTCCCCACTCGCCGAGGGCCATCAAGTTTACGGGTATCTTGCCCGTGCCCTGAACGGGATCAACGTAGCCTACGGGCACGGTGAGGGCAGGCGTGCCAGTGATGTTGGCTAGGAAGACGTACATCATGTGTTTGAGGGTCATGTTGCCATCCGAGAAGCCGTAAGAGTCATTAGCAGGGTCCTTGGGCCAGCCGGCTAGTGGGGTGGTGGGTGTGAGGATAAGGAGGCCTGGATGGGTTGTGAAGAGGAAGGCGAGGTGCTGCATAAGAATCTCCCTCAACTCGTTGTACTTGATGTAATCCTGGGCGGGTGTCTGGCTGCCGACGCCGACGAGGACGCGGGTCTGTGGCTGGACCATGGCGTGGGCGATGGAAGTGTTGGGGGCGCGGGCGTAGTGGGAGGCGGCGCCGTCCGTAAGACAGGTGGCGCCGTGGGCGAGGCCAGCCTCGCGCAAAAGGGAATAACAATGTCAACGATTTCATAGCCGAGCACGTCCCGGTAATGAGCGACGGCGGCGTTGCAGAGCTCGAGGACCTGGGGGTCGGCCTTGTCGAACCAAGGGCGGTATATGCCGATGGTCTTCTTGGCGTCGGGGGAGGGCGGGGAGGAAGGGGCAAAGCGGCCTTGGGTGTTGCAGGAGCAATTGGGCTGGGCGATTGTGCGGTACGCGGCGGTGAGATCGGCTACTGTCGAAGCCATGGGGCACATGACGCACATGCTATGGGATACGATGCCCGTGCGGTGGTGGGAGGGCTTGAGGCCGTACTGGCCCGTAAAGGAGGGGGCACGCGGGCACTACCGCCGGCATCGGTACCGATCGCAATGGGGACGATACCGGCTGATAGGGCGGAGGCGGCGCCCGACGAGGAGCCGCCTGGGTAGTAATCTGGGTTCATCCAGTTGGTAGGCGTGCCCCAGGCAGTCTGTTTCATTGTTTCCAGTCACGGATTAGCTTTAGCCGCCTAGCCATCGATGATAGAAATCAGGCATGAAGGGAGACCGAGTGTGGGGGCCCTTGGATCAATGGGAAGGGGGAGGGGGTGGCAATACGGCCCGAATTTGGGAGAACTCACGTTGCAGCCGCTAACGTCGACGCCTAGCTCATGCATGGCCATCTTGCCGACCAGGACTGCGCCGGCTTCTTGCAACTTTTGCACAGGCCAGGCTGACTTTTGGCAGGTTTGAAGAAGGGGTTGCTGGCGTCGTACCTCATACCAAAATGAGATACGAAGCCCTCTACGTCTACGTCGTCCTTGGCGCCAAAGGGGACACCGTCAAGGAGACCAAGCTCCTTGCCCTGGGCATAGCGTTGGGTGGATGCTCGGGCTGCTGCGAGGACGCTCTCGTCCTGGCCGTGGAGTCGACCCAGGCGTTGGCGTACTCGCTCTCGGGTCTGGCCGCGGGTGATGCGGCGGAGGAGCTCCTCGGCGACCTGGAGCGGTGTAACATCGCCGGATTTGTAGGCGGCGTGGTAGTCGGCTGCGGAGTGATAGCGGCTGACGAGATCGGCAGCGCGGGGGTTTGAATCTCGGGGCCAAAAGGGATGATGGATTGCGCGGCGGGGAGGACCCGAGGGGGATGACACAGGGCTGGTGGATTGTTCCTGTTAAACCATTGATTTCAAGACGGGCCCAGGTACCCGGAAAATGGTACTGCTACTTGCTACACATGTGTGGCGTGCGCAAGGGGAGGGAAAGGGGGGTCGGGATGAAGATGGCAAAGTGAGATAGAGGAGGTGGTGGGACATACATGAAGACGGGCCGGGAGGGAAGTATCAAGCTCGGGCATGTGTCTAAGGGAACCAAACTTGGCGTTTTTCCAGAGGAATCGTTGCAGGTAGCCGGAGTTGGAGACTCTGTGAGAGGGGGCGTGTTAGCAGAGCGAGTTGCCTGCCCACGGGGCGAAAAATAAAATAAAAAACATACAGGGAGGCGCCGATGGCGAGGGACAAGCCCCTCATGACGGGGTTCTTGTCCTCGGCGGCGCCGTCTAAGGCGGAGGCTTCGGACTTGGACCAGTCCACGGGGTCCGGGTAAAAGCGAAGCTCTGTTGCGAAGCCATTTTCTACGGGCAAAACGGGGAAAACCAGGTAAGGCGAAATGCTGCTCTTGGCGTGTTTGGGGAGACTGAAAATGAGATGAGATGAAGTGAGAATAAGACCCGGGGAACTGGGGCACGATGAGGGACCGAGCTGGGGGAAGCCAATGTCAGCGTCAGCAGCTGTGTCATTTCACAATTCGATGAGTGGATGGGGGAGGAGGGTGCCTCGGCCGGCCACTCAGGCCCCAGGTGTTTAAACCGGCTTTGCTCTGGGTAACCCGGATGTAACGTCAAAAGTCAAAAGAAAAGTGACCTGCGGAAAGTGCGAGTTTCACAGTTTCACATGCAGATCTTGGAGCTCGTCCCGCAGTTGTTTTAGCGTCTTCGGAGGAGAACGACGCCAGACCGGAGAGGGACTGGATTGATGCCTGCGCCTACGCCTACGCCTGCGCGCACGCGGACACGCAGCGCTTCTCTCCAAGATCGTACATGCATCAAAGCAATGTGAGATTCGACCGGCGAAAGACGGGGCAACGCAAACAAAAGAGAAACCCGAGAATGAGTCGGAGCGCTGCGTGGAGATAAGCTTGCATTCAATTCCTTCGTTTCCCGTTGCCAAGAAACAAAAAGATGAAAAGAAAAGGAAACCGGGGTGGGACTCAGAACGACAAAGAGAGGTAGATTCCAATGAATCCATCTCCCTCCCCGCCCCCTCAACCAAAAAAAAGGATGCTGAAAAAAAGAAAGGAAGAAGGCGAAGAAAACGAAGAGAAAAGAAGAGAAGGAAAAGAACGCTGCTGCTACTTGCATTGCATAAAACCGAACACGTCGTACAAGTATCTCTAGGTTTGGTGAAGCATCTCCGGGATCATCGTACACTGCCTGCCTGGGTCTCTCGAGCCTTCGGCGTTGGGTTGCCGGCGGATGGTGCGAAGCAACAGTCGCTATGCGCCGCGTCACGCTGATAGGGCCGGATACTGTGCTCTGACTTGTCAACGGGGGTCCGGATGAGGAAGACGAGGTGATAACCACCATATCCGGGCTCTCGAGGCGTTGGAAGCAGGGCTTGATTGTCATTAGTATCACATGTGCGTAAGAGATTAGGATGCCCGTGAGTGATGGTTACTTGTTTGTCGCCCTACCCGAGATATCCCTCTTATCCGCTGCAACTCCTCTTGTTGGGCGTCGACCGGGGTTTGGAAGGTGAGGAGCGAAGCTGACGGTGCCCCATGTCGCTACGCGCACGCTTCCCTCAGCGAGATTGGTTTCGAGAGGGGGCGGGAGAGGTAGGCGGGGAGCAGACAGGGAAGCCCTTCCAAGATGTGGCAAAGGCACCGAGGCCTTGACCTGCTATCAGAGGACAAAGTCACTAGAGAGGAGGCGGCGACCAATGCTTTCGGTGAAATGTGTTATCAAACCAACGACCTGCGACTCCTAGTTTTGTCTCGGGGTACTGCAGAAAGAAGATGTGTTTGTAATTTCCGGGAAAAAATGCCAATCCTATCCTATACGCCATGCCGTGGATGCTCCCAGTTCTATGTTCTATCTGCCTATGCTCCCAAGGGGCCACCATCTCTCTTCCTCAACGTCGCCGTATTCCACCTCTTCTTCTTCGCTCTCATCCGGCCCCCTTTCCCTGTACAAGACTTCGCAAACACCGCCAAGGGGCACGTCCATGACACCGTCAGTGCCCTCGCCCCAAACCTCCCGGTAATCCAATGACGTGCGCTTTCCTCCACCGCCGCCACCACCTGTTCCCTTCCTCTTACTAACCTTGGACCTGGTCAACCTAGATCCGTCCCGCATCCTTCCCTTTGCGTCAATGATGGCTATTTTTGCCGCGTCGTCCACGATTGTCTCCACTGCGCCCATCGGGGCGGTCAAGTAGCCGGTGTTGTAGGCCGCCAGGGCGACAAAGAGATAGACTAGGGCCATAACGAGGAACGCCGGTACCGCGAGAGACCACCACCTGTTAGGATAGTAATATATCCCAAGCGCGTGTAGAAACGGCGAAGGGAGGTATGACCAGAGAAGATACACGAGGAAGGAGGCGCTGGAGAAGAGATAGAGCACGAATCCGTAGTATTCGTAGGTCGGGACTTTGGGCGATGCGCGGGTCGCGCGGGCCGCCACCTCTAGCTCATCGTCGGATAGGTCGGGCGTGGTCGGCCGCGAGGGGATCAGTAGCGATGTTATTGACGGAGAAGGCGGAAGGGGAGTGCCTGGGCGACCGTAGAATGGCGGCGCAAAGTAATTGGGCGGGTGAATGGATGGTCGTGGAGCCGAGCCATCGTCGTCGCCAGATCGAGCAGATGCCGACGACGTCGTCGACTCAGCATCGGAGCTCGCGAGCTCTAGTTCGCCGTCTTCTTCTTCTATTGTCCCCGGCATTGTTTCGCATAGCCCGCGGGGTTTGAGTTGCTCTCGCCGAGGTTTTGATGGAACGACCAAGAGAAGAGGCCAACACGGGAAAACGTTGAAAAGAACAGGGGAGGGACGACTTGACGTGAGGCGGTTCGCGTGGCTGCGCTGGTCATGGCTGGCGTCGTGATTACCTAAGCAAGAAGAACAAAAGACTCCCGACGATATTGAGAGGCAAAGCGAGCTGAAGGATTGCTCCTCCTATCCAAGGATACCAATGGACCTAGGTGCCCGCAGTCAATATCATCGTGAGGAGGGGCGATTCGAGGATGGTCCCAGAATAGCTCCTCATCCATTTGTGGTTGCTATATTTGTAAATGGTTTGGGGCATGCCTTCCCCAAATTCTGCTAGCCGCAACTGAAGGGAGCAGGAGGTGCCAGACTTCATCTTGTGCTTCAAACCAACAACAGTTTCTAGGCAATGGGTTTCCTGGCATCTTCTCGCTGCCAGCTACATTATGAATTAGACCTAAAGGGCCTCGAATGCATAACTATAGAACTATTCCCAAAGAATCCAACATTTGTTTCTCCTGGTTTTCCCATGTCGAGCGAGCCCAAGCTTTCAGACACTGCTCGCCTTCTGGCCAAAATTACCGTGGCAAACGGTCTACTTCCACGCATTGTCGCAAGGTGATCTCTGTTCGCCAAAGTCAATATGGTACAGCAAGGAACGTGGGACAACGGCGACTTCGTATCATGGGCTGCCTACAGAAGTAAGATGGAAGCCTTGGGCCATTTCAAAGCACGGGGCCCCTGCGGAATCTGCAACGAGATGTTTGGGTTCAACGAGAGATGCATTGGCTGTAAGTTGGCTACGGGTTACGCCGCACCTTTGGTATTGAAAGCGAGGAAAAAGAATGGTGAAGTAGCCCACTAACCGTGGCTTGATCAAACTCTAGTATTGGGGACACCTGACTCGACCAAGGTCTGGCTCGCAACACGGCCTTTCTTCTACCCGAAGCCAGACGGAATGCGTCGGTCGATTGATGGGTGGCACATCTGCCTATCGCTCAACTGCACAGATTGCGATTCCTCACCAGAAGCAGTTACCATTCACTTTGAGTGCTATGAGCTGCTAAATAAGAAATTCCGCTACGAGGATGGCCTAGATATGGTGTGGAGGGAAATAGCGTGGCGAAGACCCTAGCGTGGTGCTCCTTCTACCTTCCTCGCAGATCTTCTTACATCTAAGACGAAAAGCATCCTGACAGCAGGCGAGAAGTTGGGATTCAATACATTTCCTGTGCTGCCAGAGGACATTGTCCAGAGGATCCGAACCTATTCGGAATGCCCACTCTTCTGGAGGGTAGTCGCGGCCTTCCATGCGACTACGCAGCTCCGAGGATACAAAAAACGCAACAGCCGAGTTGTCGACGGTCAAGATGTCTAGCATTGCGCGGTGGGTCAGGGGCGGCACTGGCTTGACCAAATCCCCGGGGTCGAGTGCTTTCCGTTCATCTACATCATCGTTGATGTCCGTGGTATCAAATCGATTGAAAGACTTCCTGCTGAATTGCCACTTCCTCCTGTCCAACGCTACAAGAACGAGGCGTACATACTTGAAAAGAAATGCCAGTTTGAGGATGTGACTGTATTCTTCCAGGTTCGTTTCGCTCCGCCTACCTCTTTTGTGAACTCTATCATCAATAATGTTCAGAGTTAACAAGCAGAAATAACAGGGTGGGAAAGCACGCCTCCATCTGCCCGACGGGCATCCAGGATTTAGCATATGGGATAATCCAGATGTGCCCTATAACAGCTTGACCCTGACGGAGTCTTTTCTTCAACCTTCGGTGCCCCGACCTCCGTTTGCATTTTTTACCGTGGACCTGGAATCAATCACGGGGCTTACATTCTTCTTTTTCGGCGCGGATCTGTATGGGTTACATGCCCATTCCCGACGTGAACCGAGTGCCAAGTTACCCATAGAATCCAATTCGGAGCTGATACAAGAACTCTTATGCTGGGTTTACGTCCCCATAGCCCCTGGAGATACGTTGATGGCCATCCATATCAAAGCGGATGTGCCGTTGATTACCTCGGGCAGGATCCTTAGATCTTTATTGGTAAGGAGGCCTGTACTGACTGTGGCATTGATTTACAAGGCAGACCCTAACTTGAATGATAATAGCTAGATACTAGACTCTCTCGGCGCTTCTCAGTTGGTCCATGGTATTATCTAGACTCCGAGTCGTCTCAGCTTCTTGTATCACCGCCAAACCCCCTCGTGTATGGGCGTATAGAGGGCTTTGGCGTCTCTGCGATGGGGCGGTCCGGGGAGGCGCCCCATGATCCTTCCGCCTTCCCGCCAACGAGACCTGTTGGTACTGACCTCATGGGCCCGTTCTCAATGACCACCTTGGCGAGCCTCTCCTCTTCTCGGCCACAACTCTCGAGAACGTCAAAATAGCCACGGTGTATGCTCAGGAAGGGCGTTTTTCTATCCGAGGGTCCTGTTTCAGTACGGAAATGGGGCCAGTCGAGCGTTGGGTGAATGTCGAGTTGGTGTAAGTCCGTGTCGCAAATTCGAGAAACCGAAATTTCTATGCGCATTAAAGACTGAGATAGTTGTGCTACCCGAGGTGACGTACGGTGGTGTTCAGTTCGAGTTCTCCCAAGATCTAAACCATTCCCATATAGAAGAGGGGTGGGTTTGCCACTCGATGAGTGGCGTCTTGCAGCTATGGTTTAGTCCACTTGAAGTGTTTTATAACGTCTACAACAATGGTGATGTTTAAAAAACCTGAGTATCTCTTGTAAGCAGGAATAGAGTTGGGAGGACATGCGTATTGATGCCTGATAGCCGTGGTAGCCTTGTCTTTGGGTACGACAGCTGGGGGTGTAATGAAAGTTAGCCTTTGGATTGCCCTGGTGAACCTAGTAGACTCTTAGTGAAGATACCACCTTGGAGTCAATTCCACAAGTTCTAGTCTCTCTTTTTCTTTTTTTCTTTTTTTTTTTTTTTTGGGGGAGGTTGTATCAATCTTCGACCTCAAAGAAAACCGACCTTCCCACTCAAAAGGTACTGATTGATATGGGACGGGGTGGGCCCCAGGGAAGCGAGACTGGATGGGCTGCGGCATGGATTGTTCACAGCGAGTAATGAAAGGAGCAAGCCTACCCATCTATCGTTGTTACGGGCTGAGTTCGATCTGTTTCTAGAGACAGCGAGGCATATCTCTCAGCTAATACTAGAACCTTCCATTTACCATACGATGGTTAGCTAGGAATCGAAGCCAATTTGACGCTCTTCGAAGAGGTGGCCTTTGAACCGCGGCTGAGGGGGCGTAGTAGTGATGCGAGACGGCGGCTACCCAAGGAGGGAGGGTACACAATAAGGGCTTGGGAGGGATGCGAACCCATCATAGTATAGACTTCATTACAGATATCTCAGTACACGATACGTACAAGGCTCATCTCCCTACGCTTCCTTCACAACTACCGGGCACTGTTTACCCGTCAATAGGGCACCTATACTCGCGATGCTTTCCCTCTGCCGTGATGCAATGGCCGTCATCCTCGATCTGCAGGGAATCCAGGCACCGCCGGTGGTATATATGCCTGCACGCCAGGAGCACAACTTGATCGAGAGGCGCCTCCCTCTGCCTCTTCGCCGCGTCTTCTTCCACGTCTCCTCCCGCGTCCACGACCGCCCTGCTCGGCTCGCTAACTGGCGTCGTCGCCTTGCCTTTGCCGCGCGTGTTACCCATACCGGAGAGCTCCCTCTTGCGCTCCTCCCTGATCGCTTCATCTGCGCTCTTCTTCTCCTCCCAGGCGTCGACGATGCGGCTGCCCACGCCAGGGCCCCAGAGCCTGCGACCGCATGCCTCGCATGTCGACCCGCGTGGTCGCCAGCCGCGCTGGCGGAGTTCAACGGAACGCTGTACGCTCGTGAACAAGCTGTTCTCTAGCAAGCGGTTGGTCAGCTCCAAGATGGAGCGCTCGTAGGCGTATGCGGAGAAGATGGACTGCAGGACCTCACGGAGGTCGGCGAGGCTGGGGACATCTTGGCCGCGCGGGAGAGGAAGGCGCGCAAGATCCGTAGGAAGGAGTGGTTGATCCCGGGAGAGGCGGGGAGGTTGGCGATCGGCCCGGCGTGGAGGGGCCGCTGACTTTGCGGTATCGGTTAGGAGCGCCGTAAATGCTAGCTGGACCAGCGACCGGAGGAGGCTCGCCAAAATGTGGCTGTCTCTGGACTCGCCGATGGTGCTCTGGGACCCGCGCCTCGAGGAGCGACTGGAGGACAGGCCCCGGTCAAAGGCGGACTGAGGCATGGCACTAACAGGTTCAGAGAGTTTTCGGGTGACTCGAACTGTTGCCTCGATAAGAGATAACCATAGCTCGTCTTCAGGTGATAGGTGGTCGCTATTTAGGCGCTCCCGCCTCTCGATGCCATTCACATGGGCAGGGTGTAATTGGCCCTGGCACAGCCGTATACCCAGGTTGACATATCGCTGCATCGATTTGAGCATCCCCGCCACGGCCCACTGCGCGTGGTCGGGGTCCTCTCCGTCATCCTGGTGCATCGCCACCTTTTCAATCTCGACTGCGATGTCATCGAGATGAGTCGTCAGCCGCTGCATTGCCTGCTCCGTCATACCGTCGTGAGTCATAAGGGCGACGATGCCCTCGACCGCTCCCGCCTCTTCCATAGTGGGTAGGAGTTCATCTAGCCGCAAGTCCTTGTTCTTCACAAGACCAACGTAGTCACCGACATGGTCCTCCTCAAACGCGCACATGAGCCGCACGTAGTGTTCAATGAGGGCCTTATCAGAAGCCGCCAAAGCTTCGGATGCGGTGCCTTCGGGTTCTAGGAGGGCTTTCAGGTATTGAAACTGTAAATGAGGCATGTCTTTGGTGGACTCTAGAATCTCACGGTGAAAATCGGCGGACTGAGATGATAGAGTGGTGGCCGCCCTCTGGGGGTCGAGGTCGACGAGGTCCACCGCATTCTCGCGGATGACGTCTAGCACCTGATGCACCTGACGGCTCGTAAGGCCGCTCCCTGCCCGTAGGCAGTCGGCAAGGCAGTCAAAGGTTTGTTCGCGATCATCTGGGTCCTCGAAGTACGTCTGCATGAGCTTGCCATATTGTCGTTCGCCTTTGTAGATGCGTTTTAGAATGCGATAAAACCCAGCCTTCTTGAACAGTGGGTTCAGCGCTTCGATATCGGGTGGCTGGTGGACTGAGAGCAGATACTCGGCGCTCAGTTGGGCGTCCTCGGCCAGGTCCATTCCGGGGTGGTTGCATAGCCCAGTTAGGACTCTTGTGAGTGTCGAGCCTGGGAAGAGAAGGTATTGCGGGAACTTTGGCAAGTTGCGCGCGATAAACATGTCGAGATATATCGTATCTTCGGGTGCAAAGTCGGAGGGATTCATGATTTCCAAAAGAATTGAGACGATATACTGCCTATCAACCGTCTGCCCGAAAATTTGCTCCTCCGGCAGATCATTACCGACATCGTTCTCCTTCTTTTCGGGCGCATCGTTGAGGAACGGGTCTTCAAAGGCTTCGTTGAGCGCGCTCAGGAAACTCGGCGCATCATACTTGAGGACCAGCCTGAGATAGGGAAACGACGGCTCAATATGCTTGTTCGGTCGGGTTAGGAGTGGCTTGCCACCTTCCCTCGGCCAGGTGACAGTGTTACCGGAGAAGAAGAACCAGTAGAGCTCGGCACTTGCCCTGGTCGCTGATTCATCATCTAGGGGCTCACCAGTAGGGTACACCCGCCTTGTGAGCGTGTAAGCAAGATAGGGGAAGATCTTCCGCGCGTTGCTCCCGTAAACTAGCTCATTCATATAATCCCCCGAATTAGGTAGGGTATGGTGATCATCCATAAGTGGAACTAGGAGCGAGAGGAGGTCGATCAGGGGTGTGATATAGTCTCCCATCGCCTGATTCCAGACATAGATTAGCGCATCGTAAAGCCTGTGTTGCTTGCAAAGCGTCGTGATCTGGTCCAAGTCCAGCGTCCTTGTATCCATGCGGCAAATCATCTCCTCGAGCCGTGGCTGCCAACCTTGAGATACATAGTGGGTGACCATGGCCTTGATCACGGCCGGAGGTACAATCTGGATGACCCTCTCTAGAATGTAGGATTCTAGAGCTTCGAGAAATATGCTCTCGACCCCAGAATCCTCGTACCAGTCGTACATCTCATCAAAGATGAAATCAGTGTTGCCAATACTTTGACAAGCGACAAAGCAGGCCTCCGTCAGATCTCGGAGCGCCTGATCCCCAACAGCTGATGGATCGGCGCGATGCTGGCCAAATATATATCCGACAGAGGTGGACATGATTTCATTTACTTTGTCCTTCACCAGAGAGTGTCGCAAAGCAGCGTCCTCGGGGAGGCCGACGGTGAGCTTGTCGGAATCTCCCGTGTAGTAAGATGTTGCGAGCTGGATAGCCGCGACGTGGTCACCATGGTCCATGAGAGCGTGGAGCCTGTCAGACCAGTTTGAGAGTGTTCCGATCGAGATCTCATCGAATCCCAGGAGGAATAATCTGCTCTTGTATGCTTTGACGCTCATATAAAAAGCATCAGCAACTACACCGTGCATACTCGGGTCTTCTTCATCGAGCTGCTCAACTAGGGCGTGTAGCTGCTCCGAGAACAAATCTGCATGGTAGATATGTTTGTGGATCAGATCAAAGCCATCGGTGACCCTCATCGTTTTATCCTCAAGGACGATTAACCGTTGCGTTATTGTGAGCACCGTCAAGACCGAGCGACTGAGCCACTGCACCGCAACAATGGCCTCGTCACACGTCCAGCGGCTGCGAGCTCGGAATTTGAGCGTCGGGGGCTTATCCGGATCATCAGTCGGCACCTCATCAACATCGAGCACCGTTAGCACATTTGACCAACAATATACAAGTTTGACCTTGGAGATAGTGCTTCCAGTCGCTGGATCCGGGACTTTTAACTTGACGGCTGGGAACCAGGCCAAGCAGCCACTCATGGCGCTGTGCCGGGCAACCTCTTTGGGCCTCGCGGACTTGTGCTGCGTCTGCGCAACCGGCGTAGTTGAAACAATGACCAAAAGATAAGGCGTTAGCATCGCGGTGAGCCCCAGGGTGTCGGTCGATCGGTCGGTGTTACCGAGAGGCAGGGATGCGAACGCAAGGACGGTGCTGGGCTTCAGTGCTTTATTGGTAGGTAACGGCGCATTCGGGTACCTGCCAAGAATTCTCGTAGTCTTCACGATTCGCCCGAGGGCACCCGTGCCACGGGTTGCGAGGTGAGCAAAGGCCATTCCTCGATCATCGGCGGAGACCACAGCTGTCCTCCGCGTGCCAAGGAAGCCTAAATGTGTGATGGCGACGTCGGGGAAATGGCCATCTGCTGCCCTGGTCTGTGTTTGATTACCGTCGAGAGGGGGATGGAAAGGAACGGCCTGCTCGACCTATTTACATCCCAGATAAAGATGTGGCCAGTACCGTGGCCCGCGGCGATGGCAGTATGATCCGCGGAGATGGCCAACGATGTGATAGGACCGCACTCGACAGCTATTCTAACATTAGCCCAAACCCAACCATGCTAGGCGAGAGGGAGAAAAAGAAAAGAACATTGGGGTGAGCTCATTCTTTACCTTTAGTACCAGCTCCAACAATGATCTTTACTGTCTGGTTGTAGTCAAACAACAATATCAAGCCCTTGGATGTCCCTACCATAATCAGGGACGCAACAGCAAAACAAGTAGGTGAGCCAAAGTTTCTCCTGCCGGATTCGCTAAAGACTTGGCCGCTGAGCTTTTTGAGTTTTGTCCACCTCACGACCTCCCATGGCGGGGTGGTGGTGTCGGGCTCCGTGTTATCAAGGAGGAACTGGGAGTTGACTGAGAAATTACGCCTGTGACTAGATAGAAATGCAGGGGAAGAGGGCCGCGAGCTATTAGGGCTCGGGCTAAGGTACATGGAGGAGGAGAGTCGTGATTGGAATCGTCGGTCAAAGGGTCGGAACGAGGGTGTTGGGGAGTCGAGCCCTGGGCGGGATGCTAGTGAGGGAGGACGCTACTGCCGGGAGAGGAGAGTATTGAACCCTAAAGATCGTAGAAAGTGAGCATAGGCTCTGGAAAAGAAGAGAATGCATCCCTCAAGAACATAAAGATACTCACTTGAACCGAGACATCATCCGGAACTGAGAGAACGGAGCCCATGGGGCTCCCAGCTCCGCGGGGAATGTCATCGATGGACCCGTTGTCAGAAGCCTGGTCAATCCGGTCGTGCAGAAGTTGGCGAAACTGGCTGGCAGAGGGCCCGTTTCTAACGGGTATTGGCATTAGAGGGGTTGAGGGCCCCGGGTCTTCCTCAAACAGTTCACCGACAGCAGCGCCATCGTCGGTGTCACCCCGAATGGTATCCCCATCAGTAGACACATCGTCCCCGAAAGTGAGGCATGCTCGTTCTTTGGAGAAACCCTAGGACTCGCGTCCCCGTTCTCCTTCAAAGGGCTACTCATCGGGTGGTCTGTATCGTGGTCATGGCGTGGAACGTGCGGTTCAAAGGTGGGGAAGGAAGATAGCTCGGAGCTTGGGGCGACGGCTTTATCGCATCGGGAGCAACGGCAGCTAGCTTGGGACAATCGCAAATCTCGGGCCGGACTTGATCGGCGGCACAGGTGAATCCAATCTATATTAGAGGAAAATGCGGATCGGACGGCGATGCGCGGGGTTTGAAAAAGGGGTGCCGATTGTCGGAAGTGGGCTGGTCGGGAAGGTGGCTATGGGGCAGGTTGGCCTGCCAAGTAGTAGAGTCGATTACGACCATCGCGGACCTGTTCATGTTCCTAGCCCCAGCTCGATTTCCCGGTTCCTTGCGAGCTTGAGGGATTTGCCGGATATTACCCGAACCAGGGACACCGCAAGGGTTCACCCATGACGAAACCAAACGAGTTACGTTCCATTGGCAGCACGGGTTCATGGACATACAGGTGCATTTTCGCGCTCTCAAAACCCTTTTTCTCCCATCTTTCCAGTGCAAGTTACGGACTCTGAAGCCAAATTACTAACCACAACTATAACATTATAAAAAGGAAAATGGGCTCATTCGGGCCGCAGCTACCACCACACCTTGCGAAGCGTAAGCGCACCCCGAAGATGACGGCGCTCCCACCTCCCCACCTTCCAAAGCATGCAAGGGCGCAAACAACGACGAGATCGACCTCGGAGATGAAAGCTCAGACGATGATGGCGGATACGGCCCTGTCGCGCCCAAAGTGCCCTCGCAGGGCGCCTCCGCGGCTGGGCCAGCCATAGGGCCTTCCATGCCTCCGAGCTCGACACATAACGCGGATGAAATCGATCTTGATGATGATGACGTCGGGCCACTCCAGCCTCCGCCTGTGGATGCAAACACCATCTCACCGCCCTCACATAAGCGCTCTGTCGGGCCAACGATGCGCCCCCGCGTCAACCAATACCGCCAAAATACCCCTCTCAGCTTCTGGCCCGGAGTCTGGCCCAGATCCCCTCCCCGCCCCCAAGCGCACTTATGGCCCTTCTCTCCCCCAGTCTCCTCTTCCGCACAAACAACCCGTCCTAACCCTAGCCCTGATTCTGACGCCGACTCCGACTCCGACTCCGATGACTATGGCCCGGCTCTCCCTTCCGCGGCGACCTCTTCACGACCCGCCTATACCTCACGCATGCCCCAAGAAGCAGCGCCTGAACCCACAAAGCGGGATGAGTGGATGCTCGCACCGCCTTCGGCGTCTGACCGCCGCGAACAGGACCCCACAAAGCTAAAAAACCGCTCCTTCCGCTCCGGGCCTTCCGCCGCTACTTCGGCCAACGCGCAAAAGCTGGGGTTGCAAGCATTTGGACGGAGACTGCCCAAGAAAAACTTGCGCGCCTGCAGAATTCGGTGCTCGGCCGAGGGTCCGACGAGCCAGCGCAAGGTGGCGCCAACAACGGGGGCCGAGGTGCGGAATCGTCCCGGGAGGCGGAACAGAGAAGGAAAATCGAGGAGTACACCGCGCAGACTAGAGGAAAAGTCTTTACGAGGAGCGCCAGGAAGCCAAGAAGAGAGGCAAGATGAAGCCACAAGATGAAGAGGATGATCCGAGCAAGAGGCCGTTCGACAGGGAGAAAGACATGGCGATAGGGGGCAACCTCGGGGCTGCTAAGAAAAGGGAACTACTAAACAAGTCATCCAACTTTGGTGACAGGTTTCAAAAGGGATCCTATCTGTAGCTACTCCATAGCCACCATCAATGGTTCGGGGGCATGGGCCGCGAAGGCGATAAGGCGATTAATCACATCACTGAATAAGATCGAGTGAAGGTAAGCTGATGGTTCTTGATCATCATTAAAACAACTATCTAGGGCTATGAAAACCACACTCCTAGCCCATCCAACGCGCCTCCTCCCAGTGCGCCTAGGCATGCTCCGGCCAAGTAAAAATGTTAACAAAAGCAGGACGGATAATAATCAAGGATAATGGGGGCTCCAGTGCCGAAAACGGATCTGTATGAATGATGGTCTGTGTACTGTGTAATGTGTGCTGTGCCCTCGTGGTGTATGTGTGTGTAGTGGTGGGCGATGTTGCTAGCGGCGAAAAGTATAGAACATGTTACAAGCGGAAACCCCTGCTCTGCTGAGGCAAAAAAACCCGCGACTCGACGCGAAAGTCCGGAGGAGGATAAACCCGGACAAGCCTGGATAAAAGACTAAAGGGCAGCCTTCCCACCGATTATCCGCCAAGACGAAGGGAGTCTCCTGGCCCTTGATGCGGAAGAGGAAGTACCGAAACGCCATTGGAAAATGAAATACAAAGAATCAAGTGCTCCTAAAACTCCCTGCAGTGGTGTTGGTGGTATATACTGAAACAGAATGCTTCGATATTGAAAGAATGGGATGTCGTGAAGATGAGCGAGTGGGTTGTTCGGCGGTGGATCGTATAGACGGCTGTGTCCTGGCGCCTTGGTAGCCAAATGCGATTCGTGCGGTAGTGTACACGGACGAGGTGAAGGTGTAAAGAGGTTCACAAGAAGAGGGTTGTGGAGTGGCAAAGCACAAAAGTCAGTCGTTCACGAGAGTCTAATGCCCAACTGGATTCGGCCGAAAGCCACCTTCAAGCTGAGCAGGGCTTACTTCGGTGGCCATTGCATCATTTTGCTGGCGCCGACCAAAGCGCGTACGCAACGATGACAAGAAGCCACCGCTCGGCTGCTCGGTAGGCACCGTGGAAGACTCTACTTGCTGAGTTGCGTCGGCTGGGGCCTCAGGTTGAGCGGTTGGGCGGCGGCGGCGATCTCGTTCTCTCCTTGATCGACTCTGTGCGTCGGTGGGGACACCAAACAGACGCACGCCATGTCCTCGGAAGTTGTACCAGGCGGGTTGCGGTGTGGCCGGAAGATTTGCCCTCGTTCTCCGTGGATCATTCGCGTCAAGATTGGAGGTGCCATCGGCGGGAGGGGCCGCGGCTTCGGGGTGTAATAATCCGCTTTGCACAAGGGGCAGCAAGCACGGCGACTGGTAAGCCAGGGATCGACACAGACGGCGTGGAAGGCATGGCCGCAAGTCAACCCACGGACATCATCATCGTCTTCCAAAGTATCAATACAGATGGCACATGTATCTCCGTTGGTTCCATAGCACTCGGGGGAAGGGCCGCGTTGATATGCTCATCGTCGTCATCGTCGTCGTGACTAGAGGCTCGCGTGAGAGGGATCGCATTCTCGGCCTGGCTCGGCCTCGGCTCAGAAGGCTGTCCAACTGGGGCGGGGACCGATGGAGGGAAGATTCGTCCTTCTCCGGCGAATCTTTGGCGGGTTCTTGTTGACTTAGTTCGGTCGTCTCATTCGTGTCATTCGTGTCTTTCACATTGGAGGCGGTATGCGCGACCTGGTCATCGACAGACTCTCGTTCTTTGGATTGGATAACACCTTCCACGGATCGAACGCTATTCGCCCTGCTTGAAGGTGCAGTTACGCCGCCGGTCGCGGGTAGGCCCTCTCTAACTCTAGAAGCGACCCAGCTCTTGTATTTCATCATCGGGAACTTTTCGTTGACCTCGTCCATGGTCATAAGCTTCTTTTCGCGGCGTCTCCGATGGGGACGTGGCATGTTTTCGAGAGCAACGGGCTCGCCGTCTTCGTTGAGTCGCATCTGGCGGTTTCGGGCATTGTAGCGGAAGCAATACTTGACGCCCACGATGATCCTATCGTAGAAAAAAAAAAAGAGGTTAGGTACCGTTTCAAGAGTTTCAAATCGTGGTGAGGCGTTTCCATCTTACCAAAGATTGGTAAAAACAACACCAAATCCAAGTGCAACGAAGAAAAGGAGAGGCGAGGTTCCGCCGCCGCCGCCGCCGCTACCTCCCCCATTTCCGTTGTCTCCGTTAAATCCCCTGATGGTGTAGCTGAGATGCTCGCAGTAGAGTCGGTTGGTGTGGCACCGGAGGCCGTCGTCGAGCTAACGAGAGCGGATGTGAGGGTCTCTAACGCGTTCGACGCCGAGGTAGCATCCCCAGGAGCAGCCTCCTGACGGGCATGGACTTCAACTACTCTCGCAACAATGTGGACGGCTTCCGCCAACACTTGATTAAGGGCCGGCATGGCTCCCGATCTGGCAGGGCAAGGAAGGGTCGAGTGGAGGCTCCCCAGCTGTGATGAGATGATATCAAATGCTTAGGCAAGTGGCAAGAGAAAAGGGTCAAAGATCTCTCTTAATAATTCGTGTTCATCGAGAAGAGAGCTATTCGAAAGCTTGATCCCGGTTTATCGTAAACGAAATCGGATCGGAAAGTCGGAAAACCGACGGGCGCACATCGAAGTTTTAAGGGTTGTTGGTCGCCGGTTGAGAAGGTTCCTCCCATAAAAAAGGAAAGCGAATGTGTTCCTTCACGGATTTGTGTTCCTTTCCCGGTCAGGATCGGATCTAGCAGGTTCGACTTTCCCACAAAAGACGAAATCAACCCAGGATGCACTAGGATGATGAGAAGAGAAGGAAGTCGAGTGGCCGACAATAAATCAGTTGACCGTAAGGACGACGCTTGGGGGTGCGGAAGAGGAGGTGGGTATGGGAGAAAAGAGGGACGGAATAATAATAGGGTGGACAGGGAAGGCACTATGTAAAAGCATGGAGAAATTGATTGCATGAGGTAAGAGACAAGGTCTAAAGGCGAGGGGAGGCAAGCGGGCGGGTAAAAGAAGGCAGAGTACCCAGAAAGGTACATGCATCCACCAACCTTGGCTCAAAAGCGCTAAAAGTTTGGGAGGTGGGAAGGAAGGAGAGCAACAAAAAGAAGAGAGAGAAAAAAATACATGCCGTCGAGTTGAAGGAGGGAGGGGAGGATTGGCGGGTACGGAGGAAGAGGCATAAGAGGAGGCAGGGGGACCAGGAGAGGTACATTGATGGCGAAGGAAGGGGTCCTAGCCCTTACTGAGATCGGGTTGATCCAAGGCCAATCTTGGGCCTGGAGTGAGTGGATCTTCAGTTTGAGATCCCATGAGGCCGAGTAGCGCAGAAGTACACAGTCTAACACAAAGACGATGACACCCAAGTACTCAGTGTAACGGGTCTCGGCCGGCAAGACTCGTACTGTGCACCTTGAACCTTGGGATTGGTGGGCTGTGGTCCGGAAATGCTCCTGGACAGGGATGGACCACACGGTTCCTATCTGACCCATTCCCTCGCCTCCTCCCCCTAATTCTTTCGTGCCGGAGAATTTGAATTGGGCTGTGTGAACCATTTACGAAGTATCTCGCAGATGTCGGTTTGCCGCAAGCATAGGCATTGCCATCTATCGCCTCATGGGCTCCATTTATGCTCGATTTTTCGCGTAGTAGGTTAATTTAGCATTTCTATACCCTCCTCTAAACTCCCGCCCTGAGTCCTGTTTCTAGAAAAGTCGACAGGTCTCACGTTAGACTGCGGCGAAGGTCTGCCATGAACCGCACTTTTCTAAGGTGGCAAGACACTAGATATGCGCACTCACCCTCCCGAGAAACAAGGGCCATGTGCAGCTTGAATGCAATCCCAGTCGAGGGCTAACGATGAGCAGGTAAGTCTTCAAAGCAAGCGTGCAGTCATCACTGGTGGTTGCTTGAGTTATCGACATGGCCCTCTCAGCCCCGGAGTTCGGAGGCGGACGCGCGGCATCGCGGCTTCGGCGATAACATCAAAGTCATGCGTTGCGGCGAATTTTTTTCTTTTATCGAATCAAGATATAATTTGTCACAAGAGTGTCCAACCCCCATCGATTACATTCCATACCAAGACTTACCTACGAAGTATCTGTCACGATCTATCGAGGAGAGGAGGGCTTGGCGGAACGAATATGGATGGTCACCCTTCAACCAGTCCGCCACTTGTGCTGGCTGCGAAGCAAAGCCACATTGTCTGCTTTACGGATGTCAACAAATCTCTCCTCGACGTGAACGACGGCGTGGACGGACGCAGGCTTCGTCCTAGCACGAACCTGCTCCATTTCCTCGGTTGCTAAACGGCTTGGAGGTTAGCGAGCCAGTCACTGCCAAGTGGTTCCAGTAGAGTGAGGGGCCATTTAATACAGCGACAAAGCCATAATAGGACGGCATCTCGAATTCTCTTGTGCCAAGAAATTCCCCATCCTGGTCTCCGCACCTACAGTGCGAATATTGGACATGCGGGAATGCCAACATGGAAGCCAAGAACATGGGTTGTGAGAAGAGGTGGTATTGTCTTCAGTTCTGCAACCCTCCAGCCCATTTCGCGAGAGCATGCGGTCTGTTGGCCGTCCTTCCGAAGGCTTGCGGAAAGGAGGACAGGCGAAACGGACAAGAGTCAGGTGCTGCCCATCCATGCCTAGCCACTCACGACTAATAATCCATCCATCTCGAACAGATGACAATAATACATCAAGTTGGGAAGAAGGGGACAAAAAAACAGGCTCCAATAGTAAAATTAAGAATCGCCCTAAGGAATGGTTTGGTAGACTTGCCTTTTCAGCAGAAGGAGCCACAACTCGACTCCAGAATCATCCGCTAATTTTCGGGTTCACGCCTGGAGGGTTATTTCGCTGGAGTTGACGAGGCGTGCGCCTCGTCCACCGATTTCAAATCTGGGGAGTGCTCCATCCACATATGGATCCTTCTCAACTCCTTCTGTCCAGGCCGTCGGTCTGTTGCCACCCGCACCTCTTCAGGCTTAGTCTTTACCAAAGACGGGCCAATAGCTGGAGCTCGGGATGTCGGCCCCAGCCAGAGACAAAACTCGTACGCAACCGTTATCATATTCACATTGTTCTAAGGGCGGGGAGGTGAGTCTGGAGTGGGGCCCACTTCTGGTGGTGCACCACCGCTTCCATGCTCCCTGGCCTGCGCCTCGTTCCGCCTTTTAGCGCCAGATCCAATGGGGAGGAATCCATCCATCCATTCTTCGAGACGATCTGGAGGTGAGAAATGTGGGAGACGACAGAAAGAGGCCAAGAAGCCTTGGGAGGTTGCATTTCCAGGAATCTTAGGTTGCGGAGTTGTTCCAGCAGGGACAAACAGATAGATCGTCAGAAGCTTGACCTGACGAGCTCACCAACTCCCTCCTCATTCGTCATTTCCCTTGTCCTATCTTAAATTCTTCGGCTTTACGAGTTCTGTCCTTTGTCACCATCTCTTCGCAAGATATTAGTAGCTACTCAGCCTCCTCTCAATTACGAAGTAACTACAGCACGCATCGCAATCAAGGATCCGAAACCAAGGTCCGCAAGACTTGCTGTTCGAGAGTTCATCTACGATGAATGGCTTCATCGGGTCTGTGCGCACGCGAGAGACATAGCGGGAGGATGGGGATGGCGAAGGAGGGACACGCACGACTCGTCGACTATCGAGGTCAAACAGGAGCTATTGTCAACTATAAACTCCAAAGTTCGGTCCTTACCTTCATCCATGATGTATCTTCCCGTCGCCATCTTTGAAGTTATCAATCGATAGATGGATCCATCGAGCAATATAAACATTCGCTCGTTTATTCATCGATCCAGTGCATGCATGTGAATTTCCATCAATTAGAGAAGTTTTCAGTGCCAACATCTTCTTCGCATTGATTTGTACATGCCCATGTGTTTTTTGTCGACCATGTTAGGCTCCGGGAGACGACACCAAGTCTAAGAATGCGGAGATTTCTCGTACATCTCAACGGTCGTTCTGAGTCCCAAAAGAGCGGGAAGATAATATTAGTACATCTTTCACAGTTGCTTCCAAGACCCGCCCTCAAGCACGGCCCTTTGTGAGATGGTGTCGCACACCCCGGTTCCAAACCTTCTCAAGCTCCCCGGGTCTCACAACAGCCTGCAGCACGGACTTCAGCGAGCTTCAATTACCTGTAAATCGGGAGGGGAAAGCCAGTTCGAGACTCTTTCTCAATCTCCCCTTCTCACATTGGGAGCAGGGAAGTTCACACACCCCTCTCGCCAGCCGCCGCTGGATTCCTCCTCCACCAAAGAGCGGTTTCTAGACCGTCAGAAGCGGGCCATAGATGGTTGCGGCCCGTCCATCGCAAGTTTGTCCCCTTAAACACAAGAGGAGCGATTCGTAAAAATTCAATACCGAGCAAGGGAACTGAACATGACAAGTTTGAAGTTGGAAGGGCCAAGGCCAGAATTTCAAGCCTACATGTATCCTTGAAACCACTCACAAAAGATCCAATACAACCTCAGCCGTAACCATGACCTGGACAAGGCCGCGTCGAGAGCCCTCTGCTTGATCCTGAAGCAGTGAGTGGATGGAGGGCGCGAAGGCTTCAAGCGGCCGTAGGGGTGAGAGGAGAGACAACCCTCATCCAATCGAACAGCCCCAATTCGTTCGCCACGCTAGAATCAGTTGACTCGTGCATGCCACAGCACACAGGGATAGACACTCATCAAAGCTGAATTCATCCAGTTCTAACAATGGCGGAAAAAGGAAGAACTAGGGAAACAGCCCACTGACACTTCCAAAATATTGATTGATTGTGGATTATCTGACTGACCCATCTACCGAGTACAAGCATTACTCGCGAAAGCACTGGAGCACTTCGTGTCCCTTCTAGCCCTGTGGGGAGCCATAATATGGAGTGGGCCATTATTAAAATCAGAGGTCCAACGTCCCAAATTTTGCCTGGTTTCAAACGATCCCAAGAGTTGATCCACTCGTACCCTCGAATCATAGGGCTTTTGTATTTTCCCCTTTTGCTGGTGGGATAATTACAGGACGGATCAACTTGATACAGGGGACAAATTTAAATCTATGTTGTTCGTCAACTGAATTTCGTGAGTGGGAGCCCTGGCCTTTAGACGTGACGCGTTCGTGAAGCCATTTTAATGTATCCATGGGGCAGAGGTGAAGCGCAATGGCATTAATACTGGGGACTATGCAATCAGACAAAGCTCACGACATCAGCAGAGAGCATAAGCACGAGGGCATAGGTATCAGCGATGGCGCATAGCCACTCATCCACGTCCTCCTTTCCAAGGACATGAGCCTTGAAGGCAATTTACAACCTCCGAAACTGACAAGCGCAGATTTTCACTATGCCACCCGGAATGTCTGAGATGGTCGAGAGACCGTGCTTGCGCCGTGCGAGGAGGTCTCGGTCAGTCCATCTGTCAATTCCAGGATATTCAAGCGGAGCTTCTCTTCCATGTTTTGAAGTCGCCATCACACCAAGGGTCTGCTTCGATTGATCAGATTGTCGCGGGCCCTTTTTCATATCCTTTATTTCTCCTTGCTCTCCTTACTCTCCTCTCTCCCCGTCCTGGTCGAGCGTGGGCGGGAACGAGATACCTGGTCCGTGAGGATCCGCCTTGCTTTGGGGCCGATCCTTGATATAGCCGGGACGGCCCCAAACCAGGCCACTTGTAGACTCTTCCCCGTGTTAACGCCCTGTGGGAGGATACCAGCCCCAGCTCAAGCCAACACTAACACGGCCAACCTTTGCGTTGAGTTAATCTTCCGCAAGGGCGTGTCTCAGAAAAAGAACCTCGGAGGGCCATGTCGCCAATCCCTGCAGGGATCCAGAGATCTCTTTCTGAGTGCCTTTGCAAATGACAAGCGCACCCAGCGCTCCGGCGCTGGCCAACCGTGGGGTGGATTTGGCTGATCAACTTTGGGCAGGTCTGTTCCCATCGTCAAGGCCTGGAACGCAACGGTCCCGAGAAAAAGGTCCAGAATGTCAAGCGTGCGTCCAACCGGAATTTAGATGGTGCTGCCTCCTTCTTTCTCCAGCCTAATCGCTCACTGCCAATGCCAACCCATTGTACTTCGTAATACTGGATGTATGCTAAGGAGAGAGGGTAGCGAACACCAAATTGGTCAAGGCCTCTATACCTTTCGCTTGCAGGATAACACAAAAAGTTTTCCTCTTTCGCCTTTCCCCGATGGGCATACAAGATGAAAGATTTGACGATAGAAACCCGGCGATGATACTGAGCAAGCTCTTTACCCTGCATCCTGCCGCTTCAGATCAAAAGCAAGGAAATAGGATGTCCCTCGTCCATTGATTTCTCTGCATGTTGGTTCTCTGATACGCATCCTGACAATTCTTGGTCCGGAGCGACCAGTCCATTGGACAGCAGTCGGGGTGGAACCAAAGGAGGCACGAATAGAGCAGCACTCCTCTGCCTGTCTGCGGAAGTGTGGGGTATTCCACTGCAGTCGATTAAGGGATTTGACCCAGCGATCTACTGTGAGGCGTGGCATCGGAGGTCAGACTAGCTGGTGGCCCTCCCCGCCCCTTTGAGCGACTTCTCTTGTCCGGCAAAAAGTGGAAAGCGTCTTCCTCGGTAATATGGATCCAGCTGTTCTAGTGGTCCCAAGAGGAGCGAGCTTTCGGTACCTTGAAACTGGGTATGAGGAGCCACGATGATCATCAATCTGGGACAGATTCGCCATCTCACCCATTATGCGGGTACTTTTAAGCTTGCTTACGCTCTATCTACGATCGAGTGCATCGCCCATCTTTCCACATTCTACGAATAAAGCCGGCGACCAAAAAGTATCGCAAACAGCCATTGATCCAAGATTGAAGCCAAGACCGAGGATGCAGCCCTCACCTCCAGCCCCTCTTAACGAACCTTCCATCGCATCGGACTCGCTGGTGAGACCTAAGACAGGAAAAGGCAGGGAAATGGTTGGTCCCGGGGAAGCAAGCAATCAGTGGGCGCTTCTCCGATGGCCGCCCGCTAGGTTGCCCGCCAGGCTGGTCAGCCGCCTCGAAAGTCACTAGAGACCTATTCTTTTCAAAACAAAGATGAAGTTGCTCACCAAACTAGCGCGTCCCTCAAAACTTGAGGCCAAGCGACAACCATGCGTGATGTACTCGCGGCAGGCCAAACGTGGCATTCCAGACTCCGATGAAGACATTTCCTTTTTTTCTTTCTTTTTTCTTCCTTCTCCTCCCTCTTCCCAGGTATCTATTAGGTTCTTCTCACCGGTACCATCCTTATCAACATCTGATAGTGATAGTCCAAGGAAGGTCATCCAGACTACTTGGAGACGGAAATATGTGGGCCTTCCGTTGCTTCCGATGACTTTGACTCTTCGTTGACATCACTAAAATCCCCGACACGAACCAAATCAAGGTGGAGAAATGGAAAGAAGAAAAAAGGCCGCCGATCGTCCCGTGGTTGACAGGCTGTGGGAGGGACGCAAACAGGAACGCGCACGTCTTTGGGGACAAGGCAGCCCGGAAAGACAGAGAGGATGAAGAAAAAGGCTTCAGTGTTGCGTCAAAGCTGCTCTGGATCAAGCATACTGCTGCGCTGTGCAGCTGTGGCGTGGCAGCTGCTTGCGACAGCTCCGTGCCCAGCTTTCCCATGTCATACTGTCGTGAAACCAGTGCCCCAATAAAACCTCATACTGTAGTTTTCCAACACCGCCATGGTCCACCGCCTGAAAGTGATCAATGAAAATCAAATCTTCAAGGTCGCCTGAGAGGAGCCGCCGATCCTTCTCAGCCAGAGTCAGCCTGAAGAATGCCCATTGACACATTGACACCCGCCATAGTTTGGGAAAAACCAGCATCGCCGATAAGGCTGGACCGGCGAAGTCTCGTCGAGGGATGACCTTTTGCGGTGACGCAAGCCCTTGCGTTCACGAAATGGAAAACCCACAGCATCTTGACCCCAACACTGTCTAGCTCTGTTGCGAATGGATCTTTTGTTCGAGATGGTGGCATATCAGCTCATCCGCCGCGAGCGGGCGTACGTATCAGATGTCCTGATATGATGGCTTTTTCGGTGGCCTCGGGCATCACAGAAGTGGCGAGGACGCCGGTAGTGAAACCCGAACCAAAAATTTGTGTTCTTGAGCACGCGCTGCAGGGTCGCGTTGTTCTCGACCCAAATTCCAGCCATGACGCAGGATATGGCGTGTCTATGGTTGCGCAGTGCAGCGAGCAAGGGTTCTCCTTCCCGCTGCCCTGCTTCTGCTTTCAAAGTGAGATCAATGTAATCCGCCCTACTTGTTTCTGGGCTGTGTAGGGGACGATGGACGAATCCTTTGACTCGGAGTCTCGCGCCCTCGTGCACTTGGACGTCACCCCGATGAGATCCATCAAAAGATTTGATATACCAACTAAGGCACCACTGATCCCATCCTCTCGGCTTCTCGGCCATTTATTTTTCCCTTTCAAATCCTTACTGCCTTTTTTTCCAAATCACCTCGCCATTTTCTTTTCCCCTTTCCCCTCCTAACGAGGCAGAGTTCCAGCTAGTGCCAAAATGGTAGCCGGTATCAAAATGCACGTGGGTGGGTCTCCGAGCCAGCCCCATGGTGAGAGAGCTTGGTGTGGGCGTCGTGCAGCACCGGGCACATCACCGACTCTGGGGACAGCTTCTAGTCTCAGGCCTTGCACTCAATTAGCTAGCCGGAGCGTGACTGAGGCCACAATAGATATCACGCCAATGCGGCTACCTAGGTGATAGCACCGGCCCTGGTCAATATGCCCTAGTATTGGTGCTGGTCGTTCAGATACAGATACTCCCTGGGATTGACCGTTGGGAGGAGCAGTGGGCTCGTCCATCCCAGTCCGTTCACCACGATACCCGGGGCCACGCCAAGTGAAAACTGAGGGGAAGGAACATTGAAGTGCTGGGGAAAAGAAAAAAGAAAAAAACGGGGCGGGGGTGGGGCCAAGACACGGATGACCTCACAGAGGTTTTCTGGATGCCACTCACGACCACTCCGCCTCCACCAACCGTCAAAACTCCTTTAGCCAAGCTTGATAATATCGAATTGAAGAAACGAAGAGGCTAACAAGACCGAATGTGCGAGTGTTAATGGTTGGCGAAAGAACATTCACTGGTTCCCGGAGCATGTCCAAACCCGTACCTGTCATCTCGTCCGACTCATCCGAGCCGGTTGCCTTGTAGAACTTTAAGGGACACACTACCACGCCCACGCTACAAACACACACAAGCCACACACCTCAGCTAAGCTAGCCTCAACCTCTCGCAAAAGGAAAAAAAAATATGTCGCTCCAAGGTTACATCCCTCCCCTCAATTCGAGGATCCCTCGCATCGCACTTGCAAGGAACGAGGTGCGCTCTCGCTAGCGCACTAAAGCGGAGCTCAGAACGCCATGACGGGGAACATGGAGAGGTCCCAAGAACGTCGACCTCTCGCAATGGGGGAAAGGGATGATGGAGCCGTGAGACCGCGCGGGCAATGAATCCAAATTCGTCGTGACTTCGTCTAAGGAGCGGATCTGGACAAGTATCCAAGAAGCCGTTTCGCCCCTCTTTGAGCCTATGCTCGTTCAAAGGCAAGCGCAGCAAAGCTAGACTTGAACCTTAGATGTTAGCACCGACTTAGACGGAGGGAGAGGCGGGAAGGTGCACTCAAGGAATTCTCAATTATCAGCCTCCTACCCCTCTCCCAACCCAGCCCCCGCGAGTAAGCCCACCAATTGATCGAGGTCAAAAGTATCGAACCCAACCTAACATTGATGGGTCACGAATGAAAATTCCTCCCTTCACTTGACAAATTATCTCACTCCCTTTCTTTCACACGACTTCTCAGCACAGGTCCCGAACACGATTCCCAGCCCGTCCTCGCCATCCCTTCCGCGCGGATCCATTCCCCGCCTTTCCCTAAAACCCCGCCCTCTAGCAGCAAGCACACTCCTTCAGTCCGGCCAGGGCAAAACCTGCGCTACGCATCCGAACGCCGACCCAGCCCATTCCCGTATTCATTACGACCTCGGTACATCTCGCGGCCGTGACTAAGAAAGATCCTCGTCTCCCGTCCATTCCGGAGCCAGTCGTCAGCCATGCCACCCACCGAGCTACCCGAGTCCGGTAACCCGTTGTAAGTCATCAAGCAGAACTCCTCCAAGAAACCCCCTGCTGCCCTCCTGAGCGTCCTCTCCCGCATAGCAAATTAGAGGTCAAGGCCCTGCTCTGGCGGCCACACCTCCATCACTCTATTGCTATCGCTCGTACAATTTATTTCCCCTTGCAGCGGGGTACGCCTGCCACCATTGAAGGGGCTCTTACCTTCGTTTACCACCTTTTCCCTTTCCCTTTCCCCGTCAAGCGTACGCTGTGTGCTTTCATAATCAAACCCTTTTCACCAGACCTCTTCACCAGGCAATGCCCATTTCTTGTGCACTTCGAGTGATCCCCAGCTGGTGGCTGCCGGGCTAACGTCTGTGGCGTCTACGTACCCGCGGAAGGCTGATTTGCCTGCATCGGCTGGTGGTCGCCCCGGCCAGTTTCTCCCAAGCCTCGTCGGTGACGTGTCGGCTGCTTGGCTTGGGTACACTTGAAAGTAGTCCTGCCGTAACCGGTGTGCAGTGCCACAACGGACGTTGATATCAAGTCCCTGCCGTAGATCTTGACAAATCGGACTGTGAACGAATGAAACTCACTTTTTGATCAAACCAGGGTCTTTTTCGATATAACACTTGGAGGTATGTCGTCATTCAAGGTGGAAGCACAGAGGCACTGCCGCCCTTTAGAGAATTCTTCTGCCCCCTCACAAAATAGATCCCATTTCAATAGGTTCATGTGATCCATATGAACATCCATGTCTTGCCTCCTCAGTGAGTGCACCTGATATGCGGTGAAGTGTCACCAAAGGGCACGGTCAAGAACTCGATTGTGTAGTTCTAGCGCTTTTCTAGATGTCGTCTTAAGTTCAAGGATACCCACTGACCCACCCTCCTTGATGCAGGCAATCCTCTTGGGAGAGTAACGTTCGAACTCTTCAAAGATGTAGTGCCCAAGACGGCAGAGAATTTCAGGCAGTATTGTACTGGCGAGTCCAAGAACATACAAGGGAAGCCCCAAGGCTACAAAGGCTCCAAGTTCCATCGCGTGGTGAGTTGACACGCTCGGTGATCCCGCATCCTGTTGGTCGGAGTCTTGGCCGAATATGGCGCGGTCGCGACTGACATTGTCTTGCTCGATAGATCCAAGGTTTCATGTGCCAGGGAGGTGACTTTCTCAAGGGTGACGGTACCGGCTCAACCTGCATCTACGGCACCAGGGCCTTCGAAGACGAAAACTTCAACCTCAAGCACACCGAACCGGGTCTCCTATCTATGGCGGTAAGTCAACTCCCTATCTCGGCCCCCTCCAGCGCCTAGTCGCCATCTCCCCTTGATCGATCTTGTCCGGCAACAGTGAACTTACACGGCAGATGCCTAGAATGCCGGCCCCAACACAAACGGTAGCCAGTTCTTCATCACCACAGTCCCCACACCCTTCCTCGACAACAAGCATGTTGTTTTCGGCAAGGTGGTCAGCGGCCTAGATGTTGTCAAGAAGATCGAAATGACCAAGACAGGACGCAGGGGGAGGGACGTTCCCGATATGGATGTCGTGATTGCCGAGTGTGGTGAGATGTAAGGTCATCCAAACCTCCCAGGAATAGGCCCCGGCGGTAAAATCGACGTCCGCGAAGGGCGGGAGAGAGACAGCCGGGAGTAGGACTTGAAGAAGGGATAAATCGTTACTTGTTCCACATGTCCTTCACCTCGTTTCTAGACTGCATGTAGTCCGGGACTGAACACCACTTTTGATATGTACAACTCTAGGACATATCAAAAAACATTACGGTTGGTAGCCTTGAAAGTCGTAGACACCCCTCTTAGCCCACGTTGGTCTTGTAAGGTTCATTATGTCGATAGGGAGGAGACGGCAACACGAGTTCTACAAAGAGAACAAGAGAAGGTGCAAAGGAAAAAATGTTCAAAGGTGTGGTAGAATTTATAAACTATAAGTCACAAAGAAAACGCGGCCCCTACGCGCTGGAAGAGAAGAATAACTCGACCATGTAAGAAGAAGTAAAGCCAGCCAGGTTGCCAGCTAGACAAAATCAAAGAAGTAGAGAAAGGGGAGAGAGAAAAGAAAGAAAAGGACGAATGCTGTTTCCGACTGCGCCAGTGGTATCGTGTTTTATCCGCCCTTCCAAATGCCACCTTCCTGTATTTGCAGAGAGAGAGGAGAAAAGAAAAACGCCGAAAAGAAGAAATGACAGCCATATTTTGACGTATGCTGCGAGCAAGTGATAAGAATGCAACTGTTCCGAAACTCCAAGGCTAAGACCCATATGAGAGTACTCACTCAAACCTTGACCCTTGTCTTACGCTCGCTTTCCATTGCTATGTAGATGGGTGGAAAGAGAAGCTCCGGAGAAAGCGCGGGAATCGGCTGGGAAACAAGGGATAGAAGTAGAAGGAGAAAGTGAGACTCGGGAAGAAAAGAAAGAAACAAAAGATGGTTGACGCCTTGGATCTATGAATGACCACGGCCGTACATGAGCTCAGTAACCAAAGCCCCAGTTGTCACGGTGCAAGCGAGGTGCCCTAGGAAGAGCCGTGCCGGGAGGCAAGGTAGCCTGAGCCGCCCCGCGAGTGGTAGTGAGGGTAGTGAAGATTGTTGTAGGCTCAATATCCACCGTGACGGTGACAGTCACGGGCTCTTCTACAGAGGGTTCGGCAGTCACGATAACGGTGACGGTGACGGGCTCTGGCTCCGACGTCACAGTGACAGTGACAGGGTCGGCAGTGACGGTTACCGTCCGCTGAGCAGGGCATTTGGTCTCAGGAACGGCAGCGGTTTTGCTGGCGCGGGTCGAAGTATCAGCGGAAGGCGCGGCACCGGGGTTGGGGAGTTGGAAAAGTCAACATCCACGAGGAACATGTTGTTTAGTTGGTCGCCGATCGCCCTGTTGGTCACGTCTTGATCCGCGATAAAACCACCGCTGCTCTGTGCACCTTGGTTTTCCCCAATAGCAGCCGCATTGAGAGAAGCTGGCTCGTTGGAGCCCACCACGGAGATGTCCACCACACTAGTGTATAACTCTGGGGTAGAAACACTCTCTCCTTGAGTTTCATAGATGCCATTGGCCGAAGCATCGACAAACTCAGGCTTGAGAGTAGGCCAGTCCCAGACCCAGTAGAGAGTCAAGGTGGAGCCGGAGGCAATGTCCTCCGGGATGCGAAGGTCAACTTGACACCAGAGCCCGGTGCCCTGGAGGGGTCAGCAGCCTTGGGAAACTCAGCCTTGCGAGAGGTTGCAATCTCGCCGTCATTTTCTTGGTGGCACTGCCCATCGTCGTAGTTACGGGTGGCGATAAGACGGCCGCGGCCATCACCACCAGTCCCTTCTGCATTCCAAACGCGATGTATGCTAAGAAGCTTATCGTCATTGGTCGGCTGTGTGGTCCCGTAGATAAAGACGGTTCCCCGGTTGAGAGGCTTGTTTGCTTGAGTAGCTGGTAGGGAGACGTGCCCGTTCTCTTGATACCGAAGAGCGACCAGGTCGCCGGGGAGGCTTGGAGCATGGGAAATTTATCCGTGTAGGTGCCCACAGGATGTCTTGAGATGTTGTCATCTACATTGATGACGGGACCTTCAGCCCTAGAATTGGGAGGGAGAAGGTGGACGAAGAGATTGTCATTGAAAGTCGGGTCGGAGCGGTCTACCATGCCACGAGGAAAACCTGGCTCGCCCGTGAAGGTTCCATTTGACGCAATGCGGCGAACTTGCTCAACCCAAGAATGAGCCGTGACGGTAGGGATAACAGCGGCAAAGGCAAGCCCCGCCGAGATTGATTTCAATGAAAAATGCCTTGGCATTGTGAATGTCTGAAATGGGGATGAAGCTTCGCAATAGGTTAGCTTAGATCTAGAGTCGGTGTTTTGTAGAGAGGATTCAATATACCTGTGACTTTTTGCTAGTTCCTGTTTTCTGGTGGGAGGAGACTTGGTACTTCAATATAAACCGACCCAAATCAAATCAGATAGACTAAGAGCCTTCGGCTATCTAGATTTGACTTGGAGAGAGAGGTGGTGAATAGAGGAATACCCTATATATGGGAAGTGAGATGATTTGGGTTTGTGTATAAGGGAAGATGGGATGGAGATTGGGAGTGGATTTATGTGTTGTGTGTAGACGCGTGTGTTTATATGTTGGGGTCCAGGGCTATCGCGTGTTTGTGTGTTGAAGAAGAGGGTTTCTATGTTTAGAAGGTGAAAGAAGGGTATAGGGCAAAGGTGTAGAACAGGTTGAGGCTGTGAATATGAGGCTGTGAATAAGGCAGGTGCAACCAGGCTAAATGAAGAGCTCGTCGAGGGAAGGAGGGCTTCGGATCAAAGTTGATGGGTATGTGCGGTTAAACCGTCGTCAAGACGAGAATATGAAAAGGGCGCTCGGCACCAAGGTACTCTTTAAAATAAAATAAAAGTAAAAGAAAAATCACATTCAGACCGGCTGAGTCGAAGAAGAGAAGAGGACAAAGGGAAATGGAGAGAGTCGGCGGTTTTCCTATGCGCGCATGATTGCTTGTCGACAAAGCCTCGCTGTGGATTTGGATAAAAGCACCTTCGCAATAGCGCCTGCCGCCGAAGGATCACAAAGATTTGGTCGCGAAGCAGATGTCGGCCGCAACGGTAAAGCTGACAAAAAAGAGGCGGTTTGCCAAAATAGGACGGATGATCGATTATCCTTTGGTGAGGTGTGGTGCGAACAACGATGAGAAGCTTTGAGTTAAAGACTAAGAGGCCGAGAGGTCCAAGAGCTTGTGATCCCTTGGGGGAAGCTTTGAATATGTAGGTGCAAGAGGAGATGGCAGAATGGAACATGCAGAGAAGGGAAGCTGCACGCTTATCTAGGAAGTGAAGATTCGATTCGCCGCGCGCAAGGATGTGGTAGCATCCGACTAAAAGCATAGAAAAACGAGGGAAGTGCGCAACCCAAAGACTAGACGGCAAGGAAAGGGAAAAGGCCAACGGGTGGACGGCATGGACGGGTCGCCGAAACAGGTCGGTGCAGGTAGGGTGCGCCGGGTAATGAGAGGAGAAATCGAGATGATGCCCGAGTTGAAACAATGTTTCAACCCGGTGCAAGTGAGGAGAAGAGCTTCCAAAGGGATAGTACGAAATGTAAAAGTCTCTGTTTCGATTCAACCCCCAAGACCTACTCGATGCCCCGCTCGAGTGGCTCTGGTGGAGAGGCGATCTACTTTCCAACCCTGTGAGGTCCCCGTTTTCCCTCCCTTGATGTGGCTCCTCACTCGCTTCACCCGATGCGCTTGCGGATCGACCAGCCTATGCCTTGGTGATGAAGCCGGGGGTCTGAGGAGGTGGCCTAGCTAATTTGGCATTTATCGTGAGAGCCGCGTTCTAAGGGCTTGAGCTGGCGTCTGATGAACGGCTCATGGTCACCACTCGTTGGGGTGGCATGGGTTGCGGTCCAAGATGTCTGGATGTCGTAATGATTGGGGCTCGACTGTTGCAGTCATTCTGGTCCGGCAAATAACACCCACGTCTTGTCAAAGCTGCTCAAGGTTCCAGTGGCGCTCGGGACCAGGGGCAGGTGAAATGTTTGACAAGGCCTGGGGTAACAGCCCGCAGTACCAAGTACTTTAATTCTTTAAGCGCCCTCAGCCCTTTCAAGTATATACAATGTGAGAATATGCCAATTAGTAACACGAACAGCGGGTGAGACTTCAAGTAGTTGGTACTTTGTGTACGGGTGCATTCACTTTCTTCCTGTCAGGGTCCAAATGCACCTCATCCAGTGCTTCAGGCCCGCGCACCCCCGTTTCGCCCCTTGCCGTCCCAAAATAGGCAATTCATCTAGAACCACTGGGCAAGGGCGCTCACGGTTCCACGAGTTCTTCCCGAGATCAAGTCAACCCCCATGTCGGAATCGTCGCACTAAGCCATCGGGCGAGGCCCGCACCAGCCAGGCACTGGCTGAGGAGCCTCGTCCGTAGTCCACGCCGGGCAACCTCGTTGAAATACAGAATGCACGAGAGATGAAAAATTGATTCTGTAGGCGGCTAAGAGATCATGCGGTGGACCAGCCCACTCGTGGCCTCACGACAAGAGCACGTCGACTGGTGGGTAGCGATTCTCCACGAGTCTGCTGTCGTAAGAGAATGGGTCTCCAAAGTGGTTACTCGCAATCTCGTCAAAAGAAGAAACAAAAAGAAAAGAAACCCATTAATAAAAGACACTCTGCTGTGCGCAGCCGCATCTCTTCGCTCTTCCCGTCTAAAATTAAACTTGGTGGAAATTAATAAGCCATGCGCCCTGTCTTCATCGCCTGAGCGCGCCTATCTTGAAGAGTCTTTAGCCAGCATCAAGTGACAAGCGCCTCTTTTCAAGTCATCGAAGCCAGTCGCATCTGCTTGTCGAAATTTGATGGCCAAGACTCGATAGAGGCAATGGAAGGAACGGCCGACGCTGTGCTGAGGGACTCGCGCGCGTCGGCGGAGATCACGAGGATCGATTTTGTCTATCGATTTGTCGATTGAGTCAGGTTCCCGGCTTTTTCTTCCAAGTAAGCCCCTTTGCCCTCACTTTCCTCGCTTGTTGACTCGCCTCTTCTTGACTTGTAGCGGAGCGTGGTGGAAGTTTGGCTTCACTCATGAATTGATCAATGTTTCCCGTTTCGGCGCCCACGTTTCAGGACTTTGCCTCTTTCTTCCTCCCTACCCCAGACTCTGTGCCCCGTGCTCCCTTGCTGTGCATCGATCTCGAGGGGGTGATTGATGATTCTCTCAATTATCAGATTGAATAATTTAACCTTTCTTGGATCTTCTGATTTGCTCATCCGTGACCCACGCCTTTCGCCCTTCGTGCGTGTTTCATCTCAACTTTTCACATCCTGGTTCAACTTTGGAGATATGTGCGCCAAATACGCCAAAAGGCAATGATAGACTTGTCGAACTCTTTTCGGAGGACCACGAAATCTCATCGAGAAGGCTGGAGGCAAAAGGTGTCTGGCTGCGCGCTAAAACATTCATATCATGCATAGATGTAGGCATAGGCTCTGCGTTACCCGCCCCGGTGGTGTCCCACTTTCTCGCTCTGCTCCGAACTCGCCAACTCCGCGTTCGAGGTGGAACTTCTTCCGCCCCAAGCCATTGAACGAGTGAATGCCTTGGTTGTGGCGGCTTGGTCACTTTGGGGCGACTTTAAGCACGCTCGCTCCCACTCGAAACTCAAAAAGACAACCCCTTCCAGCGCAGAGATCGTGGACTCTAACACAGCAGCCGTTCAATCTAATTCTCACATTCCGCAGAGGATTCGGCTCTTCGGCCATCAGAAATGTCGTTCCAATGACCTGCGCTGGCTTGAAAAGTTTTTGGCACTCGAACAAGGTTGATGGCAGCCCACCATCACGTCCCACTCCGACATGTCGCGTTTCAGACCCGTCCGTCCAGAATCTTGTCTGGTAATACACGCCTCCCAGACAAGGGCACGGACGCAACCCTTCACGGCTAATCGGTTCAAACTGACGTTGGTGATTCAATTCTTGCTTTGACGCAGGCCATCAAAAGGGCCCCTTCATTTGGTTTTTCTTTTTTGCTTTCACTATCACTAGACCGGCAGAGATCGGCTCCCATTATGCTTCTTGAGTGATGGCCACAAGAAAAATAAGGATTCAGCCCAGCGGCCTCGTCCTCTCGGGCCTTCCCTAGCTGGCATTTGATATCTGCAGCCTATCCGATGACCTGCAGTCCCGCTGCCTTGTCGCCTCCTTCTGGAGACTATAGTTAGGAATGATTCACTGACTGTCTAGTAAAAGCCATGAGATGGATGGGCAGCGTGCGCCTTTCGCCTTTTATCGTGGCTCACTTCGCGGGACAATGGAGTTGTGAATAAGAGTCTATGATTTGAAAACATTTGAGGAGTATTAGGTTGCGAAGTAGTTCTCGCTTATAAAACTGAATCAGAAAGAAAAGGTGAACGTCTAGAAAATATATCATACATAGGACTAACCCTCCTCGAGCGCTGTATACGAGCAGAAAGCGAAAACGTGGGCACTTCAGTTAATACATGACCCAAAACCCTGAGCAGCCCTCCTGAATCTAAAAGGAACTTAAAATGAGGCGTGAAAGCAAATCAAGAACGCCCACCATGAGGCGGCGGGTGGAACAAATCGTGGTCAGCTCAAATCAGCATAGCATACTCGTTTCCCGGAAGCCAATCCTACAACAAATAGGCCCATTTCATAAGTCATTCATTCATGCTCGGCCACTTACTCTTCTTCCTCCCCGTCTTACCCTCTTGGGCCGATTAATAAGTCTCTGAACGCCCTTGAGGGGAGAAGACCGGTGGCCATGTCGACACCCCCGGCCCTCGCCCTCTTCGTAAATCTCTGACTTCCGAGGCTCGCTCCATGAAAGAGCGATCCCGCGGACGCTGGTGGCGATAGAACTCCACTCCCGAGGGGGCAGCCAGCGCCGGTGTGCATGGCGGCGTCCTCCCACTCGGGGTAGAGCGCCATGTCCAGAGGCTGCGCCGCCCAGGGTTCCTTGGGTACGGTAGGGTCCCAAAGGATCTGGCCCATGGGGTGCTCTGCCGGCCATTCGGGGTTCCTGTCCGCCGGCCCTGACAAAGGCAGCAATCCGGTATCGGTCCCAGCAACCCATGGTTTGATATCGGGTAACGCCGTGTTCCATGGTTGGAGGGACGGATCGCAGACAATATCGTCATAAACCATCCCCGCAGCGGCAGCCATGGTCATATTTTCCGTCAAAAACGGGTTGCTCCCGGGCGTCCCGGGAGCCTCTCCAGCAAAAGCGAGCTCGTCTGCCTCTGCATGAGAGTTGGAGTCCCGCTGGGGGTTTGCATGAATCCGAACCCGCCCTGGCTCAGGTTTCCGGGAGACGGAAAGCTATCGACGGGATACGTGCTTCCCAGCATCGGCGAGGCCGTTGCTCCGTCGACCACCCCCAACACTGGAAAATCTGCTGCTTGTGCCTCCAGTGCTGAGGAATGAGGGCCGGGTACGCCCCGTTGTGGTTCCACGACAGATAGTTGCCGTGGCAGACGACGCCCGATTTCGCCGGGTCCGCCTCCAAGACTAGATTCTCCGGCGCTAGAAAAGTAGCTTCGGGAACGGTGGGCTCCTCGGATGGAACGTATGCATTTCTCATGTGATATTCCGAAGTTGGGTCGTTTACTGTGAGGAACCGCCACTGCGCAGTGGGCGGCTCTGAAGCGGACCACTTCTTCCTGCGAGAATTGTACTGGTGTGTATCCTTGAACTTCCAAAGATAACGGCCCGGCGCTGCCAGTCCTCCATTGTGTTGTTGAGATGAGGGCCGTAGGGGCGGTGCTCCAGAGCTCCTGGACCATGCCAATTTGACCTAGAAGGCCCTGCTGTGTGGGCACGCCGCCAGAACCACACTCCTCGCCATCAGATTTCGAGGCCTGCCCCTTTCGTTTGCGGCTCTCTTCGGGCGTGGCGTTTGGGTACTCGACACAGTTGGTCAGCATGCTCGCCCACTCTGCTGCCGGGAAAGGCACCCGTACATCCTGCCGCGGACGGGAAAGGCAGTCACAAGGCGCATTCCCACTCCCGCACCCGCTCTGATGACTAAATTGCACCCCCATCTCGTCCGTATGTTCTAGGTACAAAGGCTCGTTATCGCTGCAGAGTTCCTGAGGCCGTGCGAGGCGTGTAGTGCACTTCCACATGTGATTCCGGAGCGCCGGTTGATCGATTGACATCTCGACGAGCCCGTTGAGCTCCGAGCCAAGGGGAAGGGGTGTTTGTGAAGAGCCAGCGTAACCGTCATCTCGATGATTGTAAGAAAATCCTCGTCTTGCGGCTGAGGAAGGGCGAATTGCCGGTGGAGCTGGGGGAATTGCGTCTCCCAGTGCTTCGTGATGTCTTTGACAGGACCGGAATAACTTTGGGAGATGGTACTTGTATAATCATGTAGAACCATGCTACCGTCTCGTCCACGACGTGTCGACTCACCATCCTCAACACTCATGACGAGGTAAGGGTACTTGGTGAGGTCGAGGGCCTTGCCACTTCGGTCGGTAATCGTCCTGTCCTCTCGAAGTTGGAGCTCAGGAGACGATACGAAGATCTGGCATGTCTTTGGCCTCACGGAAACTGTCAAATTCTGTGCCAGGAGGTGAGCAAAATAATCGTAGTTTGGCCTGACATTAGGGAACTGCCCGCTGGCAAGGGCCGCTAAGACTGGGTTGGATTTTAGCGACTGGGACTCGATAGAACGACCGTCATCTTTAACGCATCGTCTCTGCTCTTCATCTTTTGTAGGGAAAAAGAAGTGGACTACCCCAGTTGAGAGTCGGTTAGTTGTTGGGGTTCACAGATACCCGGTAGGAAGGTTAGGAAAGGTAGGGTTAATACGACGTACAAAAACGGTGGTCTTTAAAAAGTTCTTCAACACCTGGATATGGCTGGATATGGCCTTCCTGTCCCTCCTGTTTGCCGGGCTTGGTTGTGTTCCCGGCGGAAGGGAGTTGCAATAAGCCATCCAAACGTACATGCTGATGATCATGTTCCTTCCGTGTAAGGTCTGATGCATAAAATACTTGGACCTCCCCATATCGGGGATGAGGAGGAGAGCTGTCAGGAAGTCATGTCAGAGTCCCGCGTCGGGAAAAAGAAGAGAGAACGAGGGGAAGGAACTAGATCTGGACGAAATCCCCTAGGCTTACCATCGAGAAATGGATCTTCGAGAATGGGTGGCCATTTTTGACTCTCTTTCTCCTCTTTTGAGACTGCCTGCTTCTGTACTGCCGAAACTGCTCATGACTGTAAAATGGGTTCATACCCCCTTTGTGCCAGCTGGTCTTGGACATGCCGTGCTGAACCTCGAGGCTTTCGGATGGCTCACACTGCGGTAGTAGTGCGGCAGCGCCGAGGAAGTGTGTCTGACTCGCAGCCTTCTGGGCTTCACCGCGCCCAACGGACATGTCGAATTGCGTTGGCGGCGCACGGAGAGGAAGAGCCGACAAGCTATTTACATGGGCATTGCCGTTCAACTCGCCTAGTGGGCGCCGATCTCTGTCGTCTAAAAAGTAACCGGGGTAGGGGTGAGAATGATCCATACCACGATGTGATCGTTGTGGCTAGCTAGGCGGCTCAGGTGGGCCTTCGCAATCCGAAGGATAATATGGGCCCAGCCCAAACGAAACAGTTACCGTGGGATGATTTCAGAGAAGAGGGTCGGGGCATGGGGGTTCTGAACACAGACGAGGATTCAATGGGGTCGATATATTTGGCCTCAGACTGCTCGACAAAGGATTGCGTGCTTGTGTTCAAGGTCAACGGTCAAGGAAGAGATTTCTCGAAAGATGTTTTAATACCGGGCAATAGTTGCGCAACGGGGGAGAGCTTGATAAGGCAAGCTTCTGCGCAATGATGCCTTCTTTAGACTTGGGACGGAAATGGTAGGGTATTCAAGGGGAGAAGGTGGGATACGTCTAGTCACTTCAGAAAGCCTCAAAAATTTCGCCGAGAACAAATGAGACGAGCATGCAAAGGGAAAAGAGGGTAAAGCAGCCACGGCATCTGTACTTCCCTTGCTTCCTACTCGCCTATGGGCGGAGAGTAAAAGAGATGATACACATCGCAAGAGCCAGGCATGTGCAGGATGGGATCATCGAATATCCCTCTCCAAGCGGACGGCGTGATCGCAAACGGCTCTTCTCTAGCCGCCTTTCCCTTTTCCCTCACCACCACTTCCCGACTCCTCCACCTTCTTGACATTTTCTCCCTTCCGTCCAAAGAACCTGCCCTAGTCGGCCGGAGGGGGTGTCTGACTTCTGCAGCGAGGGTGGCAGGAAACGGCGCCAGAGGTCTCGCACGAACAGGTGCCAGCGCCTAAGTCCGGACTAGGGTGCTCGTGTAAGGAAGTGGAGGGGAGTGTTGTTCATTGCTGAACGTTTTCGGGACAGGCGTAGGAGAAGGGAGAAAATAGCGTCGTTCCCAAAAAGGCCACGCGGTGGTAGTCAGGCCGGGGATCGAGAACGCCACAGACGTTGTCAATTGGCGCATGGAGTGAATAGACGTTTTCCTTTTTCTTCTTTTTCGCCTTTCTTTTTCTTCCCTGCCTCTTCGTGTTGGCGGGCGGTCTGGAAGCAAGGGATGGCCATCTCCTCCGCCTCCTTCGGAAATAGACACACCGCAGCCTATGAGGGTTCCTGCGCCGGGCTCAGGAACGCAAAAGAGAGATCTTGAAACAATTAGAAATGTAGGCAGCGACCATAATAGGGAAACCCAAGACCTGCGAAGAAACATCGTCATCATCGCAACCGGGAGATCTCGTGTCTTGAAACGACACGACATTCCGGATGTGGAGGCTTGAGCTCGAGGCTCGCACTCGGAGAAATAGTCAAGGGATTCAGACACAAGCTTCTTCCAGATGCGGGGCAGCCACGGTAACCTACATCTACATTAGACAAGGATGGGCTAACCCATCAAGGGAGGACAGACTGGCAAACACCTTGCTGCAATTTTCCAGCCTCCTCAGAGGTCCGGCTCTTTCTACCAATGGCGAAAGCCCGATGGATTAATGCCAGGACAGAGCCAACTGTTGCCTCGATGGAGAGAAACTAAAGCCGGAGGTGGCTGCTTGTGGATGATGAGAGATAGGGACTGACAGCATGCAAGTGATTGATGCGGCAAGCTAAAGGCTACATCATGTAAGGCTTCTAGACTATTCCCATCCTTGCTTATCCCAAGTCCATGTCATCCTCCTCGTTTCCAATATTCACTTTGGTGCGCCCCCTGTTGGTCAATTGCTGCATCGTCACCTTGTTTACTTGTCCGCCAATCTTCTTCTGCATCCTCGCAATCTCCTCCTCGGCGTCGATGGTCTCGGCCTCGGCAAAGTCAATGACGAGCTTCCGTCCTAATAGATGGGTATCTTTCAAGGCGCTTATGGCGTTCTCCGCCTCCCTGGGTGTGACAAACTCAGCGAAGGCAAAGCCTCGTGACTGATGATTGAACTTTTCGGCACTCTCACCGCCCTGAGTTCTCCGTAGGTACTAAATAGTGCACGCACGTCCTTCTTGGTAGCCTCGAATGGCAGGTTCTTGATGACAATTTTCGTTCTCAGATTTGCCGCCTTCTTCGCTGCGTCCTCGCGCCTCCTCTCTTCGGCTGCGTCTAAACCTCTATGCGAGGCTTTGACGGCCAGGGTGTGGCCAGCTAGTACAAATCCGTCCATGGACTTGATCGCTGCCATGGCCTGGGGCTTGGTCCGGAATTCGACGAAGCCAAAACCCATGCTCAGTATTTGGCCCGGCTTCTTCGCATCTGTCTTTGTCTTGACCCTTGCAGAAACGAAACCGTCCAGTGAGCTAAAGGCATTCGCCAACTCCTCTGTTGTGGTTGCAAAGTTAAGATTGCGGACATAGAGTGACGTTGTTGGAGTGTCGCCCCCTGTTCATCTTCACGTTCCAAGAGCTCCGTCACCGACAGTTTCTGCACCCCATTCGACTTCTCCTTTGGCGGCGCAGGGCCCACTGCAGGATTGATAGTAGGTGCATTAACAAAGAGGTTAAGGGGGCCTTTTCTAGAAATAAAATTGAGTCGCGAATTCTCCTGTACGCCAGCTTTGCAAAAGCTACCTTGGCATCAGCTGCTTGTGCAAATTGGACAATAGCAATCGTGCCACTTGGAGGCATGAGCACCTGCAGCACCGTTCCATGTTCTTCGAACATGGTCCTTAATTCATCAATCGTGGTTCCAAAAGGGAAATTTTTGACTAGGATGGCCGTTTCACCGCGCTTGTTCGACTTGAATGCATCTAAGTCGACCCCGTGAGATTCAAAGTAGGCTTTTGTTTCCTGAATGACTGTGGTCTCCGCGATGGCCTGCTTAACACCAGCATCTGCGGAGGTGGGATCCAGCAATTCCGCTTTCGAGATACCTAGGCGATTGGCTATAGATGCATTCACGGCATCTTGGTTCATGTAAAGAGAGTTCCAATTGAAGGTGTTAGACGCAGCCTCGGCCCGTTTTCGAATCAGGTTCTGTTTCTTTAGAGGAAGCTTAGAGAGCGCAAACTCGTCAAGATTATTGTCACGTTTTGCTGCGGCCGGCACGATGTGAAGGATTCGTCCTTGGAAAGGAATACCGTCCGAGTTTTGGAATGCTTCGATGGCGGCATCTGCGTTGGCATACAGCACAAGTGCGTAGCCCTTGCTTCGACGTGAAACATCAACAGGCAGGTGTACCTAGAAAGGCCATCCATGATTAGCTTTCCAAGAAAAACAAAGAGGAAAAAAAGCGCCATGTTCATTGTAAAAAGATACTGGGTATAGCAAGACCCAGAACAGCATGAGTATCAGATCACGAGTGGCATCTACTCCACTCGCCCAAGGTTTTTCACATCAAGCGCGATTGGCGTCAGATGTCCCTATCTTGGGTTCATCATTTACAGCTGGTCTGTCTCGCAAGCCTACACAACAACGGGGCTTACAAAGGGGATAGAAAATAGAGGTGATATCATACCTCTTCAACAGCTCCGAACTTTTCAAAATGACTTCGAAGATCGGCCTCGGTTGCGGAATATGGCAAGTTCCTTGCAAACAACCTTGATGTTTTCCGGATGGTTTCCAAATCTTTGTTTGGATTGCTTGCGCCTTGCGACGGCTCAGGAAGTAGCGAGTCTTGCATCACTTCGACCTCTTCTGCGGCACGGGATATGTCATCCGTTTTGTCCTGAGCATCTCCCATGGGTATGTCTCTCGCTTCCACCGGCTCTTTTACTTGCTGGGGCGTGGGCAGGGGCGGTAACGGCTCATCATCATCCAGAAGATCAAGCAATCGATTGGTACGAGACCGAAGCCACTCATCGTCGGTAGCTCCCTTAGAAGAGGCTGGTTGGGCAGGCTCAACGACCGCGTCCTCTGGCAGATTACCTGCCTCGGTAGCATTTTGGGTTTCCGAAGATACGGGAGGGGTGTGGAGGGTTTTGGGGGTTGGGAGGACGGGGTTGGTAGGGCTTGAGGGTTGGGAGGCTGCCGTTTTGAAGGGATAGCCTCGTATTCGTCGTCACTCTCCCCAGCGTCAAACTGGACCTGAGGCTGCCTGTCTGCCTCCGACGCGAGGTTGACGTCAATTCCAGTCGCCCTCTTGTTATTCGGTTGCATGACCTCAAGGAACTCTCGAAAGGTGGGATCAGACTCGTCGGCCTCGCGTTTCCGCTTCTTCAAGTTTGCGTCACCTTTCTGGTTCGGAACGACTGCCAGTACGGAAGCCGCATTGGAACCCGAGGCTTCCACAGAGATGTCGCTAGACACAGGGGCCCTTTTAGAGAAACATCTCCAATCTAGGGCTCAAAATGTTAGTCGACGGGGCGGGGGAGGCGGGAGACACAAAGGTGGACGTACCGGCCTCGCGATCTCAACTGCGAGTTTGCTCATACGTATGAACGTGCGATTGAAGTATTTCACCGCGCTAGCGGCTTCATCTGGTGTTTTATAGCCAATGTAGCCAATGCGTCGGTTGGGAATGATTTTGACATCCGTCACTTGGCGACCATTTGCACCAAAATGGGTTCTTAATTCCTTTTCTGAAATTGTCGAAGGCAAGCCTTTCACGAAAATCCTCGAGGATGCCATCGTGGCGATCCAAAGTAGGAGGCAGAGAGAGTCATAGAGGTGTCAAACGTCCTGCCGGACGGGGAGTGGAAGAGATGGTGGGGAGGATGTCAAAATGCGTCCAGAAGTTTTTATGGCAGGAAAAAAATTTCCACATTTGACCCCAAAAGTTTTGGAGGTACAGTCGTTATCAGTGTTATCTTCACGTGACAACCCCACACTTGGAGTTGAAGCTTCATTACCTAGGAAACTAAGAGCTTCCAGGATTGATTCAGCACCTCGGAAACAGGGGAAGGTGGGCTGGCTTTGCTACGGATCGAAGACTTCATTCCACGACCTTCCTCCACCATCTTGAGACTGGTATTTCCACCGCTGGAATAAAACAGGCTCGTTTAACGCCGAACGCAGATATTGTAATTGTAACTGATCTCATATTTCTGTTTTTATAATTCAATTCCTTCGGACTTGAAATTTAGCCTTGTGAGTCCGGCCCCGTCTCTGGTGTTTACATCACCAGGAGCAAATAGGGGTCACAGGAAGGCTTTGTTGTGAGGACACCCCCACTAACACATCGACTAGAAAGAGCATACCAAATCAATAAAACCTAGACTTCTATCCTAGGACACGTGCCGCTCTCAATATGGCTGACCGACAAGCTCCCGCCTCGCCCATGGCGAGAGAGGCTGGAAGGTAAGCTTCACAACAATTCACAATTACCTGTGTCGAGCGGGGACCGTTTAGATACTAACGGAGCATGTGGAAAATAGCGCAAATCAAGTCTGCCGACATGGTAAGGAGGATATGAGAGAGACGATGAGATGTGTCTTGAAGAACAAGCTTGCTGAGGCGCGGTTACAGAATGAAGATATGCAACAAGAGGCTGTCGAAGTCGGTAAGCATTCAACCCCCTCCCTCCAAGCTCAAAGGCTCTGCAATTTTATGCCGTAGTCTCTAACACGCTAGAATAGCCCAAGAAGCCATGGCCAAGTTCACGGTTGAGAAGGTCTGTTGTTTACCCACTCTCACTCAACCTCGGAAGGCTTGAATGATCGCATGCTCACCTCCATTCAGGATATCGCACAACACATCAAGAGAACCGTAAGAGCCCTCCGCCGTTTAAAAGCTAACACCTCATGCCACGAATACTAATCCGATCACTCAGTTCGATGAACGTAAGGGACCGACCTGGCACTGCATCGTCGGTAGGAACTTTGGCAGCTTCGTAACGCATGGTAAAGCCCTCCTATTTCCCACCCCTTGATAAGAACGTGGTTTAGGGCAGGTCGCTAATGCTCATACGACGTGCGCACAGAAACCAAGCACTTCCTTTATTTCTATCTCGGCCATTGCGCGATTCTTCTCTTCAAGACTCAGTAAAGATGAACCACCCTGACTACTCGAATGATGGCCGGGGCGCATATTAGTCCCCTGAAGCTAAAATCGACCTTATATGGGGATTGCATACCATGATGTCTTTGTGGGGATGAACGGGGAGATATGTACAAATGTATTGGCGCAGGGCCAGGGATATTGCTTCAGAGGCGCGGGTTTTGGTTTCTTATGGGATGTTCGGTTTGGGGATGGTATAAAAAACCGTAAGAAATGACTTTCCTAGCAACGCAAGGCCCCAATGGCGGACACCGAGCCAGGCCAGACTAGACGGAATAACCCTCAAACGGTTTTGCACCGCATATGCTGCTCGTGTCTTTATTGTGTGCTACAGCCAACTTGATGGAATCGAAACCATTGTATTCCACATGGCCACCAGCCCTCCAACTCCTATCTGTCCGATTCTAGCCTGCGGCCACCGGACTACACTCTAACTCGAGCTCCCGAACCCTTCAACCGACTGTTGAGCCATGGGCTAAGCCTAGATGGCATGGGTTAGCCCTGACTAGGGATATTGGAGGGGCAGAAGCAGGTGAGATTGTGCCACTCCTTCACCTCGTGCCATATTGAAACATTCCATATGTTGAGATAGAGACTGTCTTAGCATTGCTTGCCCAGCCCGAAGCCGATCGACGGTGCGTTTGGTTATTCGGTGCAGCCATCATATAAATGAAGGTACCGGGTTCATCGCCTTGATGCAACTAGTGTCAAGGACTAGCACCTGCAATGAAGCTATCCATCTTTCATCAAGGATCTTCGTTGTGGCCCTTTTCTCCCGAAACAGCAGAACCGAGAACCACATTGGGTTTATAAAGCCATTTCCTACATGTAACCTATGATATGGCTTTATGTGAACATCTAACGTCCAGATGAAGTTGAGGAGGCCATGTAATAGATTCAAAGCGATGGAAATCATTGCTTACTGCACGGGTCACCCGTCAAGAAACGCAAGGCATCTGGAAGCCAGACAACTCTACGTACCCAGCGTAGACTGTTCCCTCGTTTAGAAGCTGCATCTATGAATGCTGGGGCGAATTTGACGGGTTTAGTTGAAACCATTGACTGACCCACTCTGCACCCGAGTCATGCTTCCTAGATTCCCCGCGCAGAACCTTTATTTGTTTCTTTTCTTCTGGCTTTGATTTAACCCATGTTTCTGACCCGAGATGGATTTGTAGAAGGGGGTCTCGGCCAAAAACCTGTAGTCTTTATATAATACCGGGAGGGGAAAGATTTAGGGTATTGGCACGTCGGACCACTATGTCAATGATCGTAACGGAACCTAAGGACACTAATTGATGGCTCAAGGTTCTTGGTCCGGCTGAACTCATTTCAGGAGATAACGACAAAATAAAGCGGTATGATCGCCCGACCGCTTGGTCGTTTGATGGGGTATTAGACTCCCAGGCCTGGCGCTGGCCAGTCAATAACTCATTGTAGGGGCCCACCGGAAGTATTTGCTCAATGCTTTTGTCCCTTGAGACTTCAAACTGGGACGCGGCCGACTTCAGACGAATTTTTGGTGGTGTGAATGATGAAGGGGGAAGATCGCAAGGTAGTCTCCCGCCTCTAAAACCCGGCACCAACCGCTCTCCCTCCTCACCCACACCTTGAGTGGAGTGCCGACTCCCTCGTGGGGCAGCGACTTGAAACCCGGATTCACCAAAGAGGGATTTCCACCCTTGCCGGATCTCAATCGACGCATTTTCTGCATGCGAACGCTTGAGATCCATTGACTAGATACGGGTTTCCGAAGACATCCATGACATCTTCCACTAAAATGCTTGATCTCTGAAAGCTCATATGGGTCCGTCTTATGGAGAGATGGAGGGAGAGAGCCTGAAAAACATCCCTCCTCCAGTTGGACACCATCCCTTCCACCCACCTGCCATTATTCCGGGTATTTCCATTGGATGTCACCCGAGGTTGAATTGAGGAAGGGCGGAAGGACCGTCAGCTCCGCCTACATGTGAGCTGAAGCACAAGAATACCCTCTATTTTAATCGTCAGTCTTGGGCGGCTGCCTTTTGGTCAATATATTTCCAGCCCACAGAGGTGGGGAGTCTAGAGGGCGTTTCTTCTTTTGGCCCTTCTCTCATGTTCCCCTTTTCAATTGTGCTCCTCTCACTCTACACGCTCACACTCTTTGCAAAAGAGAGCTCGGCCGGTGCCACTGTTCATGGGGCCTAGGATGGGGAGAGCAGCCGTGGTCGCAGTAAGCGGGGGCGGGGAGATGCGAACGTGGACGCGGACGTGGCTATTGCGCGGCACAATTAATCTCGAGATGAACATCGGCGGAGACACTGGCCATAATTAACTTTCCACATCGCCCTCTTTTGTTCCCGAAACCCAATTTGAGTCTTCTTCTGGACTTGCCTGGTCCCACTTGAAGCCTGCAAGAGTATCGAAGGAGGGGCGTGGGCATTTTCGCGGTTGCATCAATCCTACATGACTCCTCGCCTTGTACTCCGTGTGCAGAATTTTGCATTCGTACCGGCAGCCCATTTCTGAAGGATATTGAACGATTCTCCTCTAGGAACTGATCGCTGCAACGAGTCATCGTGCCCTTCATTGCGCCTAATCCCGGGGAGGATTTGGTCAGATGGGGGTCCCCGAGTGCGAAATGTTTGAACGCAGCCTCAGCTTCACTGATGGGGGCGAACATCCCATTATTTTTCAGTTGCCCTGGACTAGGCCCGTCTTCCCCCTCCCGTAGCTCGATTCAAGGGGGCAGAGGAAGAAAGCAAGAATAATTATAGAGGGAAAGGTTTCGGAAGAAGCCCTGAGTTTACGGGGTTGCGCGGAGAGGAGAACAAGTTTGTCGATTCTCTCTAATACTCCGCAAAAACGGCTTCCGCGCCGTCCGACCATTGCAGGTAATAATCAAGAGTATGTATGGGTGGGCCTCTGTTTGAGCATCTAGAAGTACCTCTCCTCCCTCCACTCCACGAGGTGTTGTTCTCCAATGGTTTGTTATGGAACCCACCCGCCCGTCATCGCAAGAGCACGCGAGAAATGCCTCTTCCAGAGGACGGACAACCTTGGCGCCGCTCCCGTCGAAACCGCTAAACCGTTCCGAGGTCAAGCAGCAGCTAAGGCTCGTGACTAGCGTTCCCAACTCATCCGAGAGCTCAACTAGCGGGACTCACGACAGACGCTATCGGTCAACCACAAAAGACCGGGAGCGGGAAATGTTGTTGTCCCCCAAGTCTGTCGATGGACCAACATCTTAGCTCGCTCTCCGCTTCACTGACCACCCACATAACCTCTCAGCCATACTCGGAACGAAAGAACTGGTGGCGGTGTCTTGCTTGGGGGCTTGTCACCGAGAGAGCCCGCTCGTTCAGTGATGCGGTCCAAGTGAACTATTTTGTACGTATTGTTACCTTTCTCGCATCTTCACTTGGATCCGTCCAGAATCCAAGAATAGCTTTTCGAGGAGGGTCCGATCCTTGTCGGCGGCTACGCTTAGGGTGACATCACTCAACCTCTCTGCAGCTGATAACAGTTGTGGAACACAGGCTGACTGAGGGACCCTTATTACAGGCTTCGTATTTACCCTGGACATCTTGGTGTTGGTTTAAGACATGAATGTGACTGGTAAAATTATCGGTTTCGAAGGGATGTTCTATCCTTTCCCTGCCAACAAAATGTTGGCTCTTGATTACTTCTGACATCAGCCCGATCCACTCCTATGAATCAGCCTGGGAATCGCCGATGAAAGACGGTCAGGCCGAGCTGGGAGCTGACAGGAACCTCAATCGGTCCTTCTACTATCATTCTCACCTTGACGACAAGGCGTTTCCAGTGGAGATGGTGTCCGTACACAGAGGTTGTTAACAATATTTAGGGATCGTGAGGTGAATGGATATCACTTAATGCCTCCCCTCTTGACGGACAGACACGCTCTCCACCTTTGCTTAGCGAAATGTGTGCTACAGGCGTTGCTCTATTACTGCGATAATAGAAAAAAATAACATATAGCCTTGGGCACGGCCGCCGTTCTTGGGTTCAACTTTTCAACCAGCTAGCTTCTAAAATGGTGGGGTACAGGTGCCATGGAGGCTGCTGTCGGCCGAATCAATGGCACTGAGAAAAGGTTGATGAAAGGATCGTTCAAGGGGTAGGGCCGACGCTTGGGAACACTTTTGATAGGTGATCAATAGATGGTCACCTGAAGGTCCATTACACCTGACGCACAGGGACAGCCAATCCTGTGTCAAGATTTAGGGACAACCTCGCTTCAGGTCCACCGCCAGTGGATTCCCCCTCGCTCGTTGATGAAGAGAAATATTAGCTCTATTTTAGTCTTGGGACCATTAACCATATTAAACTTCACTTCGGATGAGAAAGGATATCGTTGAAAGCTAGCCCCCTTGAGTACAACTCTAGGATCGCAATGCCGGGGCCAAAGACCTCAGCAACCTACAAAGCAAGCGCTCAAGTGTTTTTATGAGAACGCTCAATGTTCTTTTAAGCTACTCGATGTCTGTTTCCCTTGTAATGCCGTTCGGAACACCAGTCTCCTCTTCATTTGCAACGAGAGGAGCCTTGCGCAGGTTGGCTGAGAAGCAACCTTGGTCGAGCGGGCGGATGATAGGAGGGCTGAGGTGAGGCGCAGGCAGGGGTGCCCTGTTTGTGTTTGTCCCACCCGCCCACCAGAAGCCAACCATGAACCAAAACGATTGATGAATGGCTATGGCTGGCCTTCAACGACCTGCGCCGAGAGGGCCGTCTGGCACCGCCAGATCAATTGACACTTCATAGTAATATGGATGTTGCGCAAGTACCGCAGTACTAGATTCCCATGAGCCTCAGATGCAAGGAAGAACAAGAGATTGCAACGCTCTGCCAGCTTGTCATTTTTGGGCCTGGCAATGATGCACCCCAGTCGACATTACAAGGCTCCGCAGTACTTCCTTCAACCCCGCGACGCCATGCTGCACCGAGAAACACCAGTGAAGTGATAGGCGGACAAGGCGAGGTGC